CTGCCCTCTCTGAAGAGGAGGGCGTCCACTTCCACACGCGATATGTTCCCAGCAAAGAAAATCCAGCGGACGGCCCCTCCAGAGGAGAGCACTATCAAAGTTCTCTCCTCCTCCCTGCAATCGTCATACCCTCTACGATCAGACAATATGTCTGTGACTTCGACGCGCCTTGCACACCAGCTGAGTCGCACCTTATACGACAGGGCAAGGCCCCAACACCCCTCCCAAGAGTCGACCGCGCGTATCTCCAGCAAGGGCGGGCAGAGATCAACCACACTTTCGAGCAGCATGCCAAAGCCACATTCGCCCACACGCAAGGGTGGTTCGATGTTTAAGCGCTTCCCTCGAGCTCTTCAGCACACGCCCAGCACTGCAAAACCAGCACGCTATGCAAAAGATTTATGCCCTCTCCCATCCCCACGCCGCCCACATGTGCTCGCCAGCGAGCGCCTGCAATCCTGGATCCCCCTCAACGGGCGAGAGTCTGCTGAGGTCCCCCCGTCGAACCTGGGGCCTGAGGACATCCGCCAAATAGCCATCGTGATGGGGAAGTCCTGGGAGGAGTCGACTCTGGCCACTTATGGCTCAGGTCTTTTAAATTTCCATGTCTACTGTGATCAGAAGGAGGTACCAGAGGACCAGCGAGCGCCGGCCAGCCCCTTGCTCATCAGTGCCTTTGTCTCCTCGTTGGCGGGGGCTTACTCAGGAAGCACCATCGACAATTATGTCTGCGGCATCCGGGCATGGCACATTCTTCATGGTGTCAAGTGGCAAATGGATACCGCAGAGTTGGAGACACTGCTCAGGGCAGCTGCCAAGACCACCCCTTCGTCCTCCAAGAGGAAGAAGAGGGTGCCCTACACACCGAACTTCATTCTTGCAATACGGAGCCAGCTTAAGCTGGACCAGCCACGGGACGCCGCCGTTTACAGCTGCCTCACCACCACTTTCTACTCGGCTGGGCGCTTGGGGGAATTCACAGTCCCCAACCTTTCCGCTTTCAACAGAGAGGCCCATGTCAAGCCATCCGATGTCAGAGTCGAGTTTGACCGGAATGGCCTCAAATCGACTGTCTTCCGCATCCCCAGAACAAAGTCCTCCCCACAGGGCGAGGATGTATCATGGTCCAGACAAACAGGAGATACCGACCCCGAGGCAGCCCTCACCCACCACATGGCAGTGAACAAGCCCCCTGCTGATGGGCATCTTTTCTCTTATCTCAAGGACAGCCGTTTTCGACCCTTGACGAAGACAGAATTTCTACGGACAGTAGCTGCTGCTGCAAGGAGTGCAGGTTTGGACCCGCGTCAGGGGCACGGCATCCGCATTGGCTCGACCTTAGAGTACCTGCTCAGGGGAACCCCTTTCGAGGTCATGAAGGTGAAAGGCCGGTGGGCTAGCGACGCGTTCCTTGTCTACTTAACGAAGCACGCCCAGATCCTCGCGCCCTACATGCAGGCAGTTCCAGAAGTGCATGAGAATTTTGTCAGGATCACCATGCCGCAAATCCGGAGGTAGCACTCTGGGGTCTTCATCACTTGGTGAGTTTTCCCCTGCTCCTACTATGGTGGTTTCCGAGACTCGCTCGACGCGTCGCAGGGCTCCTAGTTTTGTGGGAATCGCAGCTCATCTCGTTTAGCCCTTAGATTGGACCTCCCTGCCGGGACGGAAAGCCCCTGGCTTTCGCCCATCATTGCGCTTCGCGCACTGGCCTTTCTCTCTCTGATAGGACATTACGTGCTTCCTTTACATCTGGACTACACAGTACTCTATGCATCCCGTAATGTTCGCTATCTACCTACCCTAGACGTCCTCAGCCCATAATACAAAGATCTTGCCCTAGCATGTAGCGAGGCACGAGTGGAATGTTAGGGTGCTGTCTTTGTACAGGGCATGTGATAGTCTATGTAAGCAATCTCTCTCTCTTCCTTACCGTCACTATTACAGCCCCTCTGAGGACTGGGCTTGCCTTTCGTTTTTCCCCACCCTCCGCTCCCTTTATACTGTCTCCGCAGCCTGCGCAGCGGCACCCGCAAGCTTTCCCGTGCAGTGAGTCCCTCCACTCTCGAGGCAGAGCCTCAAGCGATACAGGTGTGGTTCTTCCCACCCACCCATCGCAGCTCATCTCGTTTAGCCCTTAGATTGGACCTCCCTGCCGGGACGGAAAGCCCCTGGCTTTCGCCCATCATTGCGCTTCGCGCACTGGCCTTTCTCTCTCTGATAGGACATTACGTGCTTCCTTTACATCTGGACTACACAGTACTCTATGCATCCCGTAATGTTCGCTATCTACCTACCCTAGACGTCCTCAGCCCATAATACAAAGACGATATTATGCTCTGTTCCGAAGTGGGAGAATGTAGGCAACAATGGATATGTGGCCCGAGAGGACGTTAGATTGGACAGGTGCTGACGTTGCTTGCAATATATGTATGATTGAATGAATGGTTCGTGAACAAATCAAAAAAAAAGTCGTCAATTGGTTCAGACGAAGAATTGGGTGCTAAAGCGAATGTCAATTGGAAGAACGAGAGGTACGTCAATAACGTACTGAATCCGACTAGCAGCATGCACTTCCATCTCCTCCATTTTGTAGGAATTAAGTTCCTCTTTTATCCTTTGGGCCAAGGCAGGCGTAAGTCGGCTCCATGTCGCTGGTTCGCTCCTACGGTCATATACAGATGCGGCGAAAGTGTCGTAAACAGAAAGGTTGCTCGCAAATGCTAGCCGTTTACTCGGAGCCGTTGCCGATCGGTGCGAAAGCGTAGGCGGAAAGGAGGTGAACGTGGATAAAGCAGGTGCCGATGAGTTGAAGTTGGGATGCTGGAAAATGGCGGAGCTCCTATCCTGAGGGTGGGATGGGTGTGGTGTTTCAGGTAGTTCCTTGGATTTACCAGATGAAGCTTCAAGCGGGGATGGGGATTCAAAGGATAGAGGTGGGATGGAAGGGGCCTGCGTTTCTACTGCAGAGGAAGTATGACCATGGCGTTGTAGCCCATCGATATGATCCGGGTCTGGCGAAGGCATGCGTGCCAGTGGGCCCAACTCCGACTGACCGCCTGGCGAATTGTACGAATTTGAACGCGCACGATTCGAACTGGACACCTCTGCTAGGTATGCTTGTTGGTTATAGGTTCCGGCATCTGAAAACAAGACGATTAGAGAGAAAGCAGATGCAGAGCCAAGGTAATTACATTTTAGAATTCCCTTCGTCGGTGTTCGAGTTCGTTCAACGCTCCTTCTAACATCCAATGCCCAAGGTTCCGGCTCTTCTTGATAGGCGCCGTAACCATAACCTTCATCGTCCAAGCTTGTCCTTTCGAGTCCGACCCTGATCGTCACATCTTCATCTTGTTCATGCCCGCCCTCAACATCCCAATCCTCATCATCGTCCCAGCCATCGGCGTGGAAACTTTGGGAAGGTTGCGGAGGTCCATAGTGTCCCTCGTCACTCTCATCATCGTCCTCCACCAAGACCCGCGTCCCGTCTTCGTTGACTCGAATCCCAGGCCGTAGTTTGATGGGGGACGCTGATCCTTGACCTGTTGCTGTATTCTTGTCCCACGTAGGTACGCCGGCCCCGTTTATCATGTCAGCCCCATTCGGCTTCGCACTAGCAGCTATCGCAGCCGCTGAGGCTTCTTGTTGCGCTTTTGCTTTTGCAGCAGCCTCGGCGTTACTCTTGAGAGTGTGCTGTCTCGCAAGTTTGGCCGCAGGACTCAAACCGTTCATATCTGCTCCAACGGTCCAATCGCCGCTACTCGTCCTATCCAATTCCGCAGTGACATGCGAGACGCTGGCCACGCTGGCCTCTCCTTTAGCTCCAGCAGAACTTTTTTTGTCTTTATCCTTCTTCTTGCCTTTCTTGTCCTTTCCTTCCCCATCCTTGTCCTTGTCCTTGTCCTTGAACAGAGAGGTTATCCCAGCCAACGAGTTTCTCCTCGCTAGCTTACCCATAGATCCAAGTTTTCGTATCATGACGCTCGCGCTGCTGACAGTGGACGAGAGTGAGATATTATCAGTGCTAGCATTGAAGCGAGAATTAAACAGAGAAGCTGCTCGGCCTTTCTTTTTTGTTTGCACCGTAGCTGCTGAAGCCCCATCATCTACGCCGTCATTCTCCGACCCAATGATCGCTTGAGTGGTAGCAGACGTCTTCGATTTGGATTTGCTAGAACTTGCCCCACCATTAATCGCTGATGCTTTGATCGATTCATCGTCATCCTCTACTTCCTCCTCCTTGAGAGCTTGAGCAGCGTTGAACGATAAGGCACGTCGCAACCTTGATTTCAGGCCGCCACTGCGTGACACGATAGCGCTAGGCGTGGGATCAAGCATAGCTGCCAAATCACTGTCATCCCGGGACATTCGTTTCTCCGCTGCTGTGAAATTTCCCTGTGATAGCGGTGATGGACGCATTGTCCGTGGGTTTGACGCTGCCGCTGCAGTCGCCGTCGTTGACGCTGCCGAAGTGGCCGTTGTAGGTAAAGCCGGAGTGATAGCGGAAGGACGCGTCGAAGGAGCCGTAGACGTAGAGGAGGAGGACGAGGAGTTTCGGTGGTGCGTGGTCCGTAGAGGACTCGGAGCTGGAGTTGCCGATGTTGACGCGGTTGAGGAAGAACTTCTGGCAGGGCTCGGTGCTGAGGTTCCTGATGGAGTATTGCTTCGGCCGCGGGAACTGGAGGTCGGTGATGGCGCGTTATGGCTACTGTGAGCGCTTTGGTTGCTATTGGTCCTCTGGCGCTGACCATTTGACGAATTTACGGACGAGGTCGAGCCCGATGCATCTGGACGTCCGTATGGCGGTTGAGGAGTCTGACCAATGGCAGTACGCCGCTCATTGCCCTCGGAAGGGTGTTGAGCTTGGCGGTTAGGACGTCTATAAGGATGAAATCCCGGATATTGTACATTTTGTTGCCCCGGATGTTGATGGTCGCCTGCGCCACCTCTATGGCTATGCGGGGGTGGTGTGCCGCTTGGAAAGGGATTGAAAGGAGAAGGTGTTTGATTTTGGGTAAAATAATCATGTGGTCCTGACGTGGTCGCGCCGGTTCTTTGAGCGGGAGAATGATGTGAAGTCATTGGCTGAAACCCATGTTGAGCATTGAACATCATCTGTTGATAGGCCCACTGTGCTAGCTGAGCATTTGCGGGATCAAAATAAGGCGGTTGCTGTGGAATTTGAGCCGAGTACGATTGCGGCGATTGTTGTTGGTGAGGTTGATAAAAAGAAGGATAGAAAGGCGCTGCGGCAATGGAGGGAGTCCAACTGCCCTGTGGTTGTTGCTGGACCGGGTATGTATAGGCAGGTTGGGGGTGTGGTTGCTGCTGTTGTGACAGATGTAGCTGCTGTTGGAGATTCTGTTGTATTTGAGCGGTTGGTGCCGAGGAGGGCGAATGATCATTCGCTGGCGAAGAACGCTGCTGGCGTGAGTTGGCGGGGACATCCATTGTGGAATCTCGAGGGGAATATTGCCAGTCCGGAGGAGCAAGAACAGCCATGGACTTGTTGACCAGCCGTGCAATCCTTCGTGCGCTGCTCGGTGAGTGTGTCAATACTCAGGGCTGCCTTTCAAGGCAAGTGCACACTCACAGCCGTGGCAACAAACACGAAGAATTATGGGAAGGACACGGCTTTGGTCGCTGTCAAGCGTCGAGGGGACGGAGATATTGGAGGAAGAGAAGGAATGAGAACAAGGCTGGTGGACGCTGGCAACAGCGACGAAAGCAAAATCTGTTGCAATCAAGAAAGCCACAATCAAAATATATTCAAAGCACTCCCACGTGAACACCGCAGTAATAAATGAGCTGTAATAAAAATAAAACGACTACAAGTTCAGAAACGAGGCAATCAAGTCCTCGATCTCTACTTCTTTCCATCTCTCTTCAGATATCCTAAACACTTCGGGGAGCCAGTCCAAGATGCCCCCTTCGTCAATCCCAAGGACCATGTAAGCCAAGGCCTTGCCACTCTGCCAAGCGTGGACCATGCCTTCTCCTGTATACCCTGCTGCCATCCATTCTCCGGGAGCTGCCAGGTTAGTAGCCGTCGGTGCGCCCCCAAAAACGGATCCTCGACTGGTAATCGTCGCAGGAATTCGGCCAACCCACGGCTGTTGATCCACTGAGATACCCAAAATTCCACCCCATGTGGCTTTCACCTCTTCCTTTGAGTCGTTATCGTCGACCTTGAAATAATCGGAAAGGGCTCCTTGTAGGTAACTCGCGGTCCTACTGTTCCATCCCCGATCGTCTACATTCCCAACCTCCGTTAGAAACCCATTATCTCTGCCAAAACCCCCACCAAACATTAGTTCACCGGCCGATTTAGGATAAATAGAAACTGCAGAATCAGCAGCCGGTTGCTGCGTCAGATAGTCGTAGACATCGAAGGAATTACTTGGGTAAAAGACAAATGAACGCTGCCCAGTCCATGCTGTCGGCCGCTTCTTCTTTGATCCCTCTCCCAAGCCAGGTCGGGGTCCTTGGGCTGTCATGACGCCCCTGGCTGGAATAATTTTTTCTCGCATCCCGGGAATGAGATGTGAGGCCCAAGCATTTGTTGCATGGACGACATGAGGTGTTTGAATGGTTCCTTTGGGAGTTTCCAATGAGTATAGTCCTTCGGCCGACTCTGGACCAGATATAGAGGTGCAGGGTGTGTGCGAAAACAGATAAAAGCTGTGAAGCTGTCAGTATTAAAAAAGCCCGACGACCGCGTCACGACTACCTACTTTGAAGGGTAAACACGAAGCAGACGAGCCAAGATACCTGTCACGAGGTGGTATGGATGCACAGCACCTCCCCGGGTAGACATACAACCCACAGTCAACCGTGAAAGTTGCAAATTCTGTATAGATAAACAACTGATCAACGTCGTCGATTTGAAAAGTGGAAACAGTGAGAAAGACCTTGATCTCGTCGGATCCTTCGTATATCTGATATCGTGAACTTTCCTCTGGTAAATCCTTTTTGTATGTTTCTAGTTTTCCTTTGGCTTCGTTATATAAACTTGGTTCGTAGAAGGCATCCAATGCCTCGACTTCCCGACATTGTGATTCCTCGAGCAGATTCTCTTCAGTAGCGACAGAGAGCAACTCTTGAAAGTGAGATAGACGAAAACGAATAATTTTTCTGGCCATGTCTATGCCATGCACTGCCTTTAACTCGGTATAGTCGCGATAAAGCATTGGCGTAATATGACCGCCATTTCTAGAAAAGAGAGACTCAATTTATAACTCATATGATTCAGAAGTGAGTCAGAAACCTTCCAGTTGCTCCCGAGCAAACGTCTCTTGCTTCAAGCATGAGAACACAAAGGGGTTTCCCGGTTACGCCGTGTAGGGCATCGTAATCCAATATTGCCCTTGCAAAGGAGGTGCCAGTGATCCCACTACCAATAACGACAATATCCGCGTACTTTGGCAAGTCACCGTCGGCGCCGTGTCTTGATATGGGTGACGGGCACAAAGTCCAATAGGAAGTACTTGGGTCTTTAATGGGGACGCCCGGGGAGCTGCGAATGCGGGAGAAGAGGGTATGGACGGGTGGACAGAGTAGAGAGATAGCGCGAATAAGGGCTCTGATGATGATATTCCGCAGGCGACGAGGCCATGGGATCATCTGAGGACAATTAGATTGAGAGTAAGTAAGGTAGAGAGAAAGAGATTGTGCACAGCCACCTAAAATTGGTTGTTGTAATGATACCTTCACCAACGCGGCGACCATCGTCTACGGACCTTTCTTTTTTTTCTGCTTCAAAAGTATCGAAACCTGTTGCGTCAAATGTTGTTGTAACTACGCGAATTACTCGTCGACCACTTCCTCAACGCAACTTGAGTGCCACCACTGCCGCCACCCGACACTCTTCATCTTCCCCTTCTCCAATCACGTCTTCTCCACTCTCAAGTCCTCCCGCTTCTTCAAGAAAGCGAAAGTCCCTTTCTTCCGCTCTACCACAAGGTCCTTCTGATCTTCCTCGCGAGGTCAAACGACTACGCACCTCCTCCGCCAAAGAGCGCCCTGGGAAACGGAAGCCTGCTCACGCCTCCAACTCTTCTTCGCGATCTGCGAGTAGGAACGCCTCATTGGCTCCCCCGTCTCCACAACCTATTTACCGTACCAGCCGCTCACGGTCCACCTCCCTCTTTCCGGGACTGGACTCCGACTCTCCCACCGCACCACGTCGATGGCGTACAGACGAGGATGGGGCCCCAGGTGAACATTACCTGAGCTCCGAGGTCGTAGTGAAGCGCCTTATGAAGTCGTACAAAGCATGTAAGCTCTCCGTGCCCCCCCCCTCGCCTCCATCAAACATTCATCCCCGCCCAGACTTCAAGAATCCCAACGACCCAAATGACACGTCGTTCAATCCACATTTGACAGACTATCCTGTCGTTGAGCTTGAATACCCAAACACGCGCGCAATCGAAAGGTGAGTCGGCGACTCGTTCAGCAGGACCGGCAGGCTTGGCGAATCAATCCTGGACAGCGCACTTTATGTGATAAGCGTTTTTGGGACACGGAAGATACGTTAACCCACGTGCTTTCTAATTGTTCCATGAACAGTCCTTCGCGTTATTTGTCTCCAGGAGGTTCCCATGCCACTGTCTTGGCGCCTCTATTTCCCAAATTGACTCTTTGATAGGTTTGTTCTGCTGGCACCGAAAGATAAAGATCATTATAATCCAATCATGGACCTAGAAAAGTCATTGTACACAATTGTGGACTGTTCGTATACACCCTTTTGTTCCAACGTCCGTCTAATCAAGAAGTTTAGGTTATCTTACACCAGACCAGCAAAGTCTTTTCGGTCCTATACCCAATGAAACACTCTCTGAAGCAATATCACCACCCGCTTCACCCTCACCCTCACCCCCTCACTCGCCATTCAGCCCTGCGTCAACTTCTAGTCTCAGCTCCTGCTCATCTGATTCATCATTATTAACATCTCTCTCGTCACATTCCTCCTCTTCCCAGCCAAAACGAATTCCACTCTTACGTGCCGTTCAACGTGCCATTCACATGCAAGATGGGCCACTTTTCCTTCGTGCTATGAAGGAAATAAACAGTATCTTGCATTCCATTAAATACCCCCAGGTCCCAAACGACACGCTTTGCGCGGGACCTAAGAACCCCATGATGACAGTTGTTGAGTCATGGACCAAGACTGGGATGCCAAAGAAGGTCCTCATGCGCATAATCGAGGAAAACTACCAGCGCACAGTCGGGCCTAACGTCCCAAAACTAAAACAATACGAGGCTTTCTCCAGCACCGTGTACGGGGAATTAATGCCTAATCTCTCATCCGAAATGATAGAAATCACTCAGCTGAAAGAGGATTCTTTATTCCTCGATCTGGGGAGTGGAGTTGGGAATGTGGTCGTGCAAGCCAGTCTGCAAACAGGATGCACGAGTTATGGAATAGAGTTGATGCCAGCCCCAGCCAGGGTAGCGGAAGATATGGTGGAGCAAATAAAGGTCCGCTGTCGTATGTGGGGGGTCAAGGTCGGCGAGATGGAGTTGGAGAAAGGAAATATGTTGACAAGTAAACGGGTGGACGAGCTCATCGCCAAAGCTGACGTTGTCTTGGTGGATAACAAGGTGTTCGAGGAGAGCCGTAGGTCCCAGCCATGTGCTTTCAAATTTGAAAATGGCTCATGGATTATATTTTCAGTGAATGAGGCATTGAGACCCAAGTTTTTGGATCTAAAGGAGGGTGCGATTGTAATATCATTGGCGCCTTTTGTAAGCTCCTTAAATGCCCGAGTGACGGAACGTAACGTGAGCAAGCCTTCCTAGTTTCCAAATCTTGGTCTAACATGTGTCCCCCTTAGGTCGACGATATCAGTACAATTTTTGAGGTCACTGAACGTCATTATCACTCTGGAAGCGTTTCCTGGGGCAACAGTGGAGGTACATACTACCTCCATCGCGTGGATCGTGAAGGATACGCGAAAATTAGGGAGCGATTTGAAAGCGCTCGGGCAAGCTCGGGACGAAGCACGAGGAAGAAACCAGCACATCCCAAAGACTGTGACGCCGATAATGAACTCCAGGACAACTCGCGCTTTCGGACTTATCGGGTCCTAGGGTGATTTTTGGATATTTATTTGATTCCAACATTACTAAATACATATATCCCCCGTTTCTTTTGCACATACCTTTTTTTTAATTCCTGCTTTTACAATTTCATGGCGTGGTGAGGTGCATCCGCCCATTTGTTCGGCCAGACAACGCGTAGTCCCCAACCAATTGAAGTGCATGATCAGTTTTTGACTAAGTAGGCTTAAGTACGTCAGAATCTGAACTTGCTGCAGAAAGAGCGCCATTTAGAGACACATAAGGATCCAGTCGTCCAGATCAACAGCGCTCAGCATCTTATTATTTGAATGAAGCCACTAACCAACTTAGAGTTAACAATGTGCTTGCACTCTGCCACCCATAAATCCAATGCACGCATTGCAAGACATGCATATGGAGGTTACGATATCTGCGTTCGCCGGTTTTTCTCAAGCTGGTAAATATCATCTTACTACTCAGGAGCCGCCGACGGTTGCTTGTTGGCCGCGCAGCGCCCGCTACAGTGTCAAAACACATACGCACCACACTCAGCTCCCGAATCTTGTTTGTAGGTACACATTTTCGCAAAAATAGTGAATGGAGGAAGGACATTCGTAGCATTCGTAGATCAAGCATGCTCGACTGGATCTCGATCGTTCAAAGGTCGTGCGTGAAATATGCGTTTTCCTTTGCCATTAGCCGATGTGCAGTTGAAAACAGGGGATACAGTGATAATTACTAGCAACTTCTAGTAAATGTCACCGTCAAACAAGTTCATACTGATCCATTTCAGAGTTTGGCGTGTTGTAAAACATATGGAGAAGAACGCTTCGACTTGACCTTGTTGACATCATCCATAGTGATAGGCTGGCATTCATGGGCATGATTGTAGCCGAGCCTGCGAATCGTTAGTTACACACAAGAGTATTTCCTGATGCTTACCTTGTCCTTCCGTCAGGTCCGCCAGGCTTGTAAAATTCAGGTCTACGGAGCAGTGAAACAACCACAGCCCCACCCAAGCCAATATTATGCACCAAACCATATTTGCCTCGTTTATCCGAGATATCGAAGAGTCCTGGTGCTTGCATTGGGCCGGCCCCTACAAGCTTGTTTATGATAATGAACAAAACTCTTTCTACGAGAAACCTTACAATCCCGCAATTGCACTAGAAGGATTATCTTGTCAAATAAAACACACTCGGCGTTGTCGTAAACTCACTCATGATGTAGAAGTGCATTCCAAGACCAGATGCTCCCAAGGGGTGTCCTTTGGCCTCTAAGCCCCCGCTTGGGTTTATCACGTACTTGCCACCGTACTTAGAAAGACAGTTGAGCTGCGGGAAGGCCAAACAAGATAACGAAAGGCGGCGTACTGTGTTGTCTCCGCGCTCCACAAGTTTATGTGCATCATTCAGATCACACAAACCCAAAGCGGGGTAGGTGATGAGCTAAAATTCACTTAGAACCAACGATACAAATGATAAATGCTGAAGATATGCTCCCTACCTCATTAGCGGCGAAACAATCGTGAAGCTCAATGACGCCAACTTGGTCCCTGCCTTGTCCTTCCGCGAAACCAGCTTCTTTGAAAACTTTATCGGCACATACTTTTGACATTTCGTATCCAACAACATTCATAGCACTGGTTTCGAATGTAGTGGGTCCATCGGTGGTTAAAGCAGTGGCAACGATCTCGATGGCTTGATTTTCAAGGCCATGGGCGTGAACGAATTCCTCCGATGCGACAATGCAGCATGCGGCTCCATCCTTGAACATGTGAAGAAGATAGAGGGCGATATTGGCAAGTACTTACAGACGTGGGACTACACATGAGCTTTGTCAGGTTGTTGGTGATCTTGGGTGCCGCCAACACTTGTTCGACGCTCCAACCATCTCTAAACTGAGAATAAGGATTTTTCACCGAATGTTGATGATTCTTGGATGCTACAAGTACATGATGAGGTCGGTGCTCCAAGGGAGAAACCTCGAATTTACCAATCATGGCCAGATGCGCCTGTGTGCCGCCATACTTGATAAAATACTCTTGAGCACCATTATCAAACATACGAGGTGCGCCAGGGCCATGATTTTCACCGAGAACTTCTTTCTCAAGCTCCTGCGACCGTTGGTTGATGAGTAATGTAGGTGGTGCGCGATCTGGAAAGTTGGTGCCAAGACTACCAGGCTTCATGCGCTCGAAGCCGAGGGCCAACGCGCATTCAAATTGTCCGTACTTGACAGTCATATTGGCCTGGTATAATGCTGAAGATCCAGTCGAGCAGTTGTTATTGACATTGACAATTGGGATGTTTGTAAGACCAAGGTTATAAAGAGAGCGCTGACGGAGAGTAAGCAGCCTTCGACACGTTGAGATCCTTCTGAAGACACACCTGCCCGCTAGTAGAGTCGCCATAACAGTAACCTACGTAGGCGGCCTCAACGGCGTCGTAGGTTATGCCTGGAAGGTCTGCACTTAGGACTTCCTTTTGTTCGAATTCCTTGGGGACGCACCGGCATCAAGTAAAGCCTTCGTTGCGGCTTCAAGTCCCATCTAGGTGTTATTTCAACTGAGCGCTGCGTAGGATAACTCGGGGTAGAAACGTACGTCTTCGGTGGTCCTATTTCCCCTTGGCTTCCAAGCAATCAGGGTGACCTTCACCAGACATGGAATTGGCCCACCTTGATAAACGCAGTGCATCCCCCTCCAACAAGAAAAGTCCTGCGGCCGGTCATGGTATGGGGCAATGCGGGGTGGTATCGTTGTGGTGTTGTTCCAAACTTGATCTAACCACCGGGTCGGCATTCAAGAAGGCCGGCGTCATCAAATACATCACAACGTGGAGTGGTTATAAGGAGCAAACAACGCCCATATCTGAGTGCCCGACTACAAGTGTTTTCGTATGGCAAGTGCTAATCCTCAAAGAGATAATCAATCAATTCTTGAATTACCCGAATGTTTACACTGTTCCCAATCAACCTGTATTTTGTTTTGGTCGAGATATCGTCTGGCCAGTGGAAGGCGGGCTCTAGATCTGCCCGAGGATCGCAGGAATTGAAGTCAAAAATACGAAGAAGTTCTTCTGGCGAAAAATACCGTAGACCGAGAGGGTGTAATATTTTCACCGCTTCAGGTTCTTCTCGTTCCTGGGCTTGGAGGAAGGTATCGAAAGTAAGTTTCGTCTATGAGACACAGAAACGTCAGTAGGTAGCAAGAAAAAAAAAGGTAATTAAGTAACGCACATCCAGGATCTCGTTATTTTGCAAGACGGAGCCGCTACGTTCGACAAGTTGAGTGTACCCCCGAGTAAAACAACAGGTTCGTCGTGAGGAAGGCAGGACGATGTCAAAAAGCCTCCCCCACTTCTTTAATATTTTGTCTGGAACTAGGAACTCCTGTGGATCATACCCTCGGTCAAGATATCGACGGAGGTCGTGTACGACGCTATTCGTGGGAGATCCGTGGTCAATTGCATCAGGATCAAGTCTTAGATCAAGCCATTCAACCCCTCGGCCGGGAATACATCGTCCCAACTTATCTGAATTGCGAGGATCGACGTGAGGGAAAGACAACGGTGCCTTCTTAGCTAGTAGATAGTACCGTAGGCGTGAGTTTGGGATGCCAAACTGCAATGGTGTCAAGAGAAGCTCCAGAGTAGAGTAGCCGAGAGAATGGAGAATTGATACAAGAATTTGACGAGTGGTTGAAGTCTTTTTCAGTGCAGAAACATTGCGTAAGTAAAGCACTCAGGGTAGATTGAGCAAATGAACGCAAGCACCTCGAAGCCCGCAACATTTTCAACAAGAAGGCGCTGCGGATGTTGATTCGTAGATCCTAATTCTGGAAGAACATTTTGGATGAGATGGAGAAATGATTGTGCTCGTGGATCAGAAGCATCTTTGGCTTTGGGGTTCAAGATGGTATAAGGCTGGCACGCTGGTGAGAGTAGCCAGAGATCGGCTTTGAGAGCTGCCAAATCGGCTGCAACTAGCGTTGAGATATCCACCTACGCTCAATGCGAATCAAAATTTTGTTTTCATAAATAGCGAAGAAAAGAAGGCCAACATTAGTAACGATGTTTGAGTGATTCGCTTTGTAGACACGACAAGCACACTGATCCCAGTCGAATGCGCGGACGACGGTCCCACCCAGACTGCTCCTGGAGAGGGCAAAATGTAAACCACCTTCAAATTGTTAGATCATCAACTCGAGAAGAGTCTCGGTAGCAAATTACTTACTTACCGATTCCACAGTAAAACTCAAGAGCTCGGACAGTCATGAATAAATGAGAGCTTATGTAATCAGTAATATGAACATTGGTTGTCGTTTCATTTCCGTCTTTCACTTCCTCTTTCACTCGCATTCTCCATCTTGTTGCAGCTTGTCCTGTTTGCATACAAGACTGCCGTGAAGAGAATTCCCCTTTTTTTGTGCGATATCTTCCTCTTCATCTCGTTTCACTTGTTTCCTCTCCGTGTTGCCTAAAGCGACATGGCTGCACAGAGCCAACCTAAGGAGCAGGACACCAATATATCCATGAACCATAATAATATATCTCTGTCTACTCAGGACCCGATTTTTGATTCTACTTCTCCTGAAAAGGCCCTGGACGAGAGGGGTATCAAGGTTGCATACGGAGAGACAGCGCTAAGCTCAAGGTGAGTAAATTTGCGCACAACCGAGTTCCTAGGATCTAAGAGATCTTGCAGGTCAGATGCAATTCAAGGAAACCTCTTACCTGCCTTCTCGTCGAGCCATTATAGTCATCTCCCGACTCCCCAAAGGTATGAGTGGCCAATGGTCCTCGAGTTTCCTTGGCTGTTTCTTTGTGGTCTTGATAGCTAACATCTCATCAACGCAGCCCCATCGATTTTGCAAAATATATCCCTGACCTTCCGTGCTCACCGCAGTCTCCCGTCTCGCTGGGGTGAGTAGGAACACTACTCCGTTGGTCTGCAACTCAACTTTCAAGCAGATCGCAGTCTTATCCTTCTTTAGCTCCTGTTTCTCGAGGACAGCGTCTCTTGACATCCAAACAGTAAGAATGATCCATTGTTACCTAGTGTTACAGTTGAACCCTAGTTTTTGTGTCAGCTTCGCTGAAGGGGAGCATGTTCATCCTCATTCAACCTTTCAGCAATGCATGACGCCCGATTCAAGGTCATTTTCTTTATAAAACCTTAGAGATTCCCTCATTTATTGGTTTGTGCAGTCCGTTTGTTTCTCGAACTACAGCACCACGCTTTAGTAATACGGCAACACCTCAATATCAGTAAGTCCCAATATAATCTCATCCAACGAGGTCGCTCAAGCTACTCCAGTCCATCCCTTTCTAACGATTTTGGGACACCGACAGCATCCTCGTCCATGTTCGTCCTCTTCTCGTCATTACGTATCTTTTTGCTTATAACTTCACGTCAGGTTAACGCTTGAGTCCCCCATCGCTGCCCTTACTTCTTCCCATGGTCCCCCTAAACGAATTTCTCCTCCTATGAGCTCCCCTTTAGTGCCAGATCGACATGTCACATCTACCCTCTCGTCACCTTTCGTAGCAAAGGCGACGATTAGCGAACGCAACCCAGAAAACTTAACATCTGATATTTCCAGACCGCATTCTTCTTCCCCTAGTCACGGACCCGTGCTCATCGAGGACGCCTTTACTTCCCTACTTACGAGCAGTGTTCCTTGTCTGAACATCTCTGGAATTCCATCCATCTCCACGCCACCTGTATCTCCTCTTGGGCCTCCGTCGTCGTCAGACCTTTCAACGGTCGCAGGTGGAGAGATGGAACGCATACGTCAGGCAATGATGGAAGAGCGGCTGGCTCAAGTGCGGGAAGCTGAAAGTCGTCGTCCTGATTACTTCAAACGTGCAAAGCGAGCGCTCTCCGAGGTTGATTCAAATGCCGTTGAAGACGAAGAGGGCGATCGACGGGGGGATAAGGGTCTTGCTGTTGGAATTATGGAAAGTCCCAATAAAGGCAGGAGGTTGAAGCTGTTCCAGGAGACCTCTGAGGAAAGCTTTGAGGAGAGCTTAATGGCTGGTGGTTACGGTCGATACGTGCGTAACATTCAAGGTTAGTATTTGCACCATTGACGGTCGTGTTCAGAGGACAGCCGATTGGGTTCGTCAGCCTCAGCCTGTTGCCCTCCCTGCAGGAGGCTTTTCCGGATCATCCAATATAGTGCAACAATTGGAAAGAGTTCAGGAAGCTCCGCCCACCGAGAAAGAGCTGAAGAAGCGGAAGAGACTTGCAGCCTTCCGTTCTGGAATTCAAGAGAGCGGTGTGAGGACACGGCTTGTTCCTGTACAGTTAGAAGGAAAAGGGCGGGTATTGCTCGACATGCCCAGTGACGAGCATCGCGATCCGGGGAGCCCAGAGCCATCGCCCAGCAAGAAACGCGGTGCTAATCGACGCAAGAAGAAGGGCGCGCAACCTACTACTAGAGAGAAAAAGGCGTTGGCCTCCGCGACTGCTACTCTCGAGGAAGTCAATGAAAAACCGAATTGGCCTGACACCGAGTTTCCATGGCGTCTCCGCACAGAGGAACGCGCTGAAATTGCCAAAGCTGAAGAAGAAGAGAGATTGCGATGGATTGAAAGGTTTCTGGATCGAGACTCTGACGACGAAGATGATGGCGACAGTCATTTGGGAAACGCTCAGAAAGAGGATGAGGAGGTGCTCCCACCCTCAAAATGGGGTATGGTTTATGAGAACGACACCGACAGACCATCACCTGTGAGAATTGGTAGAGGGAAGATGGTACCTTTACTGGCGTACCCAGAAGACACAAGGAAGGCTCAGTCAAAGAAAAGAAGTCTTTTTCCCAGTGATCCTGGTGATGCACGGGCAGCATTGCTCTCCAAGAAGAGTGTGCGGGCCCTCTCTTACCGCCAGCAACGGCGACAACGCGAGTTGGACGACGAACATGAAGATGGTGACGAAGTACTTTGCATTTGTAATGGGACGGATGATGGACGTGAACTCGTGCAATGTGATGGCTGCCAGACGTGGTATCACCTCCAATGCATCGGCATCCGAAATATCGCTGAGCTTGGGAAGGAGGAAGATCCTTGGTTTTGTCGGACATGCTTGACAAGAAGCCATTCGCCCTCTTCTGACTCAGAAGATTTTGACTCTGTCATGGCCAGCGAGCCAATTTTTGTGCCAACTGACGAGTCTCCCCACATTCCTCGATCTTCGGACACGCCATTTTTCCAACCCTCAATCCAAGACTCTCCGAACTGGCATCCATCAAGGATACCCGAGACACCTACGCGATCTCGTTCTGACCATCCCGATGGGAATTCTTGGGTCGGTTCTTCAAGCCATGGTCCAACGACACCTCAACGTCATCCGCATGGTGTAAGGATTTATACCACCAGTACTCCTGGTCCTTTTGACATTGTTACTCAGACTTACGACGCATTTGATCCCACCTCGACGCCATCACGGGGGATACGGTTTGGACCATCATTTACCACACCAAAGAATCTTTGGTCTACTCGCGTAAATGGCTTGTTCCAGACGCCATCGCGACCAACGGTCCGAGGATCCCCAAGCAAGACCTTTGGTGGCTCAGGGTCTCTTTCTGCCGCGTTGGACGACGATGGAGCAGTGGGAAGTGGGGGTAGTCTGGGTTACGAAGCACCGAACAGGTTGGCTGCATTTGATGATTCTCCTGTTAGACGGAACAAGTTGAACGACGGATCCATGGCTCGACAGGTGTTGAGGTCGCCAACGGCTTCCCGTTCATTACTGCCTCATCTTGAGGAATCCCCTGTGATGCGATCCAAGGAGAAGGAGAGGCACCAAATTGACATGTATGTACGAATGTGACGATCACGTGATCGTGACAGACGTGTTTAGAAAATGTTTTATAAAAAGATTACACCCTTTCTCTACGTCAACATGCTAACAGAAGTGGACCACATGCGTATTGCAGTTGTCCGTTAATACCAAACCTCCCTGCACTTTCCATGCTTACGCTTTCATTTTTAGGCATTGATTGCCTTGAAATTTAAACCATCCGATCAGTCGATCGCTTGTAAGTCGTGTGCACAAATCCTTCCGATTTGTCGGCGTTTGCATCTTGGTTCTAGCGTATGTTATCGATCTACGTGCAAGATTTCCGGCTTCCGTACACTCGGCAATGACACCCGACGGCTTGTGGCGAACACATGCTTTGCGGCTCGAGAACGAATACGCCTCTTTGAAGGCAAAGTATGAAGTGGAAAAGATGAGTGCGTTTGCAGTGAACTAGTGGCCTCTGCTTTGATTCAAAAGTTACTGTGCATGGCAGAGACTCTCGCGCTCTCAGCAACTACGCGAACGTCATGTGTCCCGGAGAGTTCAGCTCAGTCAGTAACTGAAATGGCTAAAAGGAAGTCGAGAAAGAAAAATGCTCCGACAATTCCAACAATGCCTCCGCGTTTAGATTTGAGATCTGTTCTGGAGGAACTGAATCCTCGTACGCTGAATAACGTGAAATATAATCGCAAACTAATTGTAAAACGATTTTTTAGGAAGTGGCATTCCAATCCTGATGGGTCTCTGGCCAGGAATTCTTATCACTGCACTGGATTCGTTTTTCCGGCTGGCTTCTAGTCAGGAAGAGTCTCGGGTGCCGCCAGAAACTCTCCTTCCATCTGGCCAGTGTGCCCTCGATGCTATCCGTGCATCACTGAAGAGTATCATCGAATGTGACGATATCTCTAAACCTCAATTAGATATTCTCAAGGTGCTTGACATTCTCACTCAAGACGTCATCGTCACTGCTCTTCCTACCATCGCATCCCTTCTTCCAGCCAACGGCCTACTGGATTCCTTCATATCAACAACACGGGAACTACTACTTCTACTCATTCATTCATTCCTTCCTCTTTCCGTAACGTATCTCCAACGTTCTCTTTTGGCTGGCTCCAAATCCTCAAATACACACTGTTCTGACGATGGGGACCGGAGCATCGTCGTCGACGTGAGGGCTGACATACTGGTCCTGTTTCGGAATGTTTTATGCAATCTTTTTGGCTCATCCTCGCGGTCAAGAGACACAGTATCGTCGGTCCTCTCACGGCTCCATGGCGTTCTGCGGCTCGACCTTGACAATTTGAGACTGTCGCTAGCACTGGAGGCAATTCGGGAACTTGACTGTGTGCTTTTCAGCAGCGGCATGAAGATCAACGGGAACAGCTCTAACGGAAGCTATCGAGAAAGTGACGGTTTTTCTCTCTGTGTTCCCACAGACACAATACCTCTGCTTGCAGAAGGAGAGGATCAAGTTGAAAGGACTGCACATAACGACGACGACTTTCTGTCTGTGAAGAAGCTTGCGGTCAAAGATACTCTGTGGTACCTATGCACTTTGCTCCACGTTCTCTCAGGCGACAATGTTCCGCCCGATTCTGAAGCGAATCATGCTGTCGACAATGACAGAGTGTTGGAAAGGTCGGCCAACGCACAGCCATCGCATCTAGCGCCAAGTCTAGCTGAAGACACGAGGATCGCACATGAAGAAATTACGAAATCGTTTCGCAAGGCCGTAGAAACTGCTTTATTTGAACTGGTTATCAAATGCCAAAAGAGCATGAAGGCCACCCTGGTTAGGCGCTGTCGGGAAGTCGGACAGGAGGCCGTTATCCTCACAGAAAGAAACAATTCATCCCCTGCACCTAACATAGCGGGATCGCCGACACAAGGCAAAGATGTCAATGGTGACGAACCCAAGGTTTTACTCGGTGATCATTTTCAAAGACGTTCCTCCTCCCTAAGAAGTGGAAGCCGAGCGGGGGATTTGCTCTCCGGAGAAGAGCTTAAGAAAGGGTTTCGCAATTTGGATCGCTGGCCTCAGGTGATGACAAGCGAGGGGCAAAACAGGGCGGATCTACCAATAATGGAGCATTCTAAAAAACCAGTTCTATGCCCTGTTGATGAAATGGGGTACGGGATGATCTTGGGGGTGGTCGAGCGGTATCTGATGGGTCGGGTGCTTTGAATGAAGCTGATAGCTCTCTCTACTGTACTTATGAAGAAAGTCAGATCAATCAAACATTCGAGGGTTTGAAATTTTGAAAGTTGAACGTCGGACTTGAACTAAACATGGCACTTTGTATTGCAATTGCACACATGGGGTATAGCGTACGAACTGAGCTAGGGGATCCTGACACACAACCGACATTTTGCCTACATAGTGTGCGCTTGGCATGAAGGGGCGATTTGCTTTTATGGAGAAGCGAAGCATTAGATCCTGAAATACTTCAATGGTGAAGTCTTCAACCTAACAGCCAGATGGAGAAATTCAACGGCTTTCGAGGTTGTTCGTATGATGTTTTTGGGCGATCGAAGGTGAACGGAGGCTGTATTAAATAATTTTGTAGCTCAAAGAGTAAGTAATGAAATTCGGAAACTCGAACCCCTTAAAGTATTGGAAATTTTTCTTACAAGTGCGAGCCAATAATGTCAAAGCTTCCGTTGGCGTTCGTTATCGATATCGATGCGCGACTTGTAAAGCTTTGACAGGTATTTGAGCACGCGACCACACAACTTTCTGGAAAGCTGCCTAGGACGTCCAATATCAACCAGATATCAACAGGGCCTTCTGGTAGCTTCTGAAGGGCAAGTCGGACCAGAGTCGGAGACAAAATTGACTGTTCGGCTCTCGCGTGACCACTCCCTCATCTCTGGCTAGTTTACAGATATTAGTTGCTCAAGCTCAAAGCGTCACGCCTCCAATAATCTTGTAGATGAAGTACGCCTAAACCTTTCAGAATTAGTATCATTACCCCACAGTTGCTGACGGTGCAACAATTCAACCTGCACTCAACTGCCGAAGTTCGCCTGTTGCTCAGGGCTATATGGCCACCTCAGGCACGAAATAGCGGGGATGCTGGACAGGAACTAAGTACATCCATGAGCAGTTATGCCAGGTTATGCCGCAGGTACGTGATGGGTAAGGCACTGACGACGGCCGTCCTTGTATACGTTTCGAGTACGAGCTCCTCAGACCTTGCGGTAAGAAAAGCGAGAGTTCCATGCCGTACGCGAGTTGGCTTTCACGTTGCGATAGCAGGGCCCACATAATAATTGCATATGTTGAGGTAAAAGGTACAACTCTAAAGAAGGATTTGCGATTTCAACGGTACCAAAAGTGTCTTTTTCCCACGTGACATACCTATGGAGGTAAAGATTTTGAATATCGAAATATTGACAATCATGATGACCCTGTTGCCGTTGCTCTGCTACGGTCGGACATTTGGGAAATGTCAAGGAGTGTTTCCTTTGAATGATAGACCCTAATGGAGAGGATGGCTGTTCATGGTGGAAGAAGCCAAATGAGAGTTGCATAAGATGATGAAGGGGAGGATCATTCTTGGTGGGATATTATGTAGCATCATTATTCATATGTATACGTACTTTTGAACAAAATGATTTGCGATAGAAAGTGAATGTTCTCGATTTGGGGAAAAGCAAGACCCCACAAGAGATTAATCGGTCAAGGTGAAGGACCTATACGACATCTGTCAGATAGAGGAAAGAGATGCCGGTAAGGCATGTGGCTGCATGTGGATGGGTGACTGAAGAGCATATATTATAAGCGTGGATGAGGGTTGAGGAAGTCGGAAGAAAAAAAGCACGTGTAAATAAAAGCGGGCGACGGATCGATATCTGAATGCTGACCATTTCGTGGTTGACAAGGAAGGGTGAGGGATTAAACGGAATGTCAAAGGAGAGGACCTCCGTGGCCAAGGCAGAGGCTGGCAGAGGTCGTAAAAGGATGGCTGTGGGCCAGGGAAGGTTAAAACGAAAGAGGTAAGAAGGATCCGCGGAGATGGTCGAGGAAAAAAAAAAAGTAAGGGATCTGTAGTTGACATGTGTTTGGATTTGTTGAATGTGGTGCGGGCCGACGGGGATGAGCAGACGAGGACCTGGGATTGGGGCCGCGCGTGTGATTTTTAGTTGATTGTCACAGACGTCACAGATCTAACGATGAGATTGATCCTGTTGGTCAATTAGTGGCATGGTGGATATAACTTGCTGTAACCTGGATGGCCTATAATTCTTTCACCCGCTCTCACCGTTCTCCGTATCCCGCCCATCTCCCATGTCTGCCCTCTCCGTCGCCCTTGCTGCCTTTGCCAACATCCACAACGATAACGAGCTCGTCGTGGAACCTCTTCAAGTTCCTCTCCTACCGTCGTCCCCTTTGACCTCCCGTTCTTGTACGTCTCTGCTCCCATACCACTCTAAATCCGTCGCTGACTGACCCCCCATCTCTTTAGCCTCGCCGCTGTCTGTCCCATCTCTCACCCACAGTTCCCCGTCTTCCACCTCTTCCAGTCTTCTCGATGTATCCGCTCCCGTCCACCGCCCAAACGAACATCTTGCCGTTTTACTTCCAAAGTCTCTTTGGAAGGTATGTCACCCTTCTCCCAACCTCACTCCACTATACTTACCATGTTCCTTTCTCTAGCCGGATTCATTAGCCTCCACCTGCGACAACTTCTTTTGTCGCCTGCCTTTCTCTCTCTTTGAGCGCAGACATGTAAGCACATACTTTCTATATACCGCGGACCTCGAACCTAACTGTAGCTTATTAGCACTGCCGCAAATGCGGAGGTGTATTTTGTGCTCAGTGTACGTCACGCACCACACCCCTCCTTGACACCTCCAACCTTGCCTTTCTCCATCCTCCACGTAATATGCCACTGTCTGCCTTTGAATCTCCCACCGCCCCTGTCCTTCCCTCCCGTGTTTGTGATGATTGCTGGGATCAAATCCATGGCTGCCCAACCTCCCCACACACACCAGAAACAACTCGTCCTTTTCTACGACGCGCCCTTTCACATCCCGTATCCGTATTCAGGGCGCCCCTCTTCCACTCATCCTCCTCCCACACCACTGACGACAGCTCACTACAAAGTAGTGTCATTGTAACTCCCCCCCACCATTCCAAGCTTGTTCCCCCTTCCTTGTCGCGCAGGTCTCAATCTCTTCGCACAATCTCGAGTGTGTCTAGTCTGAACACCACCGACTCATCCCACAGCACTCCTGGAGACCTTCCTCGGCGAAAACCCTTGCGCGCCTCCCATATGCCCCTTCCCCTTGATCTCGAACGCTCGTATGGTGAACTAGACGCATACCCTCTTCGCCGTTCCAGCATCCTCTGCAAAGCCACAGGTGGCGGGCGTTGGGAACCTAAACCATGCCCCGTTCTCGACGGATACCGTCCACCTGTGCCGGGTGGTAAAGCACCTTTCGAGATTGAGATGGAGCGCGAGGAGCAAGAAGCCCGTAAACTCCGGGAAAATCCCATCGTTAAAGATGGTGACTTCCAATACCGCTTCACGCGGCCCCAACAAGAACAGATGATCATTGCGCGCAGTCCTTTTGTACTGTCGACCTTCTGAAACGTCCTCTCTTGCCTAATCTTGAAAAGTACCTCTCACTGGCTTATCTTTCCGTCTCTTCCCCTCGATGTCTTGCCACTAAACAACTCTCTGCTTCCCTGACTGCTGCTATCACTGCCATATATTCTTATTATTGTATATTGCTTGTTGCCTTTGACTTGTGCTCATTGTACCCATATCCGTCATGCATCATCTCCATGTCTCTTGGCCGGTGGTCTTTGCCATTACCACCCTCTCCTGTGTCTTGGTTCATACCAGCGTCTTTCCCAATGCGTTACCCCTTTCCTCCTGGCTGTCGATTCAGCCGTGCACCATTATCGTTATATCTATCCATCACAGCTCGCAATCAATTGGTTTGCGGGCTGCTGCTACTCTTATTGTGTTTTTATCTCTTATCTGCTACATACCTACACATCTACCATATTACGTCGAGACTTATTATTGCGCAGAGTTACATCCTGTACTAGATGTGCTGTTACATAGATGAAATCATGCTTTCCAGAACTGGGCAAGTGCACATGTACTTGGCGTAGAATTTTACAGCTGCTGTTGTTGAAATAACATATGTGACTTTTACTATCCGGGCCCCGTCATGCCCTGCAGGCTGACTCTCAGGCTTTACACACAGCATTTGGATTTGAAACGCGCATGCGTGTGTTATCTTGGGGCTTGTCGTCTGCGGAAAGGCGTCGGAATAGGCTAGGTAGATCTGGTTTACCATAGGAAATCAATGGAGTCGGAAGCACGAGGAGATGTAGACGGAATAACCAAGGAGATTGTTTATACCGAGTAAACGGATTTATGGCGCTTGTTGCCATCGTCGCCTGATTTCAAAGTTACAGTTCAGATTGCGGGTTTAGAGATCTTGATGTTCGCTAACACAGGCAGAAGCCATAAATCTCGACGGAATGGCACAGGCATACGGATACGATGAAAGGTCGAAGCCCACTGCTCTTGTTGCACTGGAATGTCTGAGAGGCAAAAGGGGGACTCGTAATGTCGCCTGGATTATGTAGACTAGAATTCAATGTGCCGCCTGTGGCAAGCCTTGGTAGAAGCCGGTGTCGGGATAGTATAGCATTTCGACGGAAAAATTGGACATTTCGAATGCGTAGTATATGTATCACTTGTGTATCATTCAAGTCAGTGGCGAGAGCAAGTCACGGTTGGGCCGGGTTGTGTAATCTTTGATGGCAAGTTGTTCCAACTTGGTTCCAACCTTGACTCCAGATCAGCATGGCCTCTCCTCTACAAGGTCACGACGAATTCATTCACCAGATTGCCATAAAACTATCGCGCGCCATAAATACTGTAAATCCAAATGACCTTCTGGCGAGAAACGTCGTCGAAATCGCGAAAACCCAGTCAATGGATGGGTTTATGTCAGGTGTGCAAAAACCTCGTCATCACAGGATTTTCATCTCAATGTCAACGTACAGCGGCCAAGGCTTTTGGCAAGTTCAAGGATTCCTTTCTAGCCGAATTATATACCGAAATCTTGTCGCGTGTCAAGGAGGAAACGACAGGTGTCTCGTCGCAACCGATACCAGGGATCACGGTTCATGATAGCGATGTTCTTCAACCCGAACCAATTCGCCCGGGAGGACTTCAACGCCAAGATACGGTTCGTAAACTCTCTCGTCTGCAGATTCAGACGTCATAACCCTTCCTTAGCATCACACTTTCCGACAACCGGCAAAACCAATAGAGCCTCTCACTCCAAGAAACTCGCTGCTTGGTCTCGATCGACTAGCCATCGAGAAAAGAGCAGCTACTTTCAACGGAGAGGCCAGTAGAAAGAAACCTCGCCTTGATGATGGCGATGAACCTTTCTTCAAAGGTGCGCTGTTCATCGACCTGTCGTTTTCTCGCTAAATTTCGGCATTAGTGCCAAACCTCCCTGCCTCAAGAGTCGCCAATGCCAGGCAACGGGGCGAAGAAACTCCTTCACACCCAGGGGGACTCTCTGAGAAAGGTCGGGAGCGGCTCGAAGAGCATCGTCGAAATAGGGAGAAACAAAGGGGTCAGTTCGATTCCTCAGCCAAAGATTTCGTGCTTATTGTATACAGAGGGCATTACTGCCATAAACGAGTCTCGCCGTGATGGACCAAAAGGCCTAGGTGACTTTCAACGGCGATCCAACCGCGATAGAGACCGCGGCTGGAGAGGAAAACGGGATTATGATAAAAATAGAGGCTATGACCAAGGACAACAAGGCTGGGACTCTACCCCGAAGTCTACTCATTCCAGTATTTCTCATGATGCGCCAAGTGTGCGGGTTCCTAACGTTCCTTGGGATTCTACACCACGGAGTTCGCGAGAGGAGGAAGGGTCTGGGTGGGGAGCGGCGAGGAATCGTAAATGGGATGCACCTACTCCTAGGGTTGCGAGAGGAGGAAGTCCAAATGGCGAGGATGGAGCAATCGGATTAGACGTCAGAGAGTGGGAAGAGGAACAAGTTAGATTGGAACGTGATTGGTACACCGGACCGGAGGATGGTGGTGTTGCAGGAGATGAAGAAAACAACCCTCTTGCACAATATGAGGATCTCAGTGCCTTGAAACAAGTAGAGATCGCAACGAAACAGGTGGTCAGTCGACGTATCTGTGATCATGTACCTTTAACACTGAATTCATCCTGCAGAAAAAGATATCTGCAAGACAGGCGCAATATGTACGTTTTACAACCATGCTTCATAGCCCAAAAATCTGACGGTTACTTACAGAATGCCGACAATGACTTGTGGGAGGCCAACCGTATGCTTACCTCCGGTGTCGCCACCCGCAAGACGGTCGATTTGGATTTTGAAGACGAGTCAGAGTCAACTGTGCATGTCATGGTGCATAATCTCAAGCCTCCTTTCCTCGATGGTCGCATCGTATTCACCAAGCAACTCGAGCCCATTAATCCAATTCGTGATCCCACCAGCGACATGGCCATCTTCTCCAAAAAGGGTAGCGCATTAGTCAAAGAGAAAAGGGAACAAGCTGAACGCGCAAAGGCTGCAGCAAGGTTGGCGGATACGAGCGGAACCGCACTAGGGAACATCACGGGCGTTCGAAATAAAGAAGCAGACGAGGAAGGTGTGTGTTCTCGTACCCCTTTCTAACCGTTCGTCAGATTTGGACATTCACATAGCTTTTTTTGTCTTTGTGCTATGTAGCCGAAGCCGAACAAAAGGAGAGAGAAGCTAAAGCGAAGGGTCAGGAGGAAACTTATCAGGGAGACTCCAAATTTGCCACTCACCTCAAAACATCGGCTGGCGTGAGTTCCTTTGCTAGAAACAGGACGTTGAAGGAGCAACGAGAATATCTCCCTGCCTTCGCATGCCGAGAGGAGCTTATGAAGGTTATCCGGGAAAACCAAGGTGAAGTCGGTCTTTCCCAGGTCTGCCACTTTTCTCATATCTGCATTAGTCGTCATCGTCGTTGGAGAAACTGGATCTGGAAAGACGACCCAATTAACACAATTTTTGTACGAAGACGGTTATTGCCAGCATGGGTTGGTAGGTTGTACCCAACCAAGGCGTGTGGCAGCGATGTCGGTGGCTAAGCGTGTCAGCGAAGAAATGGGGGTTTGTTGAGCCATCATACCGGCGCCGCGTTCCTTTCTAACTTTTTGCACAGGGTAAACTGGGTTCTACGGTGGGATACGCTATTCGTTTCGAAGATTGCACCAGCTCGGAAACAAAGATCAAGTGTAAGAGATAGGATTTGCATATCACAAACTTTACTAAAACTTGTTTGAATAGACATGACTGATGGTGTCCTGCTTCGGGAGTCGTTGAACGAAGGCGATCTCGACCGATACAGCGTCGTCATTCTTGATGAAGCCCACGAACGCTCGTTAAGCACAGATGTCCTTATGGGATTGTTGAGAAAAGGTGGGTTGACAGTGTTTGTATACTTCACCCTATCTAATTGGTGGAGAATCAGTTTTATCTCGCCGACGGGACCTCAAACTCATTGTGACTTCGGCGACAATGAATGCAGAAAAGGTGCGATTGCTGTAATTTATTGAATTCAATAGCTCATGCCCCATAAGTTTTCCAATTTCTACGGCAATGCTCCTACATATACCATTCCGGGGCGTACATTCCCTGTTGAAATTTTTCATGCAAAGTCCCCCTGTGAGGACTACGTAGACAGCGCCGTGAAGCAGGTTCTCCAGATTCACCTGTCGCTTCCCCCAGGCGATATCTTGGTGTTTATGACAGGCCAAGAAGATATTGAAATTACATGTCAAGTTGTTCAAGGTATGGTTGACCATTATTCATTAACATCCTCTGATGAATATCACAGAGCGCCTTTCACAATTGGATGAACCAGCTCCTCTGGCCGTGTTGCCGATATATTCTCAGATGCCAGCAGATCTTCAAGCCAAGATCTTTGAAGCTACCAGTGATGGGCGCAGAAAGGTTATCGTGGCTACAAACATCGCTGAAACGTCATTGACCGGTATGTATGGGGCTTTTGCTTCAATCTTTCCAATGTGTTTATGTTCTACTCTTAGTTGATGGTATTCTTTACGTCGTGGATGCTGGGTACTCGAAGCTCAAAGTTTACAACCCCAGAGTTGGGATGGACGCTCTACAGATCACACCGATCAGCCAAGCCAATGCGAATCAACGGACAGGCCGTGCAGGCCGCACTGGAAGCGGGTAAGAGCAGTGTGTCTGCTATCAGCCCATGGTTGCTCACGTTTTGTTAGGTTTTGTTATCGTCTATATACCGAGATGGCCTATAGGAACGAACTCTTTGAGAATACCATTCCGGAAATCCAGAGGACTAATCTCGCCAATACGGTACTATTGCTCAAGTCTTTGGGCGTCAAAAACCTGTTGGAGTTTGATTTTATGGATCCCCCCCCACAAGTTGGTCACCAGCACCTTTCCACTCGCATTATTTAATGACAATCTCTAGGAAAATATTCTAAACTCCATGTACCAACTTTGGGTGCTAGGGGCATTGGACAATGTTGGGGATTTGACACCCGTTGGAAGGAAAATGTCGGAATTCCCAATGGAACCCTCGATGGCAAAAATGCTTATCGCCGCGGTTGAGAACAAGTGCTCTGCAGAAATGTTGACGATCGTTTCGATGCTTTCGGTTCCGAGCGTGTTCTATCGACCAAAGGAGCGAATGGAGGAAGCAGACGCTGCGAGGGAAAAGTTTAACGTTCCTGAGAGCGATCACTTGACTCTTTTGAACGTGTTTAATCAGTGGAAGAGCCATGGGTAGGATATGTATCAACTTGACGCCTATTTTCGTGCTGATGTCCATCTTTAGATTCCGCGATGAATGGGCGATGCGGCATTTCCTACACCCCAAGCTGCTGAGAAAGTCTAGAGAGGTCCGCGCTCAGTTGGAAGACATTATGAAGTTCCAAAAGATGGACATCATCTCAGGCGGGACCGATTTTGATGTGCTGAGGTGAGCTTTGCACTTTCCGCCCAAACGTTCTGTGCTTGAAGTAAATTTAGAAAGGCGATTACGGCAGGCTACTTTCATCAAGCTGCACGAGTCAAGGGAATTGGGGAATTTGTCAACATCCGTTCTGGTCTGCCGACGCATCTGCATCCCACGAGCGCCCTGTATGGACTGGGATGTGAGTTTCCGAATTTTGAGCTAGACCCCTCGTTTGACATGTGTGTGTGTGGCTAGATACGCCATCATACGTGGTGTACCATGAGCTTATTTTGACATCGAAAGAGTACATGACGCAAGTGACTGCAGTTGACCCATACTGGCTCGGTAGGCGTCCGTCCGCATAGATAAGGATAGATGGCTGATCATGATCGCAGCTGAACTTGGATCCGTGTTCTACTCTGTCAAGGAAAAGAACTTTGACGAGCGCGGGAATCGAAGACAGGCCGATCGAGAGTTTTCGAAACGGGCCGAGATTGAGACAGAGATGGCGAGGCAGCGTGAAGAGTAGGCCTCTTTTTCTTTTCTGTTATTAACGACACTTACTGGCGAGGTAGGACAGCGAAAAAGGTGGAAGAGGACGCGTTGGCAATCAAGACTGCCAGCGGGAGCAGCGCCAAGATTATTATACCGGGGACACCGCGACATACGGGAATTGGAGCCGGTGCCAGAGTAACACAGACACCTCGTCGAAGAGTTGGTATTTAGTAGATATGGCAACAATGTATGTAGTGATGTGCTTGGCTGCCAGCTTTTTTCGTCTTGCCCAATATGATGGGTGACTCTGAATCCCCATTGGACAACCTTGTTCGCAGGACGTCGAAACGCAATGAGACTCCGACGACGTCGTATGCGAGACTGCCACCCAACTCTCCGCTATTGCACAGCGACTTTGCACGACAATCAACGGCGACGGCATCGTCCAACACGGACAACAACTCGTACCTGCGATCATCGTACCAAGAGTCAGAATTTGACTATCACCGGTACTATGGCTACGAGGAGGACGAGCAGAATGTTGCTAGGGAATCATGGCAGACGACGAGGGGGGGAGAGGAAGTACCTACGGTGGTTGTGTCGTCTCCAGATGGACAAGTGCCGAGGGCGGGACGTATGGCGATTGTCAAGCCGATTGGTACAAACTTTTCTCGACCTGGACGGAGTGTGGACGATTTGCAAGAGCAAAAGCGACATGTATTGGAGAGGAATCGGGTACAGCGAACAGGATCGCCTGCTAGCTTGTATTCGACATACTCGTACTATCCGTATGACAGTGCGGTACCTTTGCCCACCGGACTAGTGATGCCTACACCTATACCTGGGAGTACGGCTACACCGAGGACTATGATGACTACGCCTACGCTAACGATAACGGCTCCGCCGAGGGAAAGAACATCAACATCAACAGCGCAAGAATACCTCCAACTCGGGATCCAACACCACGAAGCGAACCGACTGCGAGAGTCTGCGGTGTGCTTTGAAAAGAGTGCCAAGGAAGGAGGAGGGTGCGGAGTGGGGATGTTGATGTGGGGATTGACGTTGCGACATGGATGGGGATGTGAAAAGAACGAAAAGATCGGGTTCAAGTGGCTTCGACGGGCAGCAGAGAGTGCTGTAGAAGACTTGGAGAGTGCACGAGGGGGAGGAGAATGGAGTGCTGTTCGGAGTGAGCTGGTTCTGGCTATCTACGAAGTCGGACAGTGTTTCTTTCATGGATGGGGAGTGGTTAAAGACCAAAAGATGGCAGTAAGTTATTACAGGGTTGCAGCCAGGATTGGAGACTCGGATGCTCAGGTTGATCTAGCATTCTGTCTGGCAAATGGAAAGGGATGCAAAAAGGATAAAAGAGAGGCAGCTAAATGGTACAGGGCTGCTGTGAATCAAGGTCAAAGTGATATAGGCTTAGCTTGGATTTACAAACACAAATACCAATAATGACAATCATCCACCATTCAAACTTTGGAGTTTGGGATCTCTACCAAGAAGAGAATAAAAATGCTGCTCAATCGACACACTTTTATCATGCTCTACCATTTCTGTATAAAATGATAAAGGATATTCTATCCATTCCATCTTGTTCTTTTTATCTTTCAGCTTATATTTGCGTTGAACTCTTCTCGTCTCTTCTTCCAGCAATCTCTCTCTGGTTCTCTGGTCAACTGCTTTCTATCGTTCAAGCAGCTGTTGATACACGCTCAATCGACACCCAGCTCCTTATTCGCATCGCTGCTGGTCGTTTTCTCTGTCAAGCTGCAACTCGCATTTCTCGTCATGCAAAGTCACGTCTCGCACACCCGCTCAACTCTAGAATTAAACAGTACTACTCCGTTCACACCTTTCGTGCAATGGCTCGTCTCGATGCACCCACCTTTGATGACTCTGCCGTTCAGCGTCAACTCGAAGAATCCTTGTCCCCAAACTCACGCTCCACCATTGCATGGGACGCAGTCACCACCGTTCTTCATATAGCCACCACCCTCATCCAACTCACATCTCAGCTATCCGTCCTCGTTTCCGTTCTGCGCCATCAGCGTGACGGTCCTTTATTGGCCCTCCTCAGCTTTGCCCACTTGCTCTACGAATGGTACTCTTCCATTTCTCCATTCATCAAACCAGGAGGTATGTCCCCCTATCTTTTTCTTTCTCTCCGCTAACTCTTCTTTCAGTTTGGGCAGCAACAACCAAAGACCAAGACTACATCAAAAGCGAGGGTCTCAAACGCACCGTCATCGACCCTGCACATCGCAACGAAATCGTCGCAGGTGGAATGTCAGACCATCTCACTCACACGTACAAAGCGGCGATGGATGCAGTCGCAGATCGAGCCGGTGACTTTTTTGAAGCTGCTACCATCCATCGCATGTACGGCCGTCTTTCCATTTCAAGTTTCCTCAGCGATCCCCTCCACCAATTACCCCAGCTCGTATTCACTCTACGTGCAGTCCAACACCCAGCATCCATCCCCTTGTCCCTTGCTTCACTGACGCTCATCACGCAAACTACCCAGTCCTTTACACTCACCCTCTTCAGCTTTTTCGACGGAACAAGCTCCATCGCAAACAAACTCTCCAGCATCAGAAAACTATACGAGGTTGGAAACATACCAAATCAAGTCCTAGACGGTACCCTTCCTTTTCCTGAAGACCAGTCATTCCTCCTTCAAGGCCTTTCTATACAGTTCATCGACGTCTCATTCAAATACCCAGGCAGCGAATCCTATGCACTACGCCGCGTATCTTTCAAAATTGAAAAGGGCCAATTATGTGTTGGTGTCGCTCTCTTTTCCAGCTGCTTTTTGATTTCTTACATTGTTCTAGGTCATCGTAGGCGCCAACGGATCAGGAAAAAGCACCATTCTCAAACTCGTCGCAAGACTATACGACCCATGCGAGGGCACTATCCTCATCGACGGACTAGACATTCGCACACTCAAACTCTCGGATCTTAGACGCGCCATCTCTGTCTTGTTTCAGGATTACACCCATTTCCCGTTATCGGTGCGTTGTATCCTCCCTTGTATTCTATCGCCAACACAATTACAGATCAAAGACAACATCGGCATCGGTAACCCCGCACACGCATCGGATCTTGAAAAGATTCGCAAAGCCGCACAGCTTGGCGGCGCAGAAGACTTTATCGAACGCTTGCCGGATGGATTCGACACGTACCTTGAACGCCCTGTAAAAGATCATTATAGTAACTTACCAGGACATACCGTGGACTACAGCGAGCTTAGAGATGTAGCCGGCATGAGCACAGGGGAATCCAAGGGCTTGAGTGGAGGACAGATGCAGAGAATCGCTTTGTGAGTTTTGCTTTTTCTCCTCTTTTGTTTTGCATTGTATTCATTTTGCAGGTCACGGACGTTTATGCGGTCTTTGGTGTCAGAACCAAATGTGGGGCTCTTGCTCTTTGATGAGCCTTCCGCAAGCTTGGATCCCACAGCTGAGCATGGTCAATACTTCCTTCGCCCTTGGTTTTTTTTTTTTGATCCATGCGACAGATTTATTCGAGAGGCTTCGCCAACTAAGAGGTAACAAGACAATGGTATTCTCCTCGCACAGATTTGGAAACCTCACACGCCATGCTGACCAAATACTGTTCGTCATTTCCCGTTCTCACCTTTTCCATCCAAACCAACCCTTTCCAGGTATATGAATGACTCTGTGATTGTAGAAGAAGGCACTCACGACCAACTCATGAAACAGAACGGCGAATATGCACGGATATGGATGTTGCAAGCTCGCGCATTCTTATAGATTTTAATATATGTATGTACCTCAACCAATATACTCGTCGTCATCATCCATGCAAAGCTCCGGCTTTGGTTTGGCTTTTATCGGCTGCTTGACCGCCACAATAGCTTTCAACGCCAAATCTAGATCCTCTCTGACATCCCGGCACGCCCCAGGAGGAACACGTCCATGGAGCATCTCCACCTCGAGCACCCGCGTTTTGAGTTCGGTTAGGTCCCGCCTCCGATGCAACTCCGATTGAGGCTGCAAGGCTTTGTATAGGCGCTGTGCGTCCCGGAAAATACCACTAAAAATATTCAATACCACTTGATAAAAAGCAAGTAGAACGAGATTGTACTTTAACTCTGTCCTTCGTTTGCCAATATCTTCCAATTCCTGATGAGACGCCCTGCTCCATCGCTTCTTGGCCTTCTCCTTGGCAGCTACGACGTACGACTGAACGCCACTAATGCATACTAGGACATGTGGAAGAGGGCCCAAAAACAAGAGGCGGTAATAGTTGTGTGGCCACTCCATCGTCCTTGATTCCGCGAGGCAGGCGTCAAACAGGCTGGCACGAGAAGCCTCTGCAGCGGTTTTGACCATCTTCCGCCTCCTTGACATGGCTTTCCGGTAAGCGACTTGGAATACCCGTGCCGCATGTATTTGCTCAGCTGAAGGTGGTTTGTGCTCGACAGAGAGCGCGGTACTCGCTATAGATTCAACAACATTGTTAGGACTCAAGACATCCATGTGTTCCACGTCGGGCTCTTCGATATCCACCTCAAACTCTCCAGGTTTATCTCTTTGGTCCTTGGTATCATCAGGCGTTGCATTTTGGCGAGCCCGTGGCACAAACGTAGGCGCATCCGGTCTCAGAGAGGATAGGAACGAGGGCGTGGAGGCATCGCTCAGAAGTCGAGGTACGTCTTCAATGGTCTTGAAGAACACCCTTCGCACGCCTTGAGGCGCTTTATACCTTCCAAGCTTCTTGCCGTCATCGTACAACTGGATTAATTCATCCAGCGATGATTCAGTCGTTGAGTGATGGACGGCTTGAGCAAGTTGATTCCAATTCCGAGCATGAGCGTACCACTCGTTCAGATAGTGGGGCCGACCGGTCCTCACAGGTCCTAGAATCCTGACTATTTCTTGGCGGAGATCATCATGGTTCATGTTGTAACCCACTGGTCGAAACTTTTGTTAGACGAAGATGACGAATTGTAAACTTCAACCCACCCAAGCAAATTGCCTTGCATCTGGAAAAGGGGGATCTTAACGTACTTGATAATGGAAGGTTTTTTCAACGCTTACACTCGAGTGAGAAAGACGACCCGAATCGCCGGAAGCTCGCTGAGGTCCGTATTTTCAAACAAAAGTTGGCCTGCACTAGGGTGTGAGTGAAACAGTATTAAACATGGTGTGTTCAAACCAACCTGAACCTACTCCAGACTGTAGTCGTTCCACCAGCAGCTTGACCGAATTCAGCAGAAAATTCAGCATGAGCGTCGCTGGCCGCTTTGTATCCTTCTTGATGCGACGCAGCAGAGTGATAAACCAGCTTCGTGGTAGCGTCACATTATGCAGGACAAATTCCTTTCTGACTATGACAACGGCACCGCAGAGAAAGTCGATGGCGTCGCATAGTACGTTGATATCAATGGGGACGCTATCGGTCAAGAGATGCCTATTGATAAAATATGCAACTGTTGCAGCTGGATAAGAACAATATGACTTACTTGACAAAACACAATCCCGCTGGGATGAAGACCTCGTCGGTGCCTTGAAGGAAGCGCATCATTTCATTGACAACGCGGGGGCCCCTACGACCATTGAGTTCCCTTCTATACTGTGGTTGGTGGGCAAAGACATCAAGAATGGGGGCCCGGTGGATATATTCCCTCGCACTTTGTTTGTCAAGGAAAAGGCATAAATTGGCTGTCTGGTATACGGTCGTCAACAACCTCGCGTCTAGTCTCATGGGGCTGTCAAGGAGGTCGCGACACCATCTCTTGACGACCTCGACAGCTTTCTGAGCTTCTTTTATCAGAGCGACATCCAAATTTGCCAATGTGCCGAGATAGTAAATGGACGGGTTTAGGGTCTCGTGGAGTCGATTGATCCAGAATCTAATGGAAATTAAGTGAAATTTACGTCATCTTTCTGGCAGCTCATACCTGTGCTGCCTATGTCGCTCCTGCACATCAAATTGCACTGAATGCAGATTATGAAAGATCAAAATTTGCTGGAGGTGGATTCTGACTTGGACATTGTACCATGCAGGAGTGCATGATGTGTAGTGGATGTGCTTTCGAGGACACTGTAGCCTATTGCACACGTCGTTGATCACGAAAGGTAAACAAGGAGTGAAGGCTTGGGTTCTGCGACAGATGTCGTTTTCCTCCTTGATCCGATTGCTGATGCGTGTAAACAGACAATCTTTAAATTTTTGCGAGAGATCCCATTCGGTCACGAGTGCACCCTGCTCGCTCACTCCCATAGCCGCTCGCAAAGCCAGAAATGATTGGTGTAGATATGTTCCCTCTGGAAGTAGAAAAATGTTTTCCGTAGAAGCTTGGAAGCCGAATAGTTTCTGGATGGCAGCGTTATTGCAAGGGTCTGGGCTGATAGCAACTTCGCGAAGCATTGAACAGTAGCTCAAGAAATCTGCAAGGATTGTCGAGATCTCTGTCGCTTCCATGACGATGATACGGGGGAAATTCTGAAAGTAATGGTCGAAACAAAGAAGAGCCGACGTTACTTCCTTTCGGGATGCAAATTTTTGGCCGAGGGCGCGAAGCTGATTCAAATCGCAGGACGCAACAGCTTGAAACATTGCCAGCTGTTAAAGAAAGTGAGCACAATGTTACTGTGTTTCGAACAACACACCTGATCGGAAGCGGAGGAGTCCACCAAAGAGAGCTTGGAATTTGAAGCAAATTCCAGTAATGGTTTAATATCTCTTGCACCTTCGGTATATTTAACACCAAAGGAGAGATGTTTCCAGAGTCCTTCAAGAAGACACTCATGCCCGCGACGTATCGCTCCTTGGTCTTTCCCGTCTTCCAAGAGGAGCCGGATTGCTTCCAGCATCCTGCCCTCCGCAAGATGTATTGTTGCTGCCTCCTGAAGTCTCCCAAGTCCAGCCAAGACTGCGGCACGAGAGATATCGAGATCATAATCTTCCAAATATTGTAGCTGTTCTTCGTCCGATGAAAATAATCTTTTTGCTTTCCTAATAAATCATCGGGTCAGAAACCTCTGTACATCACCGAAAAAGAAGATATATACTCCAATTCATTCCTATTAAAATAAAATAGGCGGGCCACGTCGAGAAGGTTCTCGGCCACATCAGCTTCTATATCTTCTCGATGGGTGGTCACAACGTCGACAGCTTCGTCGAACATTCCACACTTGCGGTACAGTTTTACTGCCAAGCCGAACTCTCGGGCTTTAACATACGCTTGCGCAGCCTCGCAGTCATTATCGGCGTGCTCAAAGCAATCTCCTGCATTACGAAAATACACATTCTTCTCCCTGGAGCTGGTCGCCGCAACAGCACATTGAAGAAAAGCTTCTGCAGCGATAGTAAAAGCATTCTGGCGCAATTTCAAAGCTTGACGGGATCCAGTTGTGGGGGTAGCTCGTGCTTGTTCTCGTAAGTAGTAGGTCCTAGAAACAGACACCTCACGATTTAAGCCGGCGCGTTCGAAGCAGTGCATAGCTTGGAGGTATCTCTTATTCTGAAACAAAGTTCTACCGGACTTCTCCCACTCTTGAGGGGAAGATGACACCGCCAGACGCGGAACATCAGTTCCAGGCGTACAGTTTTGAATTTGATTTTTTGAGGTCCAAAAAATCTACAAGATGATTTGTGAAAGTGATTCACAACGAGGGATATGAGATCTACCCTCATAGGCTCGCTTGTCTCTGAACAATCTACGATCCACAGATTTTTTCGTGCCCTGGTGATAGCGACGTAGAGAAATTTCAGCTGTCACACGAAAACCATGTTGAGCTACGTTGATAGATGAACTGAGTGCGAAAATTTCACCTCGCTGCAGACACCAGCATGACGAGTATCGTCAAACTGTGGTGCAGGAACATCAAGGTTTTCCTCATCACCAAGTTGATTCAAAACGACTCGCCACTGTGACAAATCGACAGAAGAGTCTTCAAAGAATTTGTAAAGGAGGACCTTTACATAAGAGAGTCAGAAATTGAACCCCCCTTCTCAGGACTATTTTGTTTGAACGCACGTCATCAAATTCTAGACCTTTGCTTTCGTATAAGGTCCTATTGTGCATCGTCAGACGTCGTTCTGCGACAGAAGAATATTCTACGAACATGATGAGACCAATGTCTCCCACTTGTTCTCGAAGCTCATCTCTGGCAGATTCGTCACGTACAAGAATACCTAGTAGATTTTGAGTGGCCCGAAGAAAGGTCATTCGAGCTACTCACACTGTTGCGCCCCAAATTCAATTCGACTGCCCCTGAAGTAATCGTTTATTGCAAGTGGTGTACCCAAAATGTTTTCTACTCACGATGCTCCAAATAGGAATTGTTCCTACGTGAGTTAATGAATTACCGCATAAGCAACAGAGAAGTGTGACCTACATATCGAACTGTTTCTTTGTCCCACCCACTGAAAAATACCGGCTTAGAACCATCAACAACGCCCTGTTCTCGGCCCAAAACATCAATTGCATATGGCCAAAATTCTGTGATTAATTCGATCACGGAATGAGCACAGTTGACTATACCACCATGAGAGCGGTAATTGATGGCTAATTGAAATGTACGTGGCACTTCTCGCGTCGGCTGCCTGTCAGCGATCATGTTCTCCCTTCGTTTCTATTATGCACGATGTTGGCGAGTAACAAATGAGAACTGGGTAGGAAGGACGTACCTCCAGACGGAATAAGAAGGCTTTTAAATCGTTGAATCGGAAGGAGCTCCCCACAGAAATCGTTTGAGCAGTGTCTCCCGCCCAAAATAATCCATCAGGGTTACGACACAAAGACCTCAATACTAGAAGGATCATTAGCGGGGATTCAATCGGAAAGACTTCACCCACGAAGAGCGTCAATGAGAAGATTATCTTGAGCCTCATCAACATAGCTTTCGAACGAGAGTAGTTTAGGTAAGGCGCGAACAAAACAAGTACTCCACGTACAGATAATCAATTTTAGGGCCGGGGATGCCCACGGCTTCAATAGCTTTCAAGATGTTATGTGTCCTGATAATTTGGTTTAATGTCGTCAAGATTTTGAGAAGCAAGTTCGCTACCTGTCTGCAGCATCATAATCGCCACAAAGACTTTTGTGTTTGCGGAACGAAGAGAATATCGAGTAAATCACATCGCGCTGGTTTGCAAATGCATACTGCGCACGGTGACTAAGATTCTCGTATTCGGATTTATCTAAAAAGCGATTTTCGTGACTCAGAGATTCTTCGGAGCCCTTGATAACACCTGTGAGAATTTCAGTCATTGAAAAGAGACGACAGATGCCTGAGCCACACCGATGAACTCGCTAAATACAAGGGAAGGATCTGCAAAAAAGATTTTTAGAAGAAAATATAAAGGAAGCAAGGAAAGGTGTACCTAGGCCCTTGGTAAGAGTTTGTGAAAAGTGAGGCCAATAGGACCGAAGGAAAACATCATAGGTGATAAGCCTCCCTGTAGCTTGCTGACCGAAGGACGGATCAGCATTCAAAGGAGTGGTCATTCTAGATTTGAGAGTAATATCAGCCTCAAGCAACTTTGCCAACTTGATACCTCCATCAGTAAAGATAGATACTAGCAGAAAATCAACGAACACGATCAAAGGTCAGGAAGAGGGGAAAATGTTCGTCTTGAAGAAGGCTGAACTTTTGAGGAAGATCTGCTCGCCAAGCCACATCGTCGTCAAGGTCTATCAACCCTCCTTCTTCCTTCAGCTTTTTTGACTTTGCTACTTTCGCCATCTCCTTTGGAGATTGTCCAGCAGTGGAAAGAGATTCCAAAAGCTTCGCAAAATATTCCTCCACTTTTCCAGCTAGAACTCGGGATTGCGTGACGAAAAGTTGTCGTGGTTTTGAAATTGAGTGTTGTTGTGCTTGAAAAGCCCTCTCGATGCCAAGCATTTTGAAAAGCATGGTAGTCGTTTTCCTTGTTCCACAAAAATCAGTCTCGGGAATGGCGTAGTCAATTCATTGGGGACCCACCCAGTTCCGCTGCGTCCGAGAACATAGCATGAATAAGGGTGTTCAATGATTGCCTTCTCTTGTGGTCTTAATTGACCGGGTCAATGTTTTTTTCTCTTTCCAAGTACCGCGACTCACGTAACATTGAAAACATGTGCAACATCAAGATCCGCTATAATGCCTATCACGACCAAGTTAGAGGACATTTTCTGAACTTGAGAAAGGTGCACACTATTCAGCAGAGCCTACATGAACGGCAGAAGACTTCAGCCGCGCAAAGGGAATTCCGTGCATGGGAAGAGAATTACCTGAGAAAATGTCACGAACTTTTCGAGTCTAAAGGAGGAATTCAACATTCAGCTTTCGCAAGAGCAAGAGTGGACTGACACAAGAAGCGAATGGAGCTAGATGTAGCTTCAAGTTAGTAAAAGTAATGTGAAGTACACATCAAACCAGACCTCTTCCAAATCTTCTTTTGGTAGTTCGGGAACAATACAAACATCCTCTTCTTCTTTTTTTTCAGGAGGAGGAAAGTATGCAGGCAGAACGACATTGTCTCCAGCATGATGGGGTCGATTGCGGAATGTGCATCTTTCACGGTACTGTTTACCCTTTCTTCCGAGTTGGTGTCCCATTGAATCCCAAAGCCGCTTGTCAAGCTGGGCGTGAGTATAAACTCCAAAAATCTTGATAACTTGAAGGTAAAGGGGTCAAGTGAATGACATGTAGAGATGAAAACTGTACGATGCCTTGTCGTTCAACCTAACCAAATGGTCGGGTTAGCAAACAAATGGGGCCTGGTCAGAGCCTGCTACCTACATCTGTGTCATACTCAGGAATGCAATCCACTTGATACTAAACAAGATGTCAGCATCACCGTCCCTCGCGATATAGGCCCGACGTACAACCAATCGCGAATCCCGTGTCATCTTGGCTTCGTAGATGGGAATCTCAGTATTGATTCCATTGAGCCGTTTCTGATTATCTGCCGAAAAGTGTCCGTTTGAAAGTTCTCTGAATGGAAAGATAAGTTGAACGACGTCAAGTCAAGGACATGTTAACCACTTGATCTTTTTTATTACAATCTTGAAAAAGTGCGCATCCTTTCGTCGGGATTCTCGTAGGTCCCGGTCAGCCCTGGTGGAAATAAGGATACGCCATTCGCCAAATCCGAGTGCACTATCAAAATAGAGGGCACTACAAGAATGGACGCATCAATGATCTTGGTGTGAAGTGGTAAATGTGTCTACCCACGCTTTCATTGGTTGTACCATTGGGAAAGCAGCAGGGGTATCAATACCGACTTCTCCATCTGCATGCAAAATGGGCTGCCGTCTCTCTTTGATGGTATCAGCCGGCGGTGTATCACCAGTCGCCTCGACGGGAATAAATCCACGCTGGATGGTGGCTGCAACTTCAGAATCTTGGAGTGTCGCAAGATAAAACTGGAAAACTATTGACCGAACTTCCACAAGAGAATTGGTCGCAAAATAACACCTTTAATATTTCCTTTTGCTCATCCAAGATGCTCACGATTTGTTCATTTGCATCTTGAGCGGTCGAAGGGATTGACAAGCCCATAGCTTCAAAAGGCTTAGGGTTTGGAGTGATTGTCCGCTTTGTCGTCATTCGTTTTGCACGTTTCCTCTGTCGCTGTGTCTCTCGCTTTGGCTTAAAAAATGACATATCATCATCGATTTCCATGTCACTCCCGTCCTGATCGTCGGACGAGAAAGACATGGAAGCCAAAGCCATGAGCACTTGAGGTGCCATTTCCACCGATACACGGTTAGAACTTAGTAATTCGGAGGCTTCTCGATCGAATGTGTGCGGTAGAAAAAGAAGAAAGAGCGACAGTCTGTCAAGTACGAGATGACAAGACGACTGTGGAAATGTCTTTGCTGATTGCGGGAATGTATCCAAGATGGAGGTAGCCAGGCACTTGCTCCAATTCCCAGCTACAAAAGGTTATGTAAGTTTGGCAATTTCAGCAGGTCAGTTGAGACGAACCTGAAAGGACGAGTTCAAGAATTGGACGTGTACCGAGGTTGGCGGACAGTAGCTCTCGCAAGAAACCCTCACTTTGCCTCTCATCAAATAGCCCAACAGGAAGTTCCTGTAAAGCTTGTTGAATCGCGTCGATGGAGACGAGATGTTCACTACGAAGCCAACTATTGCAGAAGTTTGAGCTTTCTTCATTTGCCGCAAACATGGTTGGGATGGACAAGTGGATTATTAACAAGAAAGATGTGATAGATAGACGGGCCTTTGACGGTTGTTCCCTTGTAAACGGAGAACTGCGGAGGAAGGTCAAAGCCAGTGTCAACCTTGCGTCAACCCAACTCTGAGCGCTCACCAGAGGTGGTTGTATTGAAACTCCGATAGGTAAGTCGTTATGCGAGCAACCAAGTTCCAGCAAAGCATCTTCATGTCTACGACCCGCGCATAAAACCATTTTCACGATCGCTAAATAATGACATGATTAGACTCAGTCCAAACAAAATTTCGTCATCTCATAATGGTCTAACACGGCAACGTAGGCTCATCTCCTCTGCCTTGAAACTGAAATCAGCGTCAGCTGTTGTCCAGAGCGTGCCGAAACCGAAAGAGGGAGTACAAGATTTACGGAAAAGAGGAGAGGATCAACCGAAATCAACGCAAGGTGCGCAATTTCGACTTGAAACGTGAGACATGGTTAAAACGTTTCTACGTCAGCTAAACGAAATGCACTTGGGGTCCAACTGCTTTCGCGGACCCTTCATTCACAAGTTTTCCGCAATGTCTCATTTCCCTCTCCTCCCTCCTCATATGTGCAAATATCGCGAGATCACCTTGCGATGCACGGCCTCGACCCCGCGCAGGGATCAGTCCTTCCTGACACTGGGTTTCAATTGCCGCCATTGCAGGGATCCAATCTTCTCGAACATTTTCATCGCATCGGTTCACATGCAGCGCAACCGTGGCTAAACCTCGGCAAGTCTTTTGCGTCTGGCGAGATCCCACCCAAACCAGATAACTGGGAAATTCAGAGTGGGTGGACCAAATATCAATTTCTGCCTGATGGGTCGAGTTACAGCGAACATGTGGATTATCCTACACACAAGGGAAAACCAGAAGACATGCTCACGTTCGACGTGGAAACGATGCCTAATTATCATCCTTACCCTGTCCTCGCATGTGCAGCGTCGCTGAATAGCTGGTATGTTTGGATTTCCCCCTGGCTACTGGGACATTCGGACTCTCCTCAATATCTCATTCCTTTTGGTGATCCTACCATACCCCGCGTTATTGTTGGTCACAACGTCTCCTACGATCGTGGGAGGATTCTCGAGGAATATAACGTTGTTTCCACAAAGAATCGGTTCATCGACACTATGGCTCTTCACGTTGCGGTCAAGGGCATATCTTCGCACCAGCGGCCAGCCTGGATGAAGTATCGGAAGTCCAAGCAAACGGAGCTGGAGCAACAACAGGAAGCAATAGAGGCTGTCGTTGAATTATTGGCTACTGTTGATCAGCGACTAAAGGCGGAGGCCGATCTTGCAAAAAAAGAGGAACTGCGTCAACTTCGGGAGGTTATGGCTGAGAGTCTTTCTCGTCTACAAATTTCAACTCAGCCGGACATTGACCCGGATATAGATACCCCAGAAGTTGACTTATCCTTGAAAAGATGGGAGGATCTTACGTCGGCAAATTCTTTAGCAGATGTTGCAAAGCTTCATTGCGGGATTGATATGGATAAGCAGACTCGGAGCGATTTCATGACCTCGACTCCCAAAGAGATTCTGAATAACATTGCAGACTACCTTGACTATTGCTCCACCGATGTTTCTGTCACACACCAAGTTTATGCGACTGCTTTGCCCGACTTCCTCACTGCATGCCCGCACCCCGTCTCGTTTGGAGGGATTTTGACCATGGGTTCAAGTTTTTTAACAGTCAACGAAGAATGGGATGCATACTTAGCAAGGGCCGAGAAGGTTTACCGAGACTTGGAAGAGGGTGTCCAGAACAAGCTGAAGAAGCTCGCTGAGGATGCTCGCCTGCTGATGGATGGAAAGAAAGAGGAGTGGAAGGACGATGTTTGGTTGAGTCAATTAGATTGGACTCCGAAGGTTGCTGGAAAATCAAGAGGAATCGGTATCTCCTCAGAGGTGTGTCATAGCTTATCATTTGCTCTCTCCCTCTTCATTAGCTAAATGTTGTCAAAGGTGGATACGGACTCTCTCGAGACCACAATTTCCGAGGTGGATCCCCATCCCCTGCAATCCATGCCAACACCTCAGGAAACCTCGCTCCCCGCATGGTACACAAAACTATCTCAAGATCCCTTCTCAGCAAAATCGATCGACCAAGTGATACCCCTTCTTCTGCAGCTTTCGTTCGACGGCAACCCCTTGCAATACAATTCTGAAGAACGTTGGCACTACATGGATAATGGGAACGTTTCTCGATTGCCCAGCTCGCGAGAGCAACGAACTACAAAAATTCTCGGACCCAGACACGCTTTGGCGTATCTAAGGAGCGGTAGAATGTCGTCCAGAGATGTTCAACTAGCAACATCACTATCTAGTGGCGAATTCACAGAAGATGCTCGGAGCCAAATTCTCTCTTTGGCAGAATCAATCGCATCTGAGACGCAGGCGGAGAGCGTTGAAAAAGATCCTTGGTTGTGTCAATTAGACTGGACACCGGATAATGCAAGAGCTAGAGTGAAGAAAGCAAAAATGAAGGCTTCGAAGCCACCACCTGTACTTTGGCCCAAGTGGTACTGGGATGCTACTAAACCCAAGAAAGCCATGCCTTCAGGCACGCTCGAGATCACTGTTCGGAACCGTATCGCTCCCATTCTTCTACGCCTCTCATGGTTTGGTTGGCCACTTTTCCACTCTCGCGAACACGGTTGGACATTTCGTGTCCCTTCAAACGCCAGCTTTAAGACACGCTTATCACCACTAAGCTTTTATGACCCTACTGATGATAAACTCGCAGAAGCCACACTGAGCGGCGGCTTTGTCTTCTACAAGCTACCCCATAAAGATGGCGAGAAGGCAAATGTAGGAAGCCCGTTAGGGAAATCTTTCATCAAGTTTGCGCAAGACGGCACCATGAAAAGTCCGGGGGACGAAGCCAAGGAGGCACTGGACATGAATGCACTCTGCAGCTACTGGATCAGTGCTCGAGATCGGATACTGAATCAGATGGTTGTTTGGCAGGATGCAAAGAACAAACTTGGCCTCCCGAAATTCTCCTCTGACGAGGACAATGGGAAAAAGTGGGGGATAATTCTCCCGCAAGTCATTACGATGGGGACTGTCACGCGTCGGGCGATCGAGAAAACATGGCTAACGGCAAGTAATGCCAAAAAGAATCGGGTTGGTTCTGAACTCAAAGCAATGGTTCGCGCCCCTGAAGGATATGCCATCGTCGGAGCTGATGTTGACAGTGAAGAATTGTGGATATCTAGCTGCATGGGTGATGCGCAGTTTGGGTTGCATGGTGCTACCGCCATTGGCTGGATGACGCTTGAGGGTACGAAGGCGGCAGGGACCGATCTGCATTCAAAAACGGCAAGCATTTTGGGAATATCTCGTGACCAGGCAAAGGTTTTCAATTATTCGCGGATTTACGGTGCTGGTATGCGGCATGCCATCCTTCTCCTGCTGCAATCAAATGCAAGCATGTTACCGGAAATAGCCCAGAAGCTGGCTGAAAATTTATATGCGTCGACTAAAGGCAAGAATACCCATCGAACTGATATTTTCGAGAGGAAGTTCTGGTTTGGTGGAACGGAAAGTTACCTCTTCAACAAGTTGGAGGAAATTGCACTGTCTGATAAACCTCAAACTCCTGCTCTTGGCTGTGGTGTAACTTATGCTCTCTCCAAGGAATATCTTCCGGCTGAATTTGGTTCAGATTATATGCCTTCTCGTGTTAATTGGGTAGTGCAGTCATCCGGTGTGGATTACCTTCATCTTCTCATCGTCTCTATGGATCACCTTATCTCCAAATACAACATCAACGCGAGATATCTCATCTCGGTCCATGATGAACTGCGCTATCTGGTGGCTGAGGAAGACAAATATCGCACTGCCTTAGCTCTACAAATCGCTAACTTATGGACACGCAGTTTGTTCGCTTATAAACTTGGCATGGATGATCTCCCGCAAGGTGTTGCTTTCTTCTCAGCTGTGGACATTGACAAAGTCCTACGCAAGGAGGTTGATATGCCCTGTGTCACCCCCTCTCAACCTATTCCTATACCCCCTGGAGAAAGCCTCGATATTTTCGGTGTTCTCGCGAAGACAAATGGCGGCTCGCTGTGGAAGGACGGTCGCGCTATGGCTGCGAATGAGGAGGGGCCATTCCAAGGGACTCTCGAGAGCTACGCCGAGCCTGATTGTCTCAAGCACAGGTCCGCGAGCGCAGCCTTCTTAAGTGCACAGGCCACGACCGATTTTGGTGAGGTGAAGGGACTGGCACAACAGGTTTATGGACGACCTTTTGTTGGCGGTATGAGGAGTCCTTCCTCTCATAGAAGGAAGAAGTCCCCCATCGGTAGTGGAGAAGGATTCGACTGGTCAGAAACCGTAGAGCGCATTCTGAGGCCGTGACTCTGATTAATGCTGTTTCGGTTGGGTGGTTTCTAACTTATTTTGTATTTTATAAATTGCGCATATTATAGCTCATAGCCTACCTTCATAATTGGAATAGCCGGAATTTAAAACACCTTTCCTCCCCGAGCACGCATTTATTTGGAGACACCACAGAAATATGGTTTTCACTCAGGTGTAACGTAAGGTTCAACAAGCATCTTACTAAACTCATTGAGCTTCTCTGGGCCTCTAACTTCTTCTGTGAGAAGTGGGAGTTGAATGATGTGGAAAAATTCATCATAAAGTTCGTGAGCTTCCGCAAGATATTTCTGCTGCATCTTCTGGCGAACACTACAATGTTCGCAATTGGACGCTAAAAAGATATTAATTGCGATCAAAAAGTATTGTTTGGACAACATACATTTCTTTGGGAAGAGAAGCTGGTTGACGACGATATTGTGTGTGTCGATCTCATAAGCGGTCAATTCTTGAACCAGTCGCTCGGTTTCGTAGAGCGACAAGAACTCTGAAATGCAGACGCAGACGAAAGTCGTCTTTTCCTGAAACGAAAGTTAACCAAGTTGACCGATGGAGATCAAAAAACGTACAGGATCTTTAAACTGGGTATTGACTTCAGTGATGACCCCGCGCATGGACTCAAGTTTCGCGAACATATCCTCCTGGGAACCGGCTTCACCTCCCATCATACTCGACATCTAAGATCAAGTCACGATGAGAACGCGGTAAGTATGTACAGTAACACTGTACCTGACTTATCATCGGCCCGAACCGCGATCCAAGGGAGCTTAATTTTCCAAGAGCCTTTTCCAATACTGTGGGGAAAGACAAAAAGCGAAGGGTATGTCCCGTGGGCGCAGTGTCAAACACGATCACGGAGTATTCCATGGATTTTACATGTCTAAAATGTACGGGTTAACGGGAATTGTGGAGTAGAGGCGAACACACATGCTTCATAATTTCCGCAAAGCTCATAGCTTCATCTACACCTGGTATAGCAAAGGCAAGGTCCTGCATCATAGATCCCATCATACCGTTTGAGTCGGCTGTTATCGAAAGTTAGAACTACATGTTCGAGGAAGAACCCAACATACATTGTTCAACCATCTCTTGAATTGCGCTCGTCGGGTCGATCTCCATCGCAAATAGGTTATCGAAGCCATTAACCTTCGTCGCGTCCTTAGAAAACTTCTGCCCAAATGCGTCCGACAAATTGTGCGCTGGGTCGGTAGACTGGAGAATATGTTCCAGCTGCTGAAATCTTGAAAACGGGAAAACCACGCACAATGAGTAGCACCGATTTACGGCATTTGGCGAGCTGGATGGCCAAAGAACATGAGGTCGTGGTTTTGCCTGCCCAAGGGGCGTCTCGAGCACGGTCTCGATTCAATCACGCAGTGGACTCACCGACACCACCTTTGCCACCTAGAAAGCAGTTTGTGATAATTTTAAGTGACACAAAGGGAGCACGAAGAGTTGATTCTTTACCGCAAAAAATCCATTTCAGTGAAGTTTGATCCAATATATTCTGGAGGGTTGGAGGTAAGAGATCTGTCGACATTCCGGCCAGAGAAAACGGATATGCTCGTTAGAATATGAACGAACGAAGGACGTAGTAAATTAAATAAACGCGTGTGATCAAATACCACGATTTCACTTCCTGGCAGCAAACGAATACTCAATGTCAGATAACACAATTCTGTCCTTCAACGGTATGCTCCTCCCCAATTTCCGCGAAGGATTACGACTCATGCACCCTACAAGCCCTACAAGTCGCCAATGAGCAGCGAAATGCCTATGGATTGCGGTACAATGACTTGGCACGATATCGGTATGGATTACAAAGTCCTGAACCGAAAATTCACTAACTCTGCCCAAGTAAACATTGCGCCAATCGCACTCATCGTCTAAGGTCGTCTCTCAAGGCCACGCACGGAAAAGGGAGGGATTTCAAGAAGCTACCACCCCTTAATCTGGACATTGTCAAAGAGGGACAGTGAGGCTGGTTTTTCTTATAACGCGCAACTACGCTTACAAGGACTAGCCTCCATTTGCTCTTATTTGAAGCCGAGAGAGCATGGGCGTACTCGCAGGAACTAATCGCCCATTCACTAATGCCTGCTAATGAGGCAAGGGCCAGCAGTCTGCGACACAGTGCTACTGGAAGATTCCGCCGCTCTGTTAGTTGGTCAAACCAGTTGCTCTCCCTTTGCCAATCTCTCCACGCCACTTCACGCATGTCTGCGGCTAATCTCGTTCAAGTGATCGCCTACACTGTGATATTGAATGGACGTTTCCTTCGCTACCGCGATGACTTTGAAGACGCTCTTGCTCAGCTTAGTGTCGCAAGAAACCTCCTGGACGAGCTAGCAGCAACGGCAGTCACAAGTCGTGATCAAGCTTTATCGATTTTGTTTTCAGACGAGATTGGGCCAGAGATTCGATACTGTGCGCATGAGCTTGGTCGCGCCAAGGCGTACGACGTGGACGGCATTGTAGCGGATTTGGCCCCAAAGTATAGGAACAACATCGTGGAGAACTGTGTCACTCTTATTGCAAATCTGCACTCAGAAGGCCAAGCAGCAACGCAAAGCGAGATCAGAAAGAAACTCAAACAGTTGACTTGGGAGAACGAATTGGTGCCAGTGCGGAATCCAGAGTTGGTGGATGTCCTTCTAAAGGTGCAGGAGGCCGAGGCAAGGCTTGATGGCCGAGAGCAAGGCAGTACGTCCACAGGTCCTAGTAAGCAACCCGTCAAGTCCAAAAAAGGGGTTGCTGCTTATGACACGATCCTTCTGGCGCTGAGTGATGCCGAGGAACTGGCAAGAAAACTTTCAGAGTCGCATCAGGTGCGATTTTTTGACTTTGTTTTTGTTTTTGTTTTCTCATGCCCGCTTTCTAGCTTGATAGTGCAAGCCAGGGTCCCTCATCAAGTAGTGGCCGTGACATTCATTTTGTCCACGCATATATCCTTTACCAACTCCTAATGCGTCGTACTCAGCGCGATCTTCTACTCATCTCCGCCCTGTTGGCTTCCCAGTCTGGAAAAGGGAGCAGTAGCGCCATCTCCGGTTCTGCCGGCTCGAAAACAGAACCAGTCGACAACCGACTCTTTCCTGCGGTGGTAAAACTTTTGGACACCGTTCTACAAAGTCTTGGCCAAATGAGAACACTGACTGTAGTCGACGATAGCCCTGACTTGGCTTCTGCAATTGACGCACGCTTGTCAGTAACCAAGGCGCGAAGGTTTGTTTAGATTCAAGTTCTAAAAATAGTGTTCCTGATCTACCTAGATGTCTTTTCCTAGCTCGGTGTTATACGCCACTTAAGCGGTATGCAGAGGCTCTTGTCCTCCTCCAACATGCGAACATCCACGTTCGCGAAACGAGGTCGACTCTGTCACTGTCTGACAACGATTCATTGAATGTGGCGAACCCACAGTTTTTCCCACTTCGTGACGCCGATATAGATGCACTTGAAGCCACTCTTGTCGCCGACGGTTTGCAATATAAGCGAGATTGGTTTGCCTACAATGGCGGGGCTGTCAATGCCGATCCTCAACAATACAAGAAACCACTATTTTTCAACATAGCTTTGAACTATGTTAAACTGGATATGGACCACCTGCTCGAACGTGCTGGTAAACAACCATCGCCAGTCCTAGGTCCTGTGACGGTTCAGCCATCAGTGATCAAGCATGAGGTTGTCCCCGAGAAGAAGCAGGTTAGCAAGGCAAAAGTAGAGGATGTCAGGGCTTCCACCCCCGAGCCAGAGGCACCTGCTCGCGGCGGTCTTTCTGGGTTGTTGGGAGGTTGGTGGGGACGTAGTTCATGAACGGCTGGTATATACAAGACAGAGACTGTCCTACAGTGAACTCAAAAAAAATACAATTACATTCCAAGGCATGGGGAATTAGATGGCGAAGAACTGATAGATAATGGTGAGCTGTGAAAACGAGAAATCTGAAGTACCTGCCGTACCTCTTCGGCTTGCCCCTCTGATATCGAAGAGATTCCGCCCTGCTGTCGAGCCTCCTTGGTGCTGATCAAGCCAAGCCCTCTTCCAGATTTTTTCACTCCTAACCAAAATGCTTCGTTTCCAGGACGGGAGAGACACTTTTTCTTCAGACTTGTAAGGAAGCTGCAGGGGTAACAATGTTCGGTTTCTATTTTACCACTCGCATGAATGAAATTCCTACGCGTTCCAAGCATCAATTTCATCCTCCTGAATGAATGCATGAGCAACGAAAGGGTCCTAGTCAATAAAACTCACTTCGAGTGACGTTTTTCTCATTGCTTGCATGCAATCCAGTAATTCAGTAGTCCTCCTGGATGCGAACGGGCGCATGACGATCTCGGTAATAACTGCGCCAAGATCATTAACGGCTTTACTTATAAGATCTCCTTGCGACACATTTTTTTCAAAGTCTTTGAGAGGGTAGGTTGCACCAATGATCCTTCCTGGCTCTCTGCCAAGGTCAACTTGCGGGGAGACAGAGCGTGCAGGTGTGGGTAACGGTGTTACCCGCTTATTTAGAGGGGCAGGTGCAGAAGTATTTTTCTTGTCAAGGAGAAATTCCGCATCGTCGTCATCTTCCGTGTCACTATCATTTGCAGCGACAGGAGTTCGGGAGGATGATGCCATTGTCACAGTGATCCTGGATTGTGAGGAGGTTCGATCCAGGGCGGGTTGCTTTCGATCAAGAAGTAACATGTCATCTTCATCGCGAGCGTGTACGTGTCCCTCTTTCTTGGCTTTTGCAATTTTCTTCGGGACTGCAGTAGCAAAAATTAAATAAAGACGTATTCTGAAAATAGAAATATTAAGATAACATGCCTTGCTTGACTTTGAATGCGCTTTTACACTCTTCCAGAGGCCCCCGTGCCCGTTTAAGAACCCTCTTCGGAGGTTCAAAGTACTTGACCAAATCAGGATGTGGAGGAGGGAGGGGGTTGGTCTCGATGTCTGATACGACGGCACTATGAAAAATTGCTTGTTTTGTGCGATGCACTGCTGGGTTGTACGAGAGGAGCGTATCAAACCAGGGAAGTCGGCTTCTACGGGTTTGGTCGGAGTCAACTCCAATCAAAATTATCGGAGAGGGAATATCGCTTACCCCTCTTCGTCCTTCTCTCCCGCGTCCATGAGGTCCATGGCATCCACAAACTCATCCATTGCTGTGATCTGCGCCTTTGTTGGTATGTATGGGTGTTCTTTAATCGCTTCTCCTTTTTTTGACACTAGTTGATCCAGGGAGGCAAATGTGTATTTTCGGACATCGTCGGCGAATGGCATCTGAAGAAATGTGAGTCACGATGCATTCTCTAGACCTTGAACATACATGGGACCAGAGCAAGCAATCAACTTTGTCAAATCTGGTCGGCCACAGGACTCCCATTTTGGGATCCATACCATCCTTCGTAACCCACCGAGCGATGGCCATGACTTCTTTCTCGTACATAGCTTGAACGATGGACGAAATGGCAACTTGTTGTTGAGGAGAAGAGGGGTCCGCCCAGACGTATTGGATTTCACCCATAGACAACTCGCGTCGGAACTACGTTCTCGGTTGGCAAGCAAATAAATGAAGAGAGGAAAAGAAGAGAACTGACGTTCTTTGTGTAAAAAAAACCGCAAATGTCAATTCCTTTCCTAGTTGGCAATTTTGGAAACTGGCCCTCGGGACAGGGCACGTAGGTCGTCCCGTATTTGAATCCCCTAACGAGTTCCTCTCGATCGACTCTCTGCAGATTTTGATCCTTTCCCTTTGACTTCTCATTGTCCTTCTCCCCTTCATCAAGCCCACCGTCCTCTTCCTCCATTTTCACGTCACCTTCTTCGTCTTCCTCGTTGTCTGCGTTGGGGTCTACGTAATACTCCGTCCTCATGCGAAGCTGAGAATACACAACATTGTTCTCATTGTTTTCTTCCGTTTCCTCATCGACGTTCATTTTATCGGGGTTATTGGGTCGCACACCAAATTTCTTCCAGCTCTTTGGCCTTGTCAGTGCGGTGCATTTGCTAGTCTTGACGACAATTTCTATGGCCTCTTTACCGCGAGTGTCGACATCCCCCAATCTCAGGACGGTGCCCATTAGAGTAGAGCGAGTTTGCTTGATCTCTGGGCGGGTTGTTTCGCGAAGGGCAAACGCACACGAGCCAAGCACACCCGATTTCATTGTTGATGTCAAGGTGCTGTAAAATTCTTCATTTGCACGCTATGCAGTGATTGAACTTTGGTTCTCGTTTGTTGAAATGTATCCGTAGCCCATACCTTAATGATAGTTTTATTAGGTTCTGTGTAAGGAAGTTCCTCGTCATCAAAATCAACTCCGCTATAAGCATCCTAGATGAATCAAGAGAATATGGGAGAGATAGATAAGAAACGAACACAATCGTCAAGCTAACGTCTAACCCATCCATCTTTGCAACTGTGGCTTCCCAGTCCTCAACTTCGATCGGACTTTCTCCATCTGTAACCATGATTACCTTTCGAGTCCACGTTTTTTTAGAAGACAGGTAGTTTGCTTGTGTTTCAATCCCGACAATGAGTGCGTCGATTGCTGTGAAGGGAGATGTCAGATACTCGAGAGTATAGCATTGGAGAATCTTACGATCTCCAGAAACGCTGGAAGGTTGGAGAGCATCGATCTTGGCGAGTGTGCCTGCGTTCGGTTGGCCGATAGGGATGTATTCTATGACGTTTTCGTAGCCTCCGTTCTTCTCGTTGACTATGTTATTAGTTTCTAGTTGGGGCTGGCTTTACGAGATGAAGGATGAGAGTGCAAAGTCTAACTTACCTTCAGAGCCAAAAACGATAACGCCACACTGATCCGTTTTACGGCCGTTAAAGATCTGGCGAGGCAAGTTGGGATGAGTGCTCCATGAATAGCGGCTCAGCAAACCATTTCTTGTATTTTCAATTTAATGAACTGCAAGGCCCACTCAAGATTGGTGAGATTAGCCGTTCGACACTCGCCGTCTGGGCCTGGAGGAAGGTCGATAGTTCGTAAAGTTCCCATCGACGGCGAAGTGTCGACGAGAAACATGGTGACTGTGTACTGTAGAGAGAGTCAGTGGTAGACTGAAAAGAATGACGCAGACCTACGCCTGCTCTTTCTGCTGGCATTGTCTCAAGGAGAATACTGGGAGTTGACTGGAAGTTGACTTGGAGTCTGGCTAATGTAGTCAAAATGTACTAGTAGCCAGTGCAAAGCAGTGCTGACTTAACGCGACTCGATATTGGACACGTGATCGGAGGAGCTTACGTTTCGTTGAGTCACTTGTGACCAGATTGTGACACTGTGACAGCTTGCTCTCCGTGCTCTGTCGTTGTCGAATTCATCACGAGGTTCTTGGAAAAGCACTCAAGGCGGTCATTAACAAATAAACGCGTCGAGGTAGCCGTCACTTACGACTCCTTCCCCACTCTCCACCTCCCTCTATGTCGACTTCCATGCTGGCCAGTTCTATGTCGCAGAATATCGGCCAGCAGCCAAGACAATCCAATGGCTCTGTGCCAGATTTAACTCAAGTGATCGCTGTATGTCTTCAGTCAACAACCACCCCTGCTTATCTCATTTTTTCAACGGTAGCGAGCAAACTTTTTACACAAGAATCCGGCGGAACAAAAGTCGCCAAATGAGCTTGATGGCCTGCTCAAGTATATCCAGACAATGGGTCATAGTGAGTTCCATTTAACATTTAATGTGTTCCTTTCTTATTATCTTAGTGCAAGGCCGCTCTGCAGGTCAACCACAGAATCCGACTTCACAGCAGGGTATCATGAATGGGCATGCTCAACCCCTCACCAATGGTACAACTAGTAACACCTCCATCACATCCGGGCCTGTGCCCAGCGGTCCTTTCCCTTCAACCTCTCAAACTCCCGTCTCGTTCACAACCGGACAGATCAACGCCCTACGAGCTCAGATATACGCATTTAAGTTAATCTCTCGTGGCCTCCCCATCCCAGACAATATCCAGCAAGCCATTCTAGTTCCAAATAACGCCATCCCGGAGCTGGAGAAACTACTTCAGGGCGCAGATCTTTCTTCGAGGATAATAGATGCTGCGGTTAAAGTCTCCGGGGGCGAGCCTGGAAGTCCTCTTCCCATCTCGTCTGTGGAGGATGTCATGAAAGCTGAGGATGAAGAAACACCTATAGACCCCGCAGACCTTCCTAAGGGTCCTTTCATGGAGGACGATGTCAACTCTGGAATATACCCTTACAATGCTTTTCGCCATCCTTTTTCTCATCTGAAGCGAACCTCAGACACGGACCCTACCGTCTTTGCAACACGTTTACAACGCCTTCTCGTCCCTACTATCATGCCAGCCGGTCTTGATGCCCATCAAATTGTCAACGAGAGAGAACGCTTTATCGAAGCTCGTATCCAGCAACGTATCAACGAGCTTGAAGCCCTGTCAACTACGATGGGCGAGGGGTCCTTCGACCCAACCATTGACATTTCATCCGCTGACAATGTTAAAGAAGATAAGGAGAATGAAAGGACTATATCTCGTCCCGTCGACTCTATTCAATCTCACGTATACAACTCCCTCATTCATCCTAGTCCCACCGCCCATGGAAAACTGCGCGCTCTGATTGAGCTGAAGTCGCTCCGTGTCCTTGACAAACAACGTGCAATGCGTGCATTGGTGGCTGAACGACTCACTCATGGCTCCATGCTGCCGCTCAACCGTCTGGACTTCAGACGCACTCGAAAGCCCACGATTCGCGACGCTCGCATGACGGAGCAGCAGGAGCGGAAACAGAGAGCTGACCGTGAGCGAAGAGCAAAACACAAACACGTCGAGCAGCTTGGGGTAATCTGTTCGCATGGAAGGGATGTGGTCCTTGCCAACCATGGTGCTCAAGAGAGAATTGTTCGCCTTGGACGTGCTGTCCTCAACTTTCATGCACACACTGAGAAGGAGGAGCAGAAGCGCGTTGAGCGTCTTGCCAAAGAACGTCTGAAAGCCCTCAAGGCTGACGACGAAGAGGCATACATGAAACTCATTGATACTGCCAAGGACACGCGCATCACCCACCTGTTGCGACAGACAGACGCATATCTTGACTCTTTGGCACAGGCCGTTGTTGCCCAGCAGAACGAGAGCGGCCCAATGAGTGAGATGGGCTTTGAGCAAGAGGAGGGCCCAGCCACTGAGGCAACATTTGGTGCACAGATCAACGCTGATGATGTCCAGCAAGATAAAACCAAGGTAGATTACTACGCAGTGGCACACAGAATCTCCGAGAAGGTCTCCAAACAGCCAAACCTGCTCATAGGCGGTACTCTCAAGGAATACCAATTGAAAGGTCTCCAGTGGATGGTTAGCCTGTATAATAACAGGCTCAACGGCATATTGGCAGATGAGATGGTAAGCGGTCTTCGCTCACGGGCCAGGCACGATAATACTGACTGGTATTAGGGTCTCGGCAAAACCATTCAGACAATATCTTTGATCACTTTTCTCATTGAGGTCAAGAGGCAGCGTGGCCCATATCTTGTCATCGTCCCTCTCTCCACCATGACTAACTGGTCGGGAGAGTTCGCTAAATGGGCGCCAACTGTCAAAATGGTTGCCTACAAAGGCAACCCTGGCCAGCGCCGTGCTCTACAGGGGGATCTGCGTGTGGGCCAATTTCAGGTTTTGCTCACCACTTATGAATACATCATCAAGGACCGTCCCGTTTTGAGCAAACTCAAGTGGGTCCACATGATTATTGGTAAATACACAAGTCTCAGCTTCTCATTTGGGCTCAAATAAATGATTCTCTAGATGAGGGCCACCGCATGAAGAACACGCAGAGCAAGCTAACGCAGACCCTGACAACATACTACCACTCTCGCTATCGACTCATTCTCACTGGTACCCCCTTGCAAAACAACCTTCCTGAGCTGTGGTCTCTCCTCAACTTTGTCCTTCCAAAGATCTTCAACTCTGTCAAATCTTTTGACGAATGGTTCAACACTCCGTTTGCCAATTCTGGCACAGGAGATAAGATTGAGTTGAACGAAGAAGAGGCGCTGCTGATTATTCGACGTTTGCATAAGGTGCTCCGACCCTTTTTGCTAAGGAGACTCAAGAAGGACGTAGAGAGCGAGTTGCCAGATAAAGTCGAGAAAGTGATCAAGGTTAGGATGAGCGCTCTGCAGAGCCAGCTCTATAAACAGATGAAGAAGCATAAGATGATCGCGGATGGAAAAGACAACAAAGGGTTGTTATTCTTGCCACAGTCATCTGTCATATATGGGAAGGCTCATTCATACTTTTTCCAGGAAATCAGGCAGTGTCAAAGGTTTGAGCAATGAGCTGATGCAGCTTCGCAAAATTTGTCAACATCCGTTTCTGTTTGAAAGCGTGGAAGATAAGATCAGTCCGGGTGGCTACATTGACGAGAAGATCGTTCGAACATCTGGGAAGTTGGAGTTGCTGAATCGTATCCTGCCAAAGTTCTTCGCTACTGGGCACAGGGTATGTAGCAAAAAACATTTATCTGCGGAACCCATTTAATCCTATTTTCAGGTTCTCATCTTCTTCCAAATGACAAAGGTTATGGATATCATGGAAGATTTTATGAAGATGATGGGCTGGAAACATCTACGCTTAGATGGTGGAACAAAGACAGAGGACCGCGCCTCTTTCGTTCAACTATTCAACGCCAAAGATTCTGAATACAAAGTCTTTATTCTCTCTACGAGGGCCGGTGGTTTAGGTTTGAATCTGCAAACAGCCGACACAGTCATCATGTAAGTAGATGTTGATCAGTTTCCCTTGCTGAGATTCACATTTTGTTTAGATTTGACAGCGATTGGAATCCTCACGCTGACTTGCAAGCACAAGATCGTGCCCATCGTATCGGTCAAACGAAGGCGGTGCTCATCCTTCGATTCATTACGGAAAAGAGCGTTGAAGAGGCCATGTATCAACGGGCTCGCTTCAAACTTGACATTGACGACAAAGTCATTCAAGCTGGTCGCTTCGACAACAAATCAACGCAAGAAGAACAAGAGGAATTCCTGGTATGACTTTAATAATGTTCGGCCCACATTGCTTATCCGTTGTCATTGTAGCGATCCATTTTAGAGGCTGATCAGGAAGAAGAGAACGAAGAAGCGGGGGACATGAACGACGAGGAACTCAATGAGCTGATTGCTCGGAGCGACCAGGAAAGTGTCATTTTTCGGGAAATGGACATACAGCGGGAGCGAGAGGCACAGGAATCTTGGCGTCTATCAGGCAACCGCGGAAAGCCGCCACAACCTCTTATGCAGCTGGAAGAGTTGCCAGAATGTTACCAAATGGACGAGCCATTTGAGGTCAAGGAAGTGGATGACTTGGTGGAGGGCCGAGGACAACGGCGAAGGAACGTTGTTAGTTATAACGATGGCCTCAGCGATGACGCCTGGGCACTTGTATGCATTCATATCACCATGCGCCTGCTTTTACCACTCACCTCTTTTCTTTTCTTTTTCCCTTTTTTCAGGCTTTGGAAGAAGGAGATGACTTGCAAGAGCTTTCTGAACGTGCGAGGGACAAGAAGGATCGTCGGAGCACAAATAAACTTACGGATATCTCTGCGCGTGGTACCCCGGCCTCAGACGACATTCGGAGCCGAAAGAACAATAAAAAAGGGAAAACCAAGTCGGGTGATTACGAGACAAGTCTGCCAGCGGGGTCCAAGCGAAAGCGCGGCACAAAATCCTCCTCGGTTACTCCTTCAATAGCAGACGACGAAGACGAGGACCACGATCAGGTACGCTGCTGCAGCGGTCTTCACTGCTCATACTTAATGATGGCTCATCCTAAAAGAAACGACGCAAAAAAGGCCCCATCAACAATGGGACCGATGTGTCCCCAGCTATGCGAGAAAGAATGAAGAAAGCCTTTGCCGAGTGTTATCGAGCCGTCTTGGCTTGTGAAGACGAGAGTGGTCGGAAACGCTGTGAACTTTTCCGTGACCTACCCGACAAGAGGGTTAGTCTAATCAATTTTTTCTCAATGTCTAACTTAATTTTTTTTTCAAAAGGATTACCCAGACTACTACCAACTGATTGTGCAACCAATCGCTTTGTCCCACCTACGGAAACGCGCCAACAGCAACTACTACAAGACTGTTCAGCAATATCGAAACGATTGGAACTTGATGTTCAACAACGCTCGGACCTACAACCAAGAAGGGTCATGGGTGTATGTCGATGCCAATGAGATGCAGAAGGTGTTTGATCGGACGTTCGATCGGCTGATAGCAGGAACCGATATGCCTGGTGCGCCTCCACCTGCAGCGGGTTCTACTGGGTCATACGAGTCCGCCCTGACACCGATGGAGGAAGACGAGCGTCCTATTCCAGCACGCAGTCGAAGTGCTGGTCGGAAACAAGTTATCAGTGACGAAGAGTACCTAACAGCTAGTGACGATGATTGATTGATGTTGGGGATTTCGGGTCGTCGCATCGCTCTTTTTTTTTTTGCAATAATACTTCCGTTACATGTACTTTTTGATTGTATATCTGTACCTTTCATCTGTCGACGTAAACGAAATGTCATTTCTCTTTTCCCCATACTGTGCGATACGTAATACATGCATAACTTTTGAGTATTATGAAATTGACTGCCGGTCCCAATCCTGACCTGAATAGATACAGGTATTTATAGACATCACTTAGTTAGGGGGGGCGGGTAGATAAGCGAAAAAAACCATGCGAAAAAAACAGAGGACGCCGATGCGAAGTACTTTGATAGAACCGCCGGAGAGAAAATCCGATAAAACCAGAGCATAGACGTTGAAGTCTAATCTCATGGTTTGACAATATCGGAGAACCAGCCTGCCCAACAGCTATGAACAAGCTTGATCTCGGGATAGTGTGTGTGAACGGGCAGCAGCGTCTGGCTGCGACTCGCTTTACTACTTCTTGGACAGAGACTCGAGTATTGAATGCACGCCCTGTGGCTCCAATACAACCTTTGTCCCGTCACATCGTGCCTTGGAAGTGAATTCTTGACACAATGTATTGATATCCGTGTCCTACACATCCAAATATGAACATTGACCTTGCACGGCGGAAAGATAGACAGACCTTGAAATTGGGATTTGAAGTGATACTTCGCCATGCGCTTAAAACCTCGATGTTTTGGTCGCTCTTGACTGTCTTTGGGAAACTTGACCCTGCACATGTGATCATGGAACCCGAAACGCTGTCTGTCCTCTTACGAAGAGGCATAGGGGGACCAAATGGTGAAGGTCCCGTCTCAACAATCTTCCTCAACAGATCCGATCTTGTCTTGGGGCACTCGCTTTCATCGTGTCCTGTGTCCGAATCCGACGTCAAACTCTCTCTTGGCGAGCTAAAGAGAGGGTCGGAACCGCTGAAAGATGGTGACGATGACGATGAAGAGGCTGCGGGGGAGGGCTTGTTTAAGTGGTGTGAGATGGGGCTCAGTGACGGTGTGTTCATAAAGGAGAAGTCAACGTTGTTCGTGTTTCCCAAATATCCTGACAACAGATCGTCGAATTCTTGATTATTATTAGGTTGTGGAGAAGTTCCCCATGTCGACAAATTATTCATATCAAAGTTGTAGGTGTTATTACCCGAATTGCTGGTGGAGGCGGTTGGGTTTGCATCTACGGACGGCGGTGACATTGTAGTATCAAACGCCGAAGCGAAAGTCATAAAGGATGGGTTGCTAGCGATTGTTGTGTATGGCGAGTTGGATGCAAGGCCTGTGTTGTTGCTACCGAAACCGAAATCCATGTGCATGGCGCCTTCTGTGGCCGTTGGTTGTGGAAGGCCATCGTCAAGAAGGTTGAGCATGGAAGGGTCAAAGGCCGTCAGTGAACTCCAATCCAGTGGATTTGTCGATTTTGGAGGAGATGCAATTGATGTGGACGCAATTGGGGAACGCGTCGAGCCAAAATCAGTGGAGTAGGTTCCCCTGGCAGGATCCACACTACTCGCTGCATTCTTGGGTACGGAAAAGGTGAAGGAAGTTTGCTTGAGAACCAAATTTTCGTTTTGAAGTTGAGTCAGTAAATCTCGAAGATTCTCATTTTCGTGCACTGCTTCCTCATTTTTTGTTTCAAGGGCTGCCACTTTATCTTCCAGCTATGCAAAAGGGGGTTAATAGGAGAAAATAATGATAGAAAATATTGGAGATATGCGTACATCCTTTACGTGCTTCTCCTTCCGCTCTCTGAAAGCACGCTGAGCCGCACGGTTCTGTTCCTTACGCTTCATGAGGCGACCCTCATCCTTTGGCTTTACAGGCGTCAAAACTTTCAGAAAGAAAAAGAAAAATGATTTTTACTCACAGTGGCTGCATTACCGGTAGACTTGCGTCTAGTTCCAGTTGTGCCCGCCTTTCTGTCATTGTTCACTATAAAGTTATGAGATTAAGAAGACGAAAGCTGGAGAAGATCCACATACAAGTATGCTGGGACTTTTGGCTTGGACCTTCCTGAAGATCATCAATACTGGCTTTGCGCTTTGGGGCGGAATTATCATCATCGTGGTCAGGAGAGTCGTGGTGAGAGTTTGGGGGGCTTGGGCTGCTATCCTCTGAGGGCGGAGTGATACTGGGCAGAGAATGCCTCTGGATGCTCTGTGGGTTGACAGCATCAGATAAACCGCCAAAAGTCAAGGGTTCTGTGGCTTGTGGAAACTGCTTTTGAAGCATGGCCATAAAGTCGTCGTCGGGTAGTTGGGCGTAGGATGGGTTAGAAAAATCCCAGATGGGGGTTACGTCTGGAAAAGCATCCATTCTGATAATTGAAGAGGACCTGGACAGTTATTTGGAGACGATTTGTGGAGACCAGGAGCAATGACAGGCAATGGCTATTGAAAGTTGAGTGTGGGCTAACAAGAGATACTCTCAGATAGTGGCTGATATCACTCTTACCAAGCAAGGGTCGTGACCACAATGTCACGTTGTTGTCGGTGACGTGTATACTTTCGGCTGTCTACCCGGCAACATCTGACTCGAAATATTCTCACACCCTTCCCCGACGGTGACCGTAGCGTTTCAAACGAACGTCCTTTATCGTCGGTGATACCGTCTAAGACAAGGTTCAATAGGGTCACAAACAATCTATCCTCCTTTGATCACAACATTTGATTCCGTGAAGATTGTTGAAATCTGGTACAATAAGTAACGATGTCGCGCCTCCTCATCCAGTACTTGGCTATTCAAAATAGTTCCTGTTTGCGTTCAACCCCCCCTCAGCCTAACCAGCTGGTATGAGGTTCTATAAAGCCACAAACAACTCCATCATTCCAAGACCTTGTCGGTTGTTGAACCTAGATCGCGAACGCTGTTGAAGCGGAATGCCAAAACACACTTAGGCGTAGTTCTCGCGTGCCCACTTGGCTCCCTCAACGAGGTTAACAAGAGACGCTTCAGTCTCCTTCCACCCGCGGGTCTTAAGCCCGCAATCCTGCAAAGTTTTTATATAAGAAATGCAAGAGAAAGTTAAAAAGAAGGCTACGAACAGGGTTGACAAACAGGAGTGAGTCAGGGAGGATATCAAGCATGGATTTCAGTCGGTCCTTGATTTCCTGGCTTCCAGGAACACGAGGAGAGTGGATGTCATAGACACCAGGGCCGATTTGGTTAGAGTAACCGTACTGTTTGAACGTGTTGAGGAGCTTCATGTCACTCTTCGACGCTTCGATCGATATAACATCAGCGTCGAGACGCTGGATGGATGGGAAAATATCATCAAAGTCGGAGTAGCAGAAGTGGGAATGAGTCTGGAGCTGATCGGTGACGCCAGCTGTCGAAAGTTTGAACGAGTCAACAGCCCACTTGAGATAAGCATCCCAGTCAGAGCGACGGAGAGGCAACTGCGTTACATGTGAGCAAAGAGACAAGATAAATTTGTTAATCAGCACGAACCCCTTCACGGATGGCAGGTTCGTCGACCTGGATAGCACTGATTCCAGCCTTCTCGAGGTCAATGACTTCATCACGGAGAGCAAGTGCTAGCTGCTTGGACTGCAGTTCACGAGAAACGTCAGCCCGAGGGAAGGACCAGTTGAGAATGGTGACGGGTCCAGTAAGCATGCCCTTCATAGGCAATTTCGTAAGACTTTGCGCATAGCTACTCCATTTAACCGTCATGGGGCCAGAGCGCGACACATCGGAAACGATAATGGGAGGGCGTACATAACTAGAAATATACGTCAATATATTAATTACAAAGACGAGAATCCGTTCAACTCACCGGGAGCCATAGCTCTGAACCCACGCGTTTTGGGTGAAAACAAAGCCATGCAGTTGTTCACCAAAGTACTGAACCATGTCATTCCTCTCTGGTTCTCCGTGAACCAAAAGATCAAGGCCGATCCTTTCTTGGAAACGAACGACAGTTTCAACCTCCTTCTTGATAAATTCTTCGTACTCTTCCTCTGTGATTTCGCCCTTGCCAAGCTTAGCACGGGCTTGACGAATCTCCTTGGTTTGCTATATATAGAATGATTAGCAGCGAACATTTTGAAGAAAGGGATGCGACATACAGGGAAGGAGCCAATGGTAGTAGTGGGAAATTTGGGGAGGTTGAGATGCTTGGCCTGGATTTCTTTACGAACGGCGAACGGACTCTGGCGCTCGAGTTGCTCTGGGGTGACGGCAGCAACGCGCTTGCGCACAGCGTCGTCAGAGTTGGCCTCGAAAGCTCGGCGCTTGGCAATTGACGCAGTGTTCTCTTCGAGAGCGGCAGCAACCTTGGCATCTTGGGAGCCAGAAAGAACAGCTGCTATTGTGGCAACTTCGCCTGCCTTCTCGAGAGCAAAGGAGAACCAATCTTTCTGTTCGGGGGTCAGCTTGGTCTCTGAAGCGAGAGTGACAGGAGTGTGAAGAAGGGAAGAAGAGGTGGCGACAACAACGCGATCCTGTCCAAGGGCGTCAATTGCCTTCTGCCCCGACTTGATAGCGGCAGCAAAATCGGTCTTCCAGATGTTGCGACCCGAAACAAGACCCAGTGAGAGAACGATACTGGTGGGCTTCACGGCCGCGATGACTTCATCAAGTTGGCCTGGGGCACGATCAAGGTCAATGTGAAGTCCAGCGACGGGGAGCTTGGCCACGTAAGTAAGGTTAGAATCGAGGCGAGAGAAATAGGTCGTGAGAAGGATCTTTGGGGATACGGGTGCAAGCTCGGCGTATGCGGAGGAGAATTGCTTCCCAAGGCTAGCAGCAGTGTCAAGGACAAGGACAGGCTCGTCAATCTGAACCCATTCAGCACCAGCAACTTTGAGGTCAGCCAAAAGAGTTTTATAAACGGGAAGTAGCTTGGGAAGCAGGCTGATGGGCTGGAAGCCAGGTTTAGCCTCCTTCGAAGGCTTTCCAAGGACAAGGAATGAGATGGGCCCGAGAACTACGGGGCGCGTGGTGACGCCTGCGGCCTGGGCCTCCTTGAATTCCTCGACGGCCTTGTTAAAGTTCAACTTGAAGTCCGTTTCGTCGGAGAACTCGGGGACGACAAAGTGATAGTTGGAGTCAAACCTTCAATGACAACGTAAGAAATCAACATCGCCCCAACTCGGACAGTGACTGAGTTACTAACCATTTTTTCATTTCAGAAGCAGGGACATCGACGCCCTCTGACTGGCGCCCACGACCCATGGCAAAGTAAACGTCTAGGGGTGAAAGTCCAAGTCCGACATATCGCGTGGGGATCACATTGAACGCAGCAGAGTGATCCAAGACATGGTCGTACAAGGAGAATTCACCACTAACGCGATATATCATCAGTGAAGTTATTTTTAATCGATGGAGATCTGATCAGACCTGGGGACGAAGTCGACGCCCTTAGCCTTGACGTTGATCCAGCTGGTTTTCTTCACTTCAGCAGCAGCCTTGGTGAGAGCATCTGCAGAAATTTTGCCTGCCCAGTAGGCTTCAACAGCTTTCTTCACTTCACGGTTTGCACCTGACAATCGTGATGGGAGGATGAGTCGAGACAGCCCAAGGCGCAATGGTCAAAAAGAAAACTACCGATGCGGGGAAAGCCAAGCACGCTGGAGGCAACCATATCTGCAAAACAACAAGCGAAGAGTGGGAGAGGGAAGGAAAGAGTTGAATTTATCTTTGAAAAAACGTCCCATGTTTTATTGCGATTGCGAATCCCCCTAGAAGCACGTGCTCACGCGCCAATCAATCTCGTACTCATGGATCTGAATCAGATCTACAGATATTATCTTGGAATAAAAGGTGGAAGCACCTATGCACTTTTCATAAATGGTTCAGCCTGCTGATTACCCCCAAAAAAAGTGTGAAGTTGAGCACCTTGTTTCTTATTAACAACGTGGACTACTAGGTATTACTTGTGAACAAAGGCTAATGTATGTCCCTGCTGAAATGCGGGCCGTCATACACGATGTCAGATCGATGGAAATGGATGAAAGATAGTAGGGTCGACAAAGGTTATCCCGAGATGGTGGGGAAAAAACGCGAAAGTGTGGAAGGTATGAGATCGCAGTGAATCACTGGAACGAGATGTTAGTTTTCAGATTGGTTTCATCGTGAAGGGCACTGACATAGTACTCGATCTCAAGCTAGAACGGCAGTGAAGATGAAAGGTGCATGCGCTGGTCAGCTGTTTTCAGCAAGGAGAGGGGATCAGATTGAACATACGAATAGAAAGGCCACGTTTTCGGGCCAAAGGATATTAAGCCCGACAGGGTTAAACAACGCAGCGTTCAGATCGTCGATGAGATCATGTACTCGCTTCATTTCCTATCATCCCTCTGTCACTGGCCTCAAGGACGCATCCAGAAGGAAACTCACCTTTTCGTAATGTGTTGTGACAAATAGCTTTGAAAGTTGCAAACTGAATACCGTTAAGACGTTGTCCAGGAAGGAATGTCGGAGGCTGTGAGCTGAGATAAGGAGTTCATTGATAGAGTTAATAGACTCGAGGAATTGCGTGGGGGTGACCTAAACAAGCAATGTTAGCACATATATAGAAGCCAATCTGATAAAGGGAACATACTCGGTTTTCCAACTCAAGGGGGTATATAGGAGCGAATTGGATAAGTTCTCCGCCAGTGTAGTCTCTCTCGACCCTAATGATCTCGCGAGGGTGGTGAACACCAATTTGTCCAATAGGCGCGGTACCGTAAGCTGAATCTGGAGGTGGTGGTCCAAAGTAGTAGGATGATTTGGGTATAAGTGGACGTGCATTCCTATTCACAAAGATCAATCTCGAAGGCTGAAAATTATGAAGACGACGCACGTAGTGCTTTGCATGGCATGGAAATTATGCGACGCAGATGGTGAATAGTAGCCCGGTTTTCTGTGGTCATTAGGAGGGTCGACCAGGTCCCATGGATGAGGAGATGGGGGCTTGAGATCTAGACGAAGATGGGAAGCACGTCGAGAACCAACAGGCCTCGTGCTCGCATCAGGGTACAACAGTTTCCCGCTAGCGTCCACAATATCACCTGCTTCCCCAACTATCGTGATGTCGTGGTTTGCTTCGGCGACGTCCTTTTCCGCCAAGTAGTTTTGAAGGGGATTAGGGCCGGAGACTGATGCTTTTTCCTCGGTGTGAACTCCCGACAGCTGAAAACTTGAGTGAATTGTATCGACGCCTATCTTTGCAAGTGATTCCTCTGCTTCCCCGTCGTTTCCCTCGACCATAGTTTTATCTTGAAAAATCGTCGTTTCGCCGTCTGCATCTCCGGTGGAGCTAGATTCTGCATCGTAAATGCTTGAAGACCGACGAATTGGTACAGGTTCCAGATCCGCAACGACAAAAGGTGGAGATCGCTCGTTAGGCAGTGAACATGCTGGAAGTGTTGGAAGCAGTTCCAAATTCATGTCATTGAAGCAGGAAGGGGTACGAAAAGGTCGTTGTCGGATATATAACGATTTGAAAGTTGAAGTAGGCCAAAGTCACATAAGGTGACAGCAAATTCGAGCCAAACACAAAGTCTAGGATAATTATTCTCTCAATTCTTATGCAGACGCATATTGCTTCAAAGGGCTAATAATCAATAACGGACCATGGTCTACTTGTGCAAGATGAAAGTGGATAGATATACATGGAAGACTCAAAAATCAAATATCAGTGACAAAACTTCATAAACTAGGCTGCCTCTTTTTTATCGGAGGATGGTGAAGGAGTATGCTTCGCAGGGGGGGACCTCAATGAAGGTGTCATATCAGGAAGCTTAACACGAGAAGGAGGCGAAGCCGAACGGTTCCCATCAACTTGCATTCGTTCATGATCGCCATGGGCACTTGGGGAGGGAGCAGTGGAGGCCGGAGAGAGGGTGGCTATGGGCGGAAGTGCCAATGAGGTCGATCCGCTGCCGTGCGTCTGTGAAAGCCCTGCACCGATGGGACGGGGATGAGGCGGAAGAACAACAGCGGGAAGGGGGGGACTTGGAGGGTAATCATGAGGTTGGCGTGCCTCGGGCGAGTGTGGTTGAGTGCGGAACGGATCGGGGGACGGGCGTGTCGAAGGTACTGGTGTGCGACCCTCAATTGATGTTGATGATACTCTATGCTTCACGTCCACTCTGTTCTCTATCCTTGACCGCTTATTGTCAGATTCTTCTGAACCCGGGCTGCGAGCTCTCTTGAGCTGAGTTGCTTGCAAAGTTGGAGAAGCGTGGCTGCGCGTTGAAGATACTGAGTTCCTATGGGACTGGAGTGGCTGAGGAGATGGATCGCTATGCCGGCTGCCGGATGAAATTGTTGGCGAGTGAGTAGGGCCATCGGATGGTGCTGCCAATTCAGGAGCACGATAAGATGCCAAGCCCATAAGTGCGTCAGCAACGCCCTCATCGTAGTCCTCGTCTACAACACGGGACGGGGGACGCGCTGCTGCTGCAGTTGGAGAGGGCTGAACCGAGCGCGACGAACCAGATCCATTAGAACTGGCGGGCTCTGGTGAGGTAGGACCTTGAAATAGTCAGATACAAATGATGCTCAGGAAAATGTTTACTTACCAAACGTCTTGGGAGTTTCTGACTCTCCTTGCTCCTCCTTTGTACGCTTGTGAAGACCCCTTTTCCGGCGTTCCTTCTTCGAAGGGTCTTGTATAACCGATGTATGAGGCGGGGGCAATTGCATGTGAGGCAAACCTTGGTTTTGGGGCTGCATTTCAAGGTCCTTCTCCTTCGTCGAGCGTCGTCGACGGTCTTTCAAGTCTGGTAAGTGTGAAGAGGGGCGCGGGCTCTCAGAACGGCGATTGCTACCCATAGCGAGATGTGGTGGTGGAGGGTTTCTCATCGAATTACGAATCCCCTCAGGAGATCCTGGATAGCCACGATTATCACTGCCATACTCCCGAGCATCTCGAGCATCATGTCGTGGATCGTATCGACGGCTTGGTCCCTCATGGTGAAGAGGTGGGGGAGGCGATGGGCGATGTGTGTGAGAATGAGGAGGCCCTCCTGCGTTCTTTGAGTCCCAGTAGCGTGGTACTTGCGGTCGTGGTGAGCGCTCGGAAGGGCTGTGTGGAAGATGTCCACCTGGGGAACGAGGGGTGTAGAACGGCTGGTGCGTGGAGGTGGGAGGAGGATACTCTCCATTGTGTCTTGGACGACGCTCGCGTTCAGCGCGATCCCAATCGCGTTGATCAAGGGGGGCCCGCCGATCCCAATTGCCGTCTGGTTCCGCGGGGCGGGTGTGGTCTACAGACGGATGAGGCCTAGGAGAGTGTTGTGGCGGTGTGGCACTAGGCTGAGCAGGTCCAATCGCTTGCCGACCTGGTGGCGGATAATTTTGAAATGCGAGTGGGGAACGTGAGTGGTTGTTATGAGACGGGGGCGTCGGAGATCGAGATCGAGGCCGTCTGAAGTAGTGTTGATGTCCCCCGTTTCGCGGGTCGTCTGAAGTGGGGTGTTGCTGGGGGGGAGGGTGTTGCAGAAGTAGGTTGTGATGACCGACAGGTCCCCTCGAAGGCACGTCACGTTCACGATGAGATGGGTGAGCGTAGTCACGACCGTGGGGAGGCGGCCTGTCAACTTCCATGGGAGCAAGAGGGGTATGTGATGGGATGTGGCGGCTATCATCGAGGATGACTGGAGGTGGTGGTCCACCCCTGAAAGGTGGAGACGATTGTGTTCCTGAGTTGGCCTGAGGGGGTGGGAGAGGCATCTCAGCAGATGGCCCACGAGAGTCTGTTCTAAACACTGGTCGGTGGCTAGCAGACTGGAGGAGAAGAGGCGGGCCATTGAGTCCCGGTGGCGGGACGACAGCACTTGCGTATGCCGTTGGATGGACATCCTGGGGCCCAGGCGCTGCAGGGAGCTGTCCACCAGTGGCTTGAGCTGTCTTCAGCAATTGTAAGCGCTGCGAAATGGCAGGGTTGTTTGGATCAAGTTCGCTAGCACGAGCGTATGCATCAATCGCATCCGTGATTTGGTTGTTGCAGCTCTCATACAAGCTGCCCAGGTCAAACCAAACTTCAGAAATGTAGGGGTTGATCCGAATTGCACGGGAATACGCGTCGAGAGCATCACGGAACTGGTTGATTTGAAAATAGAGAACCCCGATGGAACACCAGAAAGTTGGATTGCGGCCATCGCGGTACACTGCTTGTTGGTATGCCTCATAAGCCTTGTTGTACTTCTGACCAGCCATGTATGCGCGACCGAGCAGATACCAACTTTGAGCGTCAGAAGGATCTAAATATGGCCAGTCAATGTGGACAAGGTAAAAGAGAGATCTAGTACAACATACCAGCTTCAAGGCTTTTGGTGAGATACTGTATTGCTAAGTCTTGATTCTGGAATGACGAGCCGTCTTGGTGATAAAGCCAACCGAGCTGCTGAAGGACCTTTGCATGTCCGGGGTTGTCAGCGACAACGCGTTCATATGCATCTTTCGCGCTGACATGCTAATGGCCGGAAGTGAAATCATAAAAAACATAAAGATAATTAAGACTGCTTACGTTTTTTTGTTGTTCGTAAACATGGCCGATTTGGAACCAGATGTCTGCATGGGCGAGAGGGCTGGGAGGGTTCCGCAGAATGCGGTCGAAACAGCCAAGGGAGTCTTCATACTTTCCTTGCTGCTTGTAAATGATGCCAAGCCGGAAAAGGATTTCATTTGCTTTATCAAAATCTAGATCTTAAAATTAATCAAGACAGGCGTTAGGTTGATAGCGACGGAGAAAGGCTGACCTTTATCCATACGAAGAACAGACGAGAAAGCTTCTTCGGCGTGGTCGAGAGACCCATATCGATCATAGAGTATTCCAATGCCATACCAAAGCTTTGGGTCCTCCTAAATGATAACAAGGTAAGCGGGGGGAAAAAGAGACTGGTGGAAGAACATACCTTTGGATTTGGGAGCAGGTAAAGGGCCTGTTGGTAGGCGGAGTAAGCTTTTTGCAGGTCGTCCTGCATCAAGTAGCAGTGACCTAGATAAGACGATGTTAAAAATAGGAAGAAGCATACGCTGGAAACAGACTTGCCTAATGCGCTCCATACCTCGCCGTTCTCTTCTTGCAGACCGAGAACACGTTGAAAATAATCGATAGCCTAAAATTATGGCACCCGTCAGATTGGATCGAAAAAAAAACATAATCAAACAGAAGGATTTCGGAGGTTCTTATCCGCGGAGGCGCGGCACCAATTGGCTCGGCATCAAAGCAGCGGCAAATTCGAAAGGAGAGGAAAAACTTTACTTTGGGATAATTCTCCTTGATCCGAGCGATGCCTGCAACCTGCGTCAACCCCGATAAGGACATCGGGTTGTGCCGCAAAGCGTTTTCGTAAGCGGAGAGGGCATGCTCCAAATCCCCCATCTGCTCGGCAACTCGACCTAATGCAGCACAGCATAGCATTAGCATCCATGCGTAGGTAGGGACTAGCCAGATGACGAAATTATCATACCTATCAAAAGCCACGTCTTCTCGTTTGCAATATTGAGTTTGTGAATAATGGATGATGAGGGTGGTGGGTGGACACTACTTGGCGCACTGGAAGCAACGACCGTAGGGGAGATAGTGTTGGAGCCATTCGAGATGGGACCTGAAGGTGGTGGGATGGATGAGTTGCCGTTCATGTGGTGGGGTGGATGTGGTTGAGCTTGGGGTGGATGGGACATCAAGTGAGGATGGCCAGGAGCAGGAGGGTCTTGCATACGAACGTCGCGGTCGGATTGGCGGGAAATGTGCCGATGCGACATGGTGGAGAGGAGCTGTCGATCAGCGGTGGGGACAGGGACAGAAAGATACTAAGAGGACAGGCGGAAGGAGAGGGGGGCAAAAGAGTAGTCATCAAGGCAGCGTGGTGATATATATATAATAAAAGAGGGAGAGATCAGGGCCCAACGACCGGCTCCCCTCGCACGATCATGGCGATCAAGTGGAAGAAAGATTGCATCTAGTGCAGGGAAGTTTAGGATGTCATTTGAATGTCTTTTGTGTCGAAACAGCCGCGTGCCTTTGTTTTGCCGAATTTAGATTGTTTCCGTGTTGTAATCGGTTGCCTTGTATAAACAATCTGAGATAGCTTCTTAGATTCCTGTCACCCTGTCGCGTGGCCGCATTGATTCGCACTGAAGAAGGCTAAACGACGTGGAGCCAAGTAATAATGAACATGTCTGCTTGCAGCCGCGTGATTGCGGAATGCGGAATAGGGGATTTAACCTCACAAGTACTTTGCAGAGGTGAGTCCTCGAGCTCTACAAAAAAAGTCGTTTTGGTGGCTCTAGCTACTCGTCCCAATCACCGACGCAAGTTGCCGTTTCATACTTGACACGTCGCTTTCAACCTGAGCAATGGCCCGATGGGATCTCGGATGACATGCACAAATGGTCCGTTGCCCCGGCTCTGGGGAAGATCTAGAACCTCTTACCATATTTGCTTATGTGATTATGTTTGGCCTTGGCAAGGCACGTCACGATCAATGCTCCAATTGCGTAATCTTATCAGGATCAAATCTAGATCCCTCTGCCAGCCCTAAACGGCGTACGCGGTTCGATGCGGCACCGTTTGGGAATACCTCCTGATTCTTGAACATCCCTGGGTTGAAGGGCTGCTGACCAACTGCTGACCACCTCTCTGACTGAGCAAATGTGAGCGTTTAACATTCAACGTTGAACATTTGCCCAATTGAAATGTGTGATCTCAATTTTCGGCGCTGATGTCGAAAATAAACGACTACAATAAACGACTACTGTACTTTCTTTCCGACCAGAATATCCGGAAGTGCTAGAAGGATGGACTTGATTTCGAGAGGTACGTAAGTATATAAAAGTGCACACACGTCTATGTTCTTCCTTCCGGGCCGAAGGGACTAACTGGGACTCATCAAGGCAAACTTTATGGCCACTGGCAAGACATTTCTTCCGTTGCGGAAGCAATGAGAAGTGGGCTTGCCAGCGTCGGTATCGTGATGCACCTCCTTCTGGGCGCGGTGATAGATAGTGATGGGGAAGGATACGAGTACAAGGGTCAATGAGCTTCTGGTGATAGCAAATAAGTGCGGTGAGATGGATCTGGAATGTTATTCACTCGGTCTCCCCCAAGTTCTAAAGACAGTAACACGCACCAAAAACTGGGTTGAAGCTTGCACGCCCAACCATGTTTTCAAAAGCAACCATGGTCTGGGGATCCGAGCTGGGTTCCTTTTGGCCGGTAAAATTCCGACAATTTCTCCGATCGAATTCTGCACTGCTTTTGCTTTTGAGCTGTCGTCGGTCGAACACGTTGGGACTCTTCCTCAAGTCGATCGGCGCAGCTGTACCATCATGACCCGTAAGTATTCAAGGCCTTCCACTTTCCGTCGTTTTGCACTATGTTCTGTCTTGATTGAAGACCCTTGTTGGCGCTCAGGGGGAAATCAACGTGAACAGGATCGCCTCAAGGCTCAGAAGAAGGCCGTGGCAGGCCAGAAGAAACCGAAGGAGAGTGCGGCTACTTTGGCTAAGCGGAAGGAGGCGTAAGTTAACAATTTCAATTTTCTCAAGTAAATGTAGAGGGTGTTGATATGTTTATGGCCAGAGATGCTGAGATTTTGAGGGCTAAGCAGAAGGTGTGGACTCAACCCCCTATGTATTGAACAATCTTAACCCGGTTGTGATCTTTTCATCAGAAAAAAGAGGAAGAAAAGGCTGTTGCTGAGGGGAGTAAGAAATAGCATCAATTTGGAGGCTTAAGGGTGCTTTATTCCTGGGATCGTAGCGGTCATTATTTACTATTGTCGACGCTATGAGTCATGAAGCAGTTACAGCACCCCTTGATCAGCCTCTGGCATCCTGACAATAGGAATTCTTGGACACTCGCGATTTTACATGATGTTGGTCCACAATTTATCTCCGAATTAGTAAACTTGGGTTGAGAAGGTTACTAGCTAGTGATCGCTTACAATCATGGTGATGTTGTGCATATTATTGACATCTGCTACTACTTACATGGCCATGGTGGGGCATGGTTAGCGATCTTGTCGACGTCACTCTGGTCAGGATACTGTACTTACATCCATGATTGATTAATCCAAGAGAAATGTTGAGTATTGACGATAGGACGTCGGTAACTAATGTGTATAAGCGTGCATACGTGCGGGATAGATATATTCCGGAGCGGTCCCAATGAAGAACAACTGGGATGTTTGAATATTTGTGCGGCTCGCATTTGGCTCGCATGGAAGAGCGTTCCTATTTCCTTCAGAATCTGAACTTGATGCTCCAATCCGACTCCTAAAGGACATGCTTATTTAAATATGCCTAGATACACTTGGTGGCGGAAATGGACCTGGACTTCATCAACGAAAGCTGTCAAACACAGGACAGTGCATATCGAGACACATCGGTGGGTTGGCTTGGGTTGGGCAAGGTTAGAAATTTTGAAATGCTCGCCAATCGTCTGGTTCCATTTCCGCCCATGTGATGCATCAGATTCTCCCAAATGATCTTCGCCCCTTCGAGATAGCTGTGCTACCCTGTTTAAGGGGTTAAAGGTAGCGTCGGACAAGATTTAAATAAATCACCGTAAGTACACACATTTGACATTTGTTTGACATGCATAGGCACTTGCACGGGAAGGACCGGAATACATCTGTCCTGAAAATGCTGGCAATACCCCTGCAATACCCTAAGATTGCCCAACCACCAAATTTATGCACCTCGTGCAAACTATCAAGGTTCCACCAACGACAGGACAGGGCACTTCACTGACCCAACTTGATCTCCATGGCACATTGGAAGATGCAAAGAGTTGAAGAAAAAACCCGACATATTGTTAGAGAACATAGATGATTATTTAATTTTCACCGAACCCCCTCCTTCCAGGCGCCTTCTTCTTGTTGGTGATTCCAAGTCTTGTCCACTTTTGTACCGACCCCAGTTTGGGGTCGGCGCTGGAGATAAGTAACCACCAAAATGATGTGCTGGAAATGGAGTAGCTGGGATAGGGAACGAGGGCGGCGGTTGAGATGGAACCGCAGGGGTCGGTTGATGTCGAGCACGGTACAAGGAGAGAAGGGTGTTGATGAAAACGGTTAAAAACGCTAGCGATGTCAAGGTAAATATCTGGGAAGGATTCAGTCAAGAAATTGGATCATACTGCTCGCGTAAACGCACCAAGGTTTTCCAGCTGATCGGCTCGACAAAGCCATTTACGACTTCTGCGATCAACTCGGCACCAACCTTTGCCCGACCTACCACTGTTGGATCTCGATTCATACAGGCCTCCCAGCTGCCGCATTGCTGTGCCATAGCGGGAATGGGATTGGTGGCACAAAGGTTATTTTTAAACTGCAAAGCACACATTGCTATCTCTTGAACAATATCTGTGGAGGTTTGTTGAGCTCACAAAAGGGGGAGCTCAAATTGGGAATTCACCTGAAGAATATTCAGAAATACGTAGCTCGACGTCCCGTTGTACGGTCAGAATGAATTGCACGACGAGGTACAAAAATAAAAGGATGAGGGATAGGTTGAAGAAGAATTGCAGATATCTAAAACATTGTTAAAGAACGGTCCTTTATAAAAGACGTAAAATACTAACCCAAGAAGAATATAGGGTGTGTCCGACTGAGGCGCAGGGTGAGCAGGCATATTGAGCGTAAAGTGGTTTGAGGTGTTCTGCCTTCTGATGGGCACTATAGAGCCGTTATCTTCGTCATTTTCACTGCCAGAACCAGGGTCTGAGTCTAAGTCGCCTTCTTGCCTTCGTCTTCCATATATTTTGCTACCCGGCGATTTTACCCTTTGGTTGTAAACACGTCTCATTGCACCAGTCGCCACTGGCCTGACCTGATCTGTATCCCTTTCCTCGTATTTTAATGGGCTGATTTCCGACATGTCCACATCCGTGACCTCCTCTTGCGACGGAAAAGCTTTCGATGGGGAAAATTGCGGCGGAGGGGCCCATGGATGGGAACGGGGAGTCTGCGGAACTGACGTTTGGGAGAAAAGAAAAGGAACATTTTGTATAGAGCCGAATGTAGGTGTTTGTGAAAGATTCGATAAAGAAGGGCTAGGCGAGTTGAGATCATCGTGTGACCCTGTAAGAATGTTGAGGTATGGCAAGGGAACAGCAAAGAAGGCCACATACGTTTCCGAGGGGTGCTTGGGTCAGGTGCTGCCCACACAGGTCGGACCTCGCTTCGATTAGTCCATTGGTAGTCCATTGGGGCCTCTCTAGACCTTTCAGATTGTTCTCGTCGTGACATGTCGGCTGCTGGCAAGGAGGAAGCGTGAACGCAACGTCGTGTTGCCAACACAGTTTCTTTCAAGTTTCTTTGGCTTTGTTGACGCGTTCGTCACGCGCTGCCACACTCATAAGACCACCATGTTGCGACTCTTTCCTCATCGGCTACCTGTTCTAGCTCGTTCTCAGTGCATTCGTCGATTTCATCCTTTGTCGGCTAATTATTTTTCTCAAATACAAGAAAAATGGTCTTCTCCGCCATCCGCAAATCTCGTTCCCATAGTCATTGAGCAAACCGTCTGCACTGCTTCAACTTTCTTGCGTATCTCACTTATCGCAATCATAGGGAAGAGGAGAGCGTTCCTATGACATTTTCTCTCGCCTTTTACGAGAGCGTGTCATTATGCTTCATGGCACAGTAAGGATGTAGAAATCTCCAACCGCCTCAAACTGACACATACTAGATACGCGACTCAGATTCAACGCTAATCGTTGCTCAACTCCTTTTCTTGGAAGCAGAGGACTCCACCAAACCTATTCACCTGTACATCAACTCTCCAGGAGGGAGCGTAACTGCAGGCCTCGCTATTTATGACACAGTAAGCTCCATCATGCCATATCTACTCGGGGGTGCTGAATTGTTTAGATGCAGGTATAATTGTGACATCGTCAACTAAACCCACCATTTGACAAGCAATGCTTTTAGTATGTTTCATCTCCGATCCACACCTACAGTCTCGGATTGGCAGCTTCCATGGGCTCCTTGCTGCTGGCTGCTGGCGAAAAAGGAAAGCGACACTGCTTGCCGAATGCCAGTATCATGATACACCGTAAGCATATATCTGAGCCCAAGTTTTCTACTTCATTCTTTTTTTCTTTTCACTTTAGAGCCCTCAGGCGGTGCCTCAGGACAGGCGTCTGATATCGCTATTCATGCCAAAGAGATTTTACGCATACGGCAGGTATTAACTGGTATCTATCAGCGCCACTGTGGGAAGGACGGGGAAAGCCAAGCAGAAGGTCTGGCGCGATTTGGTGAGTAACGTTATAACCACTAGGCGGGTGCTTCAAACTGATAATAACACTCATTTCAGAAAAAGCCTTGGAAAGAGACTATTACATGACGGGTAAGTTCTCGTCCTAATTTGAAGTCTCCTCTTAACATCTCAATTTTGAATAGCCCAGGAAGCTATGGAATTTGGTATTGTTGATGGCATCCTCGAGAAACGACCCTCAACTGAGCCTACCCTTGCGCCATAATTGATTCCGTCGACATTATGTCATAGACTTCGCACATGGTCCAATCCACGCAATCCATTGTAATTAAATTTACCCCCACATCCATAAATGTATTCCCACCACTCAAACACCAACTACGACAAGGTCATGTGAACCTCAGCCAATCATTTGTACCTTTTCTCCATTTCGCGAGAGTCGCCCAACAATGAGTAAGAAATGTTGACAGTGCCACCCCCGAGTTAATCCCGCGATAGATCGATGGACACTCACATCAGGAGCGTCACCAAGCTTTATTTTTGGTCCTTCGCTGCGTCTACGTAAGTGTATGTTGTGGGCTACACCCTTTTACATAGCACTCGATCCAGTTCCTGAACAGATGCCTATCATACGCCAAGTTTTGGGTTTATATATCTTCATGTTTAGTGGCCCTTGGATTTGGGATTGGCTGCGTATCTTGACAGTTGCAGTGCTCCTAGAATCTGGCTAACCTAAGAAAGGTAGAGAGCAAAGAATCCTGTTCAAATATTACAATCGCTATAAAATCTGCGAATAGAATAGTAATGATCTACATCATAGACGTCAAGGCGTTAATACGAACTACCGTCCAGGTCCGTTGTACCGGCTGTCATCAACCCATGCAGTCTGATTATTGGCTCCATATCTATAACCTAAGTCTCCACTTCCCGTCCCTGATCTAGATCGGTCATGGGCTGCCGGGGGAACGCGAGTGTAACCACTTTCGAGCCTCCATGAAAACAAAGCGCAATCATATCCGAGGATCAACATACCTGGTCCCAGGCTGCGCAGATGTTCCTACAACCCTATCGTATCTCGGTTGGAAGGTTGGATCTTGACTTGGAATTCTCTCGTGGTCTCTTCCCATGGACTGCTTTGGGATGACAGTTCTCGCCGCCGAGGTGCGCCTTCCACAGCAACGTCTCACCCCTGTGAGTATAAACAGTATCGGGCGTTAGAAAAGACACAACGTCAAGCAAGAGGACTCACCTCTAAACATAGCCCAAAGAACCAGAAACGCCACAAGCGCTGCAACAATCGTCACGGGAATAGAAATCTGCAGATTTTGCGTGTACCATGCCTATTTTATGAATGAGTGTGACACGGAACGGCGATCGCGGGGGTAGATATATACCTTTGCGGTGTCTAAGAACCCTGCCGCTTGGCATTTACCAGCTACGCAACTACCGCCGAAACCTGGTTCTGTATCAGAATCTCCGCAGCCAACGGGGGATGAGGGAAGACACGTTCACGTACCACAGGGTGATCCATCAATAAGCAACGACGTCAGCCTGACGCATGCTCCTGCATTGGTGGGGTCCTGGCAAGAGATCTGACAAGATTGGTCGCTTCGATCCGGACAAGCCGTCTTCAGGCCCATCGAAGCACCGACATTCTGACATTGCACTGGAATAGACTTGGTGAGAAAAAAATGCCAGAAGTCAATCAATGAATCAAAACTAACGAGATACGGAGGTGCATTGACCACTTGCGCACTTCAAGTCACCGCTTCCACAGCTTCGTCCTTTATCAAAAGAAACTGGCGTCAGATTCGGGTAAATCATAGGTCGGTAAACTTGCCGTTAGGAATAACCACATCTGCTGGACACGATGAAGAGTTGCCTGTGCAAACCTCCTGCACATCACAATTGACGTCCCTAGAAGGACGGCACACTGTCGTTGCAGGGGCGAAGGTACACTGGCTCGTGCAACATGCGCTGTTTTCTGGATCGCACTGTGCTGTTCCCTTGAACTTGCATGTCGCAACATCGCAGCACGTTGAATTAGAGCCTACGCCTGGATCGCAATCCTCCCCTTTTTCAACAATGCCATTTCCACACATTTGAAGGGAGATGGTCTGACGAGTTGGGTCAGGGTCAACAAGGCAACTCGTATTAACCTTGCCGCCTTGTACGCCCCTCATCACAGCACCTAGAATGGTAGATTGAGTCATACAGGCAGAGCGGCAGCTAGAAACAACGAACAGATATTTCCAAGACTGCATGGTGAAAATACAGACTCCCCGGCCTGCGAAACAGGGCTCATAACGAACCGTGCGTTGGCGTTGCATGTAGTGGTAGTCAAGGGACAACAAGGCGAGCTCGTTGTGCAGTTGTCGGCACACTGAAGATAATGTATTAGATAGCAAGAAGATGCAGACAGCAAGCGAGCCTACGTCGTGCTACGCAATGATGATAGTTAGGGCTTGGATCAAGTCGAGGGAGTGATGCGGAGCTTACGATGGCGCCAAAATTATGACCTATTTCATGTGCAACAACCTGCCATTCTGTTAGTCCTGATGTCGAAACTGCAGCACCAGATACGATAGTTGGTGCGGTGCCAGCCGATGTGGTTTGACAGCTTGATTTAATTGATAACGGGTAGTCAAAGACAGGAGGGACGGGACATACAGAGTTGCAAGCCATGCGATGCCAACTTCCGAGCCTGTTGGGCATCCACTCATCAAATGCCACAAGCCAGTTCCGTCGTTGGCTCTCGTTCCCCTCCACTGTGAGAAAAGAGAAAGGCGGGTATCTAGTTCAGCTCCGCTGCACGGTATATTCCAAGGGATGGCGGGGTCAGTCGCCGTTGGGCAGCTGATGGAAAGTAGAAGGCAAAGTCAGGAAGAGTATGCGATTTGCATAGATATTGCAGAGCTTACATTGCACTTTGAACTTGGAGTTCGGCAATACCAAGGCTTACATTGAAGGTAGACTGTTCCAGCAGTCAGCCTCATTCAAAGAAAGTTGAAATGCAAACATGCCTTATAAAGTGCGCTCGCAGAGTTCCAATTAGTCAAAATCTGGGTGGTAGCGTTCGCCTGACCGTTGTACTTTGAGACATACGTGCAATCGGCAGCCACGCCCATGTAAAGCTGCCACGAATAAGCCGCCAAATAAACAATTGACTCCCAACACTCACAACTTTCTGGGAAGTGGGACAGCCAGTCGTTTGCCCAATAAAATTAACGAAGCTAGCGACAGCTATGAGCTCGTGCAGGTAGGGAGGGAGAAGACAGCGGACTTTGTACCCATGCCTCCATTGCTGGTAGGAGCATCATCTCGACGAAAAACTGACTCGTTGCCTGAGGGATTCACGAGGTGATCGAACCAGGAGGAAGAAGCAGTCGCCGTATGAGGCAACATTGGGTTTTGGACTGGGTTGGTATTATAATCCAGTCGATCGTGACCGCAAGATTGAGGGAGGGCAGCTTTTCCAATGACACTGCGACCCGTCTTTGCTGTATAATCTTCCTCAAAACTCATGACATCGGACTCCCGCCAGATCACCATTTCTGAAGCGCCATGGAGGGGTTGGACAGTCTCTGGATCAAGATCATGTTTGTGGCGATTGTAGTTTTCTTTCGTCATGATGTGGTATATTATACCGTTTGCAGAAAACGTGCCCTCGAAAACAGGAGCAATATTTTTGTCGGCGTCACCTTGGTGATGTACCATGATACGTGCCCATCCTAAATCTGCAGAATGGGGTCGTGGCACAACTCCTGCGGCATCTTCGCGCATGCGGGCAGAAGAATGATGCACATCGACGACCTCCCCCAGATACGCCTTGACAAACTCGCGAAGGAGGGGTTCCGCGTGGGTAATTACATGTTGTCCAGATTCCGTGATAGCGTAGTAATTGATACGAGCAGCAGGATGTATAAGGTGATCATTTGGACGTAAATGAAGGTGGAAGGTGTCGTCAAAGGCAGAGAGGATGAGGCGGAAGACGTCGTCGTGGCGGAGGATATTGAGCGACGGTGGACGGCGCTTACTCAGGGACTGCAAGTTTGGCTGGCGGGGTAGTATCTCCAAAGAAATGATGGATGGATTTGTGACTCTTTTCAATAGTCTAGCAGGAGCACTGTGGGCTGAACGACGATTCAGATCAGGAACAAGAAGAGCAAGTTCAGAACCACTCACCATGAATCGAGGTAGGGCATAAGACGAGAAAGAGAACGGCCAGCGCAAGGAATGGGTGGTAGTAAAGATGCATTAATGTCGAAGGAGACCGCCTAAGGGGTAACGGAAAGGAGGGTCATAAAAGAGTCAAAATAAGGGCCAAAGTCTGGCTTGGCGTTGGACAAGGGCTGTGTTGACAACATGTTGTTTGCAAGCAATTCCAAGTCCATGCACGACTCAGCAATACTTGGCGATAGCAAGCGTCATAAAAAATCGTAGACTGAGGCTTGACTAGTTGACTGACCAGCTTGGCTATTCAACAAGTAGTGGGCACAATTCAACATTCAGTCGCTTGAATAAATCGAGTGTACTCGATATGTCCAGATCAATGAGATCGTCCAAATATAGAATTGCCGACTGGGTCAACTTTTTTTCTGCCAACCACCATGTCCGACGATTCAATTTCACCAAAAATAAAAAAGAAATCAAAAGATGGCGCCGCTGACGCTGAGATTGACAGTGAGTCGCCACACATTGTCTTACGCCTTTCTGATAGACGACGTCAACAGAGGTCAAAAAGAGTAGAAAGAACCACCGTAAGCAATCAGCGCTTACAGATAGCGAGGGTACCGCCTACCCTCCCCATTGAATATCCTCTTCTGAGCTTGGTCTACACAGAAGTGAAAAGCGAACCCGAAAAGAAAGAGAAGAAAATGAAGAAGGATGTAGATGCTATGGTGGTTGATTCTGTTCAAGGTGCGTCCCTATCTTCTGAATCTTTTCATACAGTCTATAAAACGCAACAGATGGTGGGAAGGAGAAGAAGAAGAAGAAGAAACGCAAGCGTGAAACTGAAGATGAATCTGCAGCTGTCGGGGACGCAAGAACTTCTGAATCCAAGAAAGATAGGAAAAAGAGACGTAAAGAGGAACAAGCAGCGACAGAAGCAGTCAAAAGCTTTTCCTTGCCGTCAACATCCGTCTCAGACGACAGTGCGTCAGCAGAATGGACCTCGACAAACCCCAACTGACTATCACTATATCCGCAGATTCCTCTACACCCTCAATAACCCCCTCCCCGACGCCTGCAACCTCCGCAGAAGCAGCTGCGTTCCTCGATAGACATTCGATAACAATTCACACTCCACCAGATATGCCCTCCGTGAAGCCTATAATTGCTTTCGCTCAACTTAATGTTCCGGTTGAACTTCAGTCCTCCTTCGCCGGCTTCAAGGAACCTACACCCATCCAAGCGTGCACCTGGCCGCCTGCCTTAGAGGGTCGCGATGTCGTAGGTATCGCTGAGACCGGGAGGCAAGAATCTTCTCCTACCCTGATCAAATCATAGACTAATATCTCCACAAACAGTGGGAAAACTTTAGCATTCGGTATACCCGCGCTATCACGACTTATAAAGTCAATTTCAAAATCATCGTCAAAGTCAGGGAATTCGACGATATCCATTCTAGTGCTCGCACCCACCCGTGAGCTTGCTCTTCAAACGCATGATACCCTCGCTGCGCTCGGAAAACCCTTTGGCATTGCCAGTGTGGCCGTCTTTGGTGGCGTTCCGAAGGACCCACAGGTAAAAATGCTCAAGAACGCGAGTAAGGCAAAGGATGGTATGACGACAAGAATCATTGTTGGGACGCCTGGGCGAATTTTGGATCTGATGCAGGAAGGTGTCTGTGATCTGAGTGGGTATGTTTCCGAGCTTTGCTCTGAATGTATTCCCTTCTGACGGCCCACTCGTTTCTGGTAGAGTGGACTATCTTGTGCTAGATGAAGCGGATCGGATGTTGGATAAAGGTTTCGAGAATGATATCCGAAATATCATCTCCAGCACGAAACCTACAGCAGAAAGGCAGACGATGATGTGTAAGCTTTTCTTCCTCTCCTCTAAAGCATCATCCCCATGAACCCATACCGACAGTTAGCGCAACATGGCCAGAGGCTGTTCGGCGATTGGCTAGCACCTTCCAGACTAATCCGGTGAGGGTAACAGTAGGAAGCGACGACTTGACAGCGAATAGTCGCGTCGAGCAAAGCGTAGCCGTCTTTGACGACTCCCGTTCGAAAGAGTGAGCACGACGCTTCTTCATGCTCTTCACAGCCTTTCAAACCTTCCTTATTAGCCAGAGGCTGTTAGCCCTTTTGCAAAAGCTATCGCACAAGAAAACTTCTACTAAAGGTGCCTCCGATTCGCTTATCTTGATTTTTGCCCTGTACAAGAAAGAAGCTTCACGTGTGGAGCAAATGTTGAAGTACAATGGGTATTCTGTAGGTGCGCTGCATGGAGATATGTCACAACCCGCACGGCTTGAGACCTTGGAAAACTTTAAAAACGGTACAACTGGCCTAATGGTTGCGACCGACGTTGCAGCACGGGGACTGGATATCCCCAACGTCGGGGCAGTCATCAACTATACCTTTCCGCTGACCATCGAGGATTATATCCATAGGATAGGAAGAACGGGTTGGTTGAGCCTTCTGTTCAAGTGGGGATTATCTCATCTCATTTTGGTTGATACAGGTCGGGGTGGAAAGACAGGAAAATCGATCACATTTTTTACTGGGGACAACCACGAGCGATCTCTCGCTGGCGAATTTGCTCGAGTGTTGAGAGAGGGAGGGTTTGACTACGAAGGATTGAAGAAGTTCCCGATGACGATCAAGAAAAAGGAGCATAGCGCATACGGAGCATTTTTCCGAGATGATATACCAGTTCCCAAGGGACCTACGAAGATTGTTTTCTAGAGACGCTTCTTTGCTAGAGGAGACGCACCTTGTCTGTTACTTCATTAGGCATTACTGCGATATTACTGTGCCGGAGTAAATGTACTGTCTGATCTCTCAAGCGCTCAGCGGAAAGCTGTGATCTCGAAAAAGCCATTCTCCTCTTCACCACGTTCGACCACACTCTTCCTATAACAAGCACCAAGTCTCCTCGCAGCAATGATGGGCCTCTTCAGCCAGGCAGGGTCCACCCTTGGCCGCGTTGTAAAGCCACGCGGTTCACTCGAGGGGGGCGAGAACGACAAAGCCCCTTCAGACACAGAGCCCGACGACACCTCTATCTTGTCTGTACCATGCCTTGGGACATGTTCGCCTGCGATACTGACGACGATCTCAGGGACGAGAATGAAGGCTCCATAATTACATCGTTAATCTCCCAGCTGAGGCAAGTCTACGACAATCGCCTCATGCACCAGGACTTCGATCTGACTCGCTTTTCTACCCTTCCTTCTCGGAAATGGACGTGAATTAGAGTGGGGATGGATCTTTCTAGAGTTACTTTCCCTACATTTGTGCTCGAGCCCCGAAGTATGCTCGAGCGAATCACCGATTTCATGTCTCATCCAGATCTAATATTCGGGCAAGGCTCCCTTCCATTTTGCTTCTTTTGTCATTCTCATATCCAATCATCAGTGCCGAGAACTTCGATGACCCAGAGGAGCGGTTTATCCGTGTGTTGCAGTACTACCTCGCGGGTTGGCATATCAAACCGAAAGGTGTCAAGAAACCGTACGTGCTATCGTCCTCATCTCCAAAGAGATGTTCGAGTCCTCTTCAGATATAACCCTATTCTCGGAGAATTCTTTCGGTGTAGGTATGACTATCCCAACGGTACGCAAGGGTTCTACATCGCAGAGCAAGGCGCGTGGAATATCGAACCCAACGCATCTCCCAACTAACGTGCTGATAGTTTCACATCATCCACCTATATCTGCCTTCTTCTATATATCCCCCGCGAACCATGTTAGTATTATCGGGGAGCTCCGTCCAAAGTCCAAATTCCTTGGAAATAGCGTCTCAACAACGATGGAGGGTGAGAATCGCGTGACGTTACTCGGAAAACCTGATGACGGTGGTGCGTGAACGCTCATGACGTCTTACCTTGCTCGGTTGAATACGCGCACTAATTTTGTTATGTAGAATACGTCATCACAATGCCTAATATGTATGCCCGCGGGATTTTGTTCGGAAAGATGGTACTCGAGCTGGGGGACACGTGCATAGCCAAGAACGAAAAGCATGGGTATTACTGCGACCTTGAGTTCAAAACCAAGGCACTTTTTTCCTGTGATTATCATTCGTTAAGCTGATCAGTCTTTGCAGGGCTTTTTTTCGGGCACCTACAATGCATTGTCCGGGCGGGTACGCAAGAACTCCACAGAAATCGGAGAAGTATCGGGGAGGTGGAGCCACCTCATGGAAATCAGGAATAACAAGGTGCATAAGGCTGTTGTCGTTGTCCTTTCCTTGGTGTATTTACTCGTTCTGTCAGACGGGGAAGAAACGGGTTCTATTCGATGCCACCAAGGATGGTCAGAATGTGTCCCCCAAGTGGGTTCCACCCGAAGAAGATCAGGAAGCAAATGAATCACGCAGGTGCGTTAAGAAGACTCCTCTATATTTGAATCACTGTCCTTGACGAAATGCCCTCAGACTGTGGCAAGATTTAACAGAGGCTATCGTGCTCAAGGACATGGAACGAGCAACAGATGCTAAATCTAATGTTGAGGACGCGCAACGAGAACAGCGCCGGAAGATGGAAGAGAGCGGGCAAAAACACGTGTCTCGTTTCTTCGAGTTATCGAATGGGCGATGGTTACCAAGACTGCAGTCAGTTCTATTTCATATCAACTCATTCCTACAATCTAATAACTTTACTCATAACCTGTCAATAGGGTACCAAACGAGCCTCAGGAAGCAACGAAAGCGGTTCAAGAATGGATATTCCCATCAACACCGTCCGAGTCTTCCTCGTCAGAGCTGGTATCCTGAGTTTTTCTGCTGTGCCCACACATCCATAGCTCGTCATATACTGACATTGTTGTTTGTTTTGATCAATGTAGATCCACGTAGTAATTGCAATCTATTCCCCAGTGTACAGTGTAGCACAAACGTTGAACGAGGGTAGGTATATTTACAAATCCGCTAGAAGATGATTATAGTGAGAACAAAAAAACGTTGAAAAGAATGTGAGTATGTAGGAAGCGATGGGTGGTATAGATTATATGGAGATATTTGAGCAAGTAATATGCATGGGAGAGCAGCAAAAGTCATTGAGATATGCAAGACAGTAAAAAAAAATTGAATCAACATTAATCAAAAATAATCGTTATCATGACCACCAGCCATCCTCGCCCTGTGTGGGAGCTGCGGACACGGTGCTCGGAGTCGGCGATGGTGCTGCTGCTCGATTATATGACGACGGGTAGGCTGGGCGCCGCGCTTTGGGAGTGGATGGACCAAGAGGGGGGTATCTACTCTTAGGGGCATGGATGCTGGCCGATGATGTTACGTGTTTGCTAACGATGTTGGTGTTAGTGGGAGCGTGCATAGATTGCCAAACAGAGGCTTGCGGTGGTGTATTGGTTCTTCCACTTGTGGTCGAATACGTGGATATGCGACGGTTCGGCGTGATTGAGCGACCATCATAGATCGTGCTCGCTCGAGAATCAGGTCGAGGGGGAGGATGGCTATTACCGTTTGTGATGTTCCTGTTAGGAATTGGGGCCTTGGAGGTCTTTGCTTCGAGGAGCTCCGTTTGAAGATTTCTGACTTTGCTCTCCAGAGCAGATATTTGATCCCGCATTTTGTTTTCGCGATCCTGAGAGAAAAAGTGAGCTTAACTTGAAAAGTTCTGATAGATAGATATATACCTTCGCTAAGCGGTCATCAGCCTCGCGTTCCTCAAATTGGAGCTTCATCAAAGAGTAATCAGCGTCAAGCTGGGCTTGAATTTGTTCGGCTTGATCCAATTTAGTTTGCGTCATTTCCAATTGACCTTCGTACTCCTTGGCCCGTCGTTCCCATTCAGCAGAACGTTGCTGGGCTTGTGCTAAACTTTGCCGCGCAGTAGTAGCCGCCCGTTCACTGTTAGATACCTTGACTTCTAAATCCTTGAAGCGTTTTTGTAGTGTAGTGTGCTCTCCCTCGAGGGCTTTGCTACGTTCTCGATTCCTACGAAGTTCTTTCAGCTCATCATTATCAGCTTGGCCAATCAAGTTGGTAAGCATATCGATCTTTTCGGAAGCGCGTCGCCAATCGTCCCAATGCGTTTGCTGCGATGCAAGTGTATCGTGCTGCTTTTGGAGAGCTTCTAGTGCCTGGACAGCACTTTCCTTATCGCGTGACGCAAAGGTGACCTGCAACTCCAAGGACTCCACCTGCCAAAATAAATCAAAATTAGTTTAAAGAGTATATCGATGTTTAACAGACCTTGGACTTCGAAGCCTGTTTATCAGCCACCAACTCCCTGTTAATTTTTTCCAAGTCGGCAATACGTTGCTGGTTTGCTTGTGTTGCGACGTCAGCTGATTGGAGCCGCGCTAGCGCCTTCGAAAGTGCTTCTTCAAGTTCTGAATTTCGAGACTCCAGGGTTGAGGTTTCCGTTGCCCTCGCTTTGGCTGAGGATTGTAGTTCAGCGACCTGCACTTTTAGATGATCACGTTCTCCCTCAACGACGCCAAGCCTCTCATTCAAGACATCCTTCTCTACCCGAACTTGTCCATGAGCTGCGCGGGCTTTTGTTAGTTGAACTTGATAGTCATTGTTGAGTTTGCGGAGTTCATCCACTTCTCGCTTCGAGATATCGCGGGAAGTGATCATTTCAGCTAGACTCTTGTGTACTGCATTCATTTTGGTAGACAAGGTATCAGGCAGGACGGTTATTTTGTCCAAAACTTGCTTGTGCATCGCTATGAGTTCATCGTTGCCATGGTTTAGAGTCTGGTAGTTCGCAGACAAGCCCTCAACTGTGGACTTGAGCTCAATAATGCCGTCATTAGGCTGAGATGCTGAGATGATTCCAGCCTCGAGTTTACCGAAAATGTTTTGTTGAGTTGTCTGAAGAGTTGCCAGGCAAGAATCAAGTTGAGAGGGAAGCTCAGACAAAGCGGTGGCTATCGTATTGTGAAGCGTGCTTAACTCATTTTGTTGCGTAGTGAGCGCATCCTGTGAAGCGACCACCTGGTCCAATGTTGTCGGAACTCTTTGCAATGGTTCCAACAACCCTGCCACGCCGTTCGTAACTTTGCCAGTAACGGTATCGATGTTGAACGCCTTATCTCGAACAGCGAGACGTGAATCTAAGCGTTCCACTACAAGGTCTGCTACTTGTTCCTTGATTTCAAAGGCGTCAATGGGAGCGATGGCGCGGCGGACCTCCGCGATTAATTGCAACGTAATTGCGTCCGTATCGACTGTGGAATTGGGTAGCAGAGGCAAGATTCTGTCCACGATGAGACCAGCAGTCTCGCGTTTATCGGAGGCCAAGTCAATGAGCTGCGAAATGTGCGGCTTGACTGCCTGGGTGAGATGAGTCGTTAGGAACTCATAGTCGATAGGGTCGGTTTGCATTGAGGCCAACATTGGGTTAAGGACAGAGATAAGTTGTTCCAACAGAGCATCGCGTTCTCGAGCAGGGATAACACGTCCAATGGCTTCTTGGCGAACGGAATATTCTGAGATGGCTTCTATAACAGCTTGCGTCGTGTTGCTACCAACCTGTTCAACAATAGGGACTATGTCTTGGAAGCTGTTATCGGCAGGGCGATTAGGGAGTTGTTCAAACAACTCTTGCAGTTGGGCCTTGAGAACCGACAAAATCTCTCTGTGGCCTTCCTCAACAACGTCTTTGATCAATTCGAAATCCATCTCGCCACGAGCATCCATCTGACTATCCTCCAGGCTGCGGCCAGCTGATTCTTGAAGTTGAGTACGGAACAATGAAACCACGTCGGCAATCATAGCCTCTGTTGTTGGTGTCAAACCCTGAGCATCGTTGTGCTCCCGTTTTGACAGATCCTGACGCAGTGCGGTGAGCTTATCATCCAAAAGTTGACCCAGCACATGTTCAATCTTATGTATCTCCATCCGACTTGTCAGATCCTGAGGTGCCACAGATACTCCTGAAATAGATGAATTGTCATCACGAAGGGCATCAGGTAAGGAGGATCTACGACGCGTGTGAGTCGTGCGTCTTGACGAGCCAAAAATGTCTTCATCTCCTGCTGAGTTTGGTCGATCGCCCGGATCTGTGACGTGTCGACTACGCGAAGTTTGGTTTGCGATGGGAGGAACATGTATGTCATCCATCGAAGGGCGATTGAGGTGGTCAAATATTTCCCGAGAGCTAAGTCGAGAACGCACAGCTCGGCGAGTTCTTTCATCGCCATTATTGACCAACGCTTTGAACAAACCAGCCGGGACAGTATTGCTAGAAACAGGGTGCTTAAAATCGAGAGGTATCGGTGCACGCTTCGGTTTAGCGGTAGAGGGTAAGTTCAAGTCTTGAGTCTGATTGTCTTCATTTTCCTCCGCCTTGGTTGTGCCTTTGTCATTGAATGTTTCCTCTCCAAATTCTGGAGCAGCGTCTTGTTGGCTGATGGCCTTTGGCACGTAAGGTAGAGTGGCAACGGCGGAGAATCCAGCAAATGTAAAGGGTTCAGCGGACGGGTTGAGTTTATGCCGTGAGCCAGATATAGATGTCGTATGCCGGATACTTCGAGGAGACTCTAAATTTGGCGGGAATCTGAAGGATGTCATACTATCTCCCTCTTCCATGGAACCACTGGAGCCACGGCGTTGCCTCTTTTCTCGTCCTTGAACCTTGAAGGGAGAGCTTTCAGGGTTTTCAACTGGTGCGATAGAGTCTTGAGGGAATCCGGTCGCAGGGGCGGGCATCTGAGGTACTCCCGCTGGCGGTCTGAAGGTGAAGCCTCCAGGTTTGAATTCGGGTGCGGCAACATTTAATGGTTTACCAAATGATGGAAGACGGGAGTGACTCAGCAGAGGTGCGTTTGGAGCCCCGCTGTTACCCTCCCAGGAACCAGAACCAGAAGACTCGAGGGGTTTGCCAAACACAAATGGTTTCGCGAAGGGGTTGAGAGAATCTCTTCTACCAAGAGAAGGTTGCGACTGGTGATTTGTAATATTCGGATACTGGAAGTTTTCGGAATGGGCGCGGGAATGTGCCATAGCCGGGTCATGTAGCGAGTATTGCGCAGACGCTACACGAGAATGCGGGAGGGGCGAAAGACCGCCTTTACTCGAAAACCCTGTTTGACTCTGAAGGACGAGATTTTCTTCACTTGGATTAGAAACCATATCGTCGTCTCTGCAAGAGGAAAACATCATTGTGTTTTCTGGAGGGCGCGGGAAATTTGGTATGCGCCTTGGTTGGTCCAGTTGCTGAGCATTTGTGCGATTCATACGACGTCGGACACGTTCACGCCTCGCTCGTTCCTCGTCAGATGGATTTGACCATTCACCAATACTCTGAAAGCAATCAGTTTGTCATAGGCTCGTCGATGCCGTCAGTTACGTACCTCATTATCGGAACTCTCGTTACCAAGATAAACATCTTCAGATCCGGTCCATTCCCCGATAGCGTCCTCCACATCCACGTCATTCCGACCTAAATGTTGCTCTGGATGAGTGGCTCCGTCGTCCTGAACCGCATCATCCTCTCCAAAAATGGCATTTAGATTCCCACCCACCGAGCGGAGGGAAAGAGCTGCAGAAAGCCTTGACACATGACGCGAATGAAGTCTGCTATGAGGCGCAGTTGTGCTAGCGCCTTCGAAATCATTGGTTCCGCTCTCTTCCAGCTCCATGTCTTGAGTGGCTTCACCATCACCGTCGTCCTGAACTTCGTCTTGTTGCACTTCTTCTTCCTCTTCCTCCGGTATGTCCAAACCAAACCCACGGATAAAATCAGGGCGGCTGTCTGAGCGAGGGACAGCCGACAACGGTGGAGGGGCCAAAGAAGCTATTGTCACTGGGATACGACCTTGAGGAGCGTGAATACTCTCAGTCACGGCCGAATGTGTAGAATTCTCTGGCACATCCTGATCAGATGCAAGGGTTGCATTCGGCCCAAAGGGATTGAACACTGGGGGCGGAGCATCGAAGAATGGAGGTCGGTAGGACGGGGGTTGAGCCAGCGACATACTGTGGCCGTGACGATTGGTTATAAATCGGGACCGTGGTGGTGGCGAGAGCCCGAAGAGTGGCTGAGGCGAGTTTGACAAAGAGTTGCCACCCGACGAGACGTCCAGAGATTGCTGGAGCTTATTTAATTTGAAGAATAAGAGAGCAGGATCCGCGGGAGATGATATCTAAGGGAGTGTGAATACACACGAAACACGTGTAAAACATGAGGTCAACGAACCGATGCAGCCCGAGCATGAGGAGCGTGAATGAAAGGAATATTACTTCCTGAACCACGTTCTACTCCCAGCATTTCGAGCTTCGCTTCAATAGCTTGCTGTTTAATAGCGTCCCAAGCAAGCTAAACAAACTTGCGATGAGATGATGATTCACAGGAATGACATGAAGATTACCTTTCCTGGCAGAAAAACGTCAACAGTATCAGGCATTTCAAATCTCCACGAGTCAGGGGGAAAGAGCTCTTTTGTCTGCAAATCGACCGGGGGAACGTCTTGATCACGGTAAACGAAGTTATTCATGAGTGGTGATCTAGCCCACGATGGACGCGTCGGGGGTTGGCCATCTTCACCAGGTACGGTCTCTTTGGGAAAGTTCACAACTACCTTCTTTACCTTCTGAGGGGTCGGCGAGGGAGCCATGGGTACGACGGCGACGGTGGGCAAGGGACTAAGTTTACGAGAAGGACCGCCAAGAACTGCTTTTGGCGGCCCACCAATACTGGGCTGCCTCCTGTTACGGTTTGGGAATGGATGACCAGATGATTGCTGTCCCACAAAGGGAGGAGGCGGTCCCAGCATCACGGAAGGACGAGGAAAATGGCCTGTGACAGGAGTAAAGGTATTAAGAGGATGAATTCCAGCAGCGGTGAAATGGGCGACGCTGGCATTGCTCTGGTGTGTTGGGCGACCCGGGGCTGATGGGGCTTGAGGAATGAAGAATGCTTGCATGGGAGTTTGAAGTGAGCTGTGCATGGGATATGGGGGATGATAGCCTTGCTGGAGACTAGTTGGGAGTGCTGGGGAGAACGCGCCCTGCCCGCCCACCGGTTGTTGCATGCTCAAATTCTGCGGAATATTGAGCCGGGGCAAGTGTTCTCGAGGCCTTGCCATCGTGTTGTGTAGAGGTATGGCAATGGGTATTTCGTGAGTGCTGGCAAGCAACGGTCGCCGAGGAGTGGTATACGGAGCTTCCCAAAAGAAAGAGAAATGGGTATAGGATGGCGACGAAGGACGCGTCAAGGCAGCACGTCCACAACCAGAGACTCGCCTACGTATGGGGAAGAAGGAATTTCTTGATGGTGACAGAACAAAATGTACGTACAAACAAATATCATTCCACCAAAATTCAAACACCATATTCCCCGGGCCAGCAATCACAATAGCATTACCTCTTGACTAATTCTGATTGCTCTCACACCTTTATTTTCTATGTAGTCAGCGACAGAGTTCAGGTGTCTACTTATTGTAGTACCGAACTGTATGGCTACTACTTATGGCAGTCAACGTAACGCATAACGCCGGGTTGTTACTAAAAATAATGAAATTTCTAGCAAATTTTAGTCGAGTTTTTTTCGGCCCCTGCGGGTGCTCAGATTGGGTACTCCAGGAGCCCCATAAATTTTTGAAATGTTGCGCATCACGCCGGGGTCCGTCGCCGAAACGGATCCTTCGGCGCGCGTATTGCCACCACAGTATGTGACCAGACGCGTTTCTGTCAGTGTCACTGTCGGAACTTGTCTGAACCATCGACCATGTCGCTCGGTCTCCGACGAGCATTTCATCCCTCGTCAAAAGCCGTTGCATTCTGTACCAATAATTGGGCCATACATGCCTGGCGCTCTTCTGCTACGAATAACATCCGATTCATGAGCGGAGTAGGCAACACACTCGCTGACATCGACGTGAGTGATTCATCCTCACTCAACCAAATTCAACACATATGGTGCTTTTAGCCTTCTAGGCTCGAAATCGTGAAGAATCAGAAGCCAGGCACCCCACCACCATCCTCCAGCTTGAAGTTCGGCCACACATTTGTGAGTGCTGAGCAGGTGCCTTCCTTGCGAAATTTTAATTGACATGTGGGGACAGACTGACCATATGCTAACTATACCATGGAATGTGATATCAGGATGGGGCGTACCTCGAATTCAACCTTGTCGGTATCTGTTTTTCCCTAGCAACTTTATCTTAACTTTTTGAAGATGGCCCACTGTCTTTGGAACCCAGTTGCACCGTATTGCATTACGCCCAGACCATCTTTGAGGGCATGAAGGCCTATAGACACGAAAATGGACAGGTAACATTATTTAGACCAGACATGAATATGAAACGCATGAACACCAGCGCTGCACGTATTGCATTGCCGGTATGAATATCCTTTCCGACAACCTTTAAAATGTTAATGGCTTCAACTAGAACTTTGACGGCGAAGCGCTTCTCGAAACTATCAAGGAACTCATTCGGATCGATAAAAGTTGGATACCCAAGGAACCTGGACATAGTTTATATGTTCGCCCCACCATGAGTGGGCATTTCTTGCTTGATCACAGGCCTATAACTCATTATATGTGATCTAGTTGGAACGCAACGGGCAGTTGGAGTCGGACCTCCAAATGAAGCTCTTCTTTTCGTCATCCTCAGCCCCGTTGGTCCATACTATCCGGACGGGTTCAAACCAGTGTCGCTTTTCGGCACCACCGAGTATGTTCGTGCCACACCTGGTGGTAAGAATGCCCCTCGAACTCGCAATGCTACCCCAGCTTACCCTCAGATTCGTAAGGAACCGGTGCTTATAAATTGGGAGTTAATTACGCACCAGGGATTCTCCCACAAAAAGAAGCGGCTGCCCTTGGATACGCTCAGAATCTGTGGCTCCATGGGCCTGAGCACTACCTTACCGAGGTCGGAACAATGAACTTGTTTGTTGTTTTCAAGAAGGCTGATGGAGGTTGGTCATTTTTGAACCACCGTCAATCTTTAGCAGTGATCAATGGTATTCTTAGTTATGGAACTCGTTTCGCCCCCACTCGACGGAATGATTCTTCCCGGTGTAACCCGTGACTCCGTACTTGCCCTCGCTCGAGCGCATTCGGCCGGAACCCACCGGCTTGAAAACCTGCCCGAAAAGCTTACCGTTTCAGAGCGGCCTGTTACAATGCGGGAGGTTAAAGATGCCTCAATGTCTGGAAGCCTCGTAGAACTCTTCGGTGCAGGTCCGCTACTCCGTTACCTATCGCCTTCTCCGAAATTGACACTTTATTCCTCATAGGCACCGCTGCTGTCATCAGTCCCGTGGACAGGATCGGTTACCTTGGCGAAGATGTGCTGATACCAACTGGGTCAGACGGAATGGGTCCCATTTCAAGGCCAATCTGGCAAGAGTTAGTTGGCAGACAGACAGGTGCCATTCCTAGCGAATGGAGTGTTGTTGTATGACAGATCTATCTAAATGGAGGAGACATCTATTTAAATTTTCCCTGACAATACTCGGTCGCTTTTTATACGAATACTACCTGCACAGACTATAGGGCTGACCCAGGCGAAAATAGAACAGATTTCGCTTTCCAGCGTGTTGGACCCAAGTCTAATTCTATGATATCTTGTTAAATGTACTTCCGTTACAACCCGCTCATTCATGGAACAGACTGAAGCAGTCGGGAAAAGAAAGAGGTGGAGGGGTCAACTTTTGATAGCAAACGGCATTGCACAAGCCCAAGCAGTAATGTGAAATAGAACTGTACAGATGTGAAAGAGAAAACGAGCAATTTTCTTATTCAAAGCATGCCCATGCCATCACCATCGTCCCCATCCCCGCCCCAACCACTAGCGACAACTTCCTCCTCTTGCAATAGGGATTCGGGGATTTCTGGTGACTTCAATTCCCTGCTTTCCCTAAGGGGCGTAGCACTGGGTTTAGTTGGTTGAGGGCTCGCAGCAGGTGCTCCATTGCCCCCCTGTTTACCGGTGTACCATGTAATCTGTACTGAACCAATTGTTGGAATACTGTTGCCTTTGGCTAGTCCCTGAATCAGAAGGTCAGAACGAAGTAGCAACTGTTAATAACCAGCCAAACCTGTTCCGCCGACGCCCGACTTTTGAAAGAGACGATTACATCTCCACCATCGGTTTGCTCGGTGGCTTCCATTTGGCCTGTCGTCTGCTATTCATTAGCATCTGCACCATTTGGTTGTATACGAGACTTGAACTAACCTCATACCAATCACGCAGTGCTTGTAGGCCTTCTTCACGCACACCCTTAACTAGCAACTTCTTCGGTCGATTGTCGAGTTTCATACTAGCTCGTGGCGGACCACCACGCATGGCGGTAGCACCGCGAAAGAAACTGCGGCCCCGCCCACGGCCTCGATATCCGCGGTGGGACCCGCCCCATGACTGCTCTGTGCTTGTATCAGCAATGCCCAAACTAGCTGCCTAGAATAGATCTTCAATAATAAGAACCAAAAGCTTCATAAAGTGATCGCACCTCGGCTTTGAGCCTCTCCAATTTTGTCTTTAAATCCTCAGCGTTATCCTCACCTTCCGCGACAGCACTGTGCATCTCAAGCTCCTTGTCAAGCCGCTCTCGCTCCTTCCGGTCGTGCACATCTTGCTTGGGAGTCAATTTTTTGGCGCCGCTCGGGGACGGGACACGGGCGGGTACGGTGGGTGTAGTGGTCATCTCTTCCCCTAATTTCCGCAGCCTGGCCATAATGGTCTTTTTCTCCTCTGCGGAGGCCGTTGCTAAAGATGCCATTAGGGACTTCTGTTCAGCAATCTGCTGTTCAAGCAGCTGCTGTTTTGCCGCAAGGGCGTTAGCCGTAGCGGAAGGCGTGACTGACAACTTGCGACTACTTGTCGATGACGAAGACGAAGCGGCAGTGGTCGAAGTGACTGCCGTAGGTCGAGTTGAAGTTTCCTTGGCAGAAATGTTCGCCACTAATGGTGCGGAAGCGGCTAGCATTCGGGCACCAACCTGGCCATGGCCTTCCATTGGCCGATGCCAAAAGACCTTGACAAATCGATTTCCGAAGACAGCGTCTTCGGACTTCCACGCAGCATGGGCATCTTCATGCGTCGAGAAGCTGACCAATGCCTTGGCGTTCATAGAATCGATAGCAACATTCGTAACGGTGCCAAACTTTTTGAACCATCCGTTAACTTGTTCCAACGATAGCTTATCTTCTGGGATCTTCTCCACCACGAGAGTCTTGTCATTTCGACGTTCCGGACGGAAGTTGTGTACCTCTCCACCAAACGTCCCTCTGCCACCTCCTCCCCCACGACTACGAAAATTGCCTCTGCTTTGTGTTGAACCCCTCATCTCCGAGCCACTCACTTCAACATCCATAGGTGCTCCCATGGGCATGTACATCTTATGCCCGTTTATCGGACCTGGCACGCCACCATAGTCAAAGTTATCCATCTGAGGCATTTGAGGTAATTGGTGGGGCTGTTGGTGTATGTGTTGTTGATGTGGCGAATGGAATTGAGACTTGGATTCAGGTTCAGACTGAGCTGTGGTCGAGTCAGGAGGCAAACTGGGTGTCAGGTCTTGAATGACAGGGAGCTCCCCGGAAGCGTTGACGGGGTGTACAACACGACTTCCATCCTCCTGTTGAATACGAGGCAACAATGGCGCGCGTTGATGAGTGCGGTTAGGCGGTCTTAAATCCATTCGTGCTTCGTGAGGATCGTAGACCGCACTGGAACCAAATGGTACGACGCCTGGAGCCCCTGGAAACATTGGAAGAAAGGGCATCCCACCAGTAGGTCCACTCATTGGATACAACTGCCCTGGCACGACAGCATCGTCTCCGTGGCTATATTTGCACATGGCTCCGCGAGCACAGTAGCCGTTGTCTGACGAAAAGGAGAATGAGGGTATAGCGACATCAAAAAATAACATACGCACTATGGTAGTCCCGACAGATTCCTCGTTTTTGATCGGGGGGATGATACGCCTGCGGTTGTCTGCCATTCATTGGACCTCCATGCATCCCCATTCCTCCACCGATTGGTAGCCCATATCCGTCCATGCCCGTGTCTCTGTAACCCATAGCCTGCGGCCTTTCAATGTGGCCTCCCCAACCCCCCGTTGACCGAACATCTGTTCGACCATTTCCGTTGCCATAACGCGAAAACTGTCCGTCGGAGTTCAATCTTGGCCCTTTTGCTGGTGGACGTCCATCACGCTCGTCATTCGTAACACTTCGTTTGCGAGTTCGTTCCGGCGAAGAGGTTGACATTGCATTATTCAATAAACCGTCGAGAGGGATCGGAATGCCATTATCAAGGGATTTTAAGGCGAAGGACGGTGAGGAAGGAGTAGCGCCGTAGGGTAAATAAGATTTCGTCCTAAGAACGGTGAATAATGTATCAATAAAGGAAGCACATTCTAAACAAAAGGTGTTAACAAGGCAAAACTGGAGAAGGAAGCGTCGAAATAGACCTTTTTCCAGAAATTCATCGAGTTGAACTGCCAGCTCCTTCCTCATCTCGCTTTCTGGCACATTATGTTTTAGTAGGGCAAGAATATAATCAGCAAGGGCTCCGGGTTCAGCGTCGCATCTGTGAAGGAGTTGAATGAGTGAAAGTTTAAAATTGAGAAGAAGCACACGTACATTGGTTCCAGAGTCCTAACGAGCCATGGCTTGAGATGTGGGATTGAGGATGGGTCAAATATCATAACAGATCCTTGATATTTACTTGCAAAGAGAGACTCAAGAAGAATATGAGCAAATCTCGTCTTCGTATGCAAGTAATGTGAGTGTTGCAACCAAATTGCACTTGACCGCCAGTCATAGGCTTTGTCAGCACTCCGGCAAATTCCGAGGATGCCATTATGGACAAACTTGTCAGATACTCGACGCAACCATGTTCCGAACTACCCTTGTACGGTCTGCGAGATTTGTTCCTCAACGAACATCTATCACCTCTCGCTCAATTGCACTACACTCCATTCGCTACAATTCTACTCAAACACCCAAACCTCCGTTAACACCAGAACAACAAACTAGAAAGGATGCACTAAAACGACAAGATGACATGCAGAGGGATTGGGATGCGAAGGTATTGACATATGCGGAGCTGGTTCCAAAGACGGAGAATCCGACTCCGGTGCGTAATCTACTCAGTTGCAATGCAAGGCGAGGGGGCGACGTGTTTTCAGGACTCGTATTTAATCGATGTTCGTGAACCGGAAGAAACCATGCAAGGAATGATCCCATCAGCCGTTAACATTCCACTTTCCGTCCTTGCGGGTGCCCTTCACATGCCGCCTGAGACCTTCAAGGAGAAATTTGGGTTTGAAAAGCCCAAGCCGGACCAGGAAGTAACCTTCTACTGCCGAAGTGGTATGCGTAGCACAACAGCAAGTGACGTCGCCAAGCGAAATGGATATACTGCGTACTACAACTTTCGACATTTCAATATTTGGTGACTGATATGTTCCCGTCTCAACAGCATCCTCAACTATAAGGGATCTTGGTTAGAATGGACGGATAAACAGAACAAGAAAGGGTCCACATAGGGTCATGTATGTACGAGATTGTAGCCCAAAGTTAAGGTTAGGGTCTAAAAATTGGTTTCGAGTGGAAGTGTCTGCACTTTTTGTGCATACTTCTGAGTAACCCCCAGCACAGGGCGTCCGCGTCAACTCCTTTCAAAAATGACGGATGCACAAACGTCCCAGGGTTTTGTGCGAGCCTTGAAGGCAGCCTCTGATCCACCAATCGCTGGAGGTCCCTTCAAAATTGAGATTGCACGGCGGGCTTGGGACGACGCGTCTTTCCATGTACCATGCAAGTCGGAAGTGGTCGCAGATTGGGTGCTCACTAAATTTATGAAAGAAAGGACTAGAGGATTGTGCGTGCATTCGGTCGTTTCACCTGTCATTCAAATTCTCAGCGTCATATTCTTTCGCTAGCTCAGCCAACCCCTTGATCGACATACGGTACTGGAAACTCCTTTTAGACGTGATTTCTTCGCAAGACAATGCTTCCCAAGCTCAAGAAGGCTCCACTTCACGTCTACCAAAAACATGGCTCTCTGCATTGCTCCTCCGCATACCCATCAGCGTAATCCTCCTCTCTTTTCTCACTTTGCTCAAGGAGGCTAGGCCAGATGATTTGGAGCAGCTTATCTCGGTTGTTCACTCCTGTCTCTTTCTTCTTTGGCCTGTAGGACTCAACAAGATGAATACCGAATTGCTACTAGATTGTTGGGGAACTTTTCTCCAGATATTTGAGGAAACTGGGCCAACTGAAGGATTCTCCAAAATTGGAGCTCTTCTTTCCAAGTCATACCGTAACTCTTTAGCGATTTCTTCGGGAAAGAAAAAGGTATCTAGGTCTTACAGTGAAGTTCGAGCATGCTAAAACTTCTCTGAAACAGATGTACAGCACTTTCGTCCAATCCTACCTTCCCCACTGGTTGAAATGTATTGAATCGCCTATTAATGCTACGCAAGATGCTGCATTTCACGAGATCATATTCAGCGCTGGTGCTGAGACCCTCTTCAATCTTGAGATTCTGCGTCAATCGCAAGACGTAAAGGTGGAAAATACAATTTTTGATGCATTTGACAACCTCGGGAAATCACACAAACCTTTTATTTTGGAAGCGCTTCCCAAGCTGTTCTCACAATATATTCAGTCAATATCGAAATATCGCAGTGCTTTGTTTGGCCAAGGATCCCAGCAACAAGCCGGCACTGCGTTGAATCAACTGCATGCTGCAGGAATGGGTTTCTTCACGTCTTGTCAAGTTTATTTGGATGAAACGGATGACCACGAACGGGCGTGGACAACGAGGGCCGCTCTCCTCGACATTGTCGAGGAAGAAAACCTATTTGACAGAACGCTGGACGTCGACCGCGTTTTCAATCGAAGTATTGAAGCGTCTATTGCTATTCTGGCTAGTGAACAGAGTCGTAGGTCAAACAGTGTCTCTCCACAACGCTTCCATACTGATATAGAGATACAGTGGATCAGACAGGTGTAATCACTTTATCGCTACGATGCCTTACCGCAATAGCTCGTATTGACCATGACCTCATCGTTCCTTCGATTCCCCGCATCTTCTCCCAACTTATATGTGTGCGTCGAGGCCATTGTCAAGTCCAAACTAAGGCTAATGGTTGACACCAGATTTCCGCAGTTGATCAAGATCAACGTGGGTTTCTTGAGTTGATGATCGATTACTACACCAAGACGAGAACCATGGACATTCATCTTGAAAACCTATTCGCTTGCCTGCTTTCAAGCAAATCAGAATCTTGCAGAGATTGTCGACAACGCTATCAGATCGGTCTTTCCAGTCCTATTCTACACCCCTTGCACTTGACCCGACTTTCCAAAGCACTCAAGTTCCTGACCCCAAATCAATGCTTACCGTCGTTAAAAAGTGCTTTTGAAATTTTGTCTAGTATCTGGCACAAGTTCAAAGCTGCAGATCATCAGAAAGGCGGGGAACAAAGCAAGGGATCCGTAAAGAAGAAAGAAACAGTTGGGAAGCAGGAATATCAAGATATGGATCCCGAAAGTGTTGCCGTTACGTACTGCTTAGTCGCTAGGTTGGCCTCGACTTTGCTCTTCTCCTTGCCAACGCAATCCCTACCACCAATGTCGCAAGAGAAGGTTCGCGAATGTATAGAAGAATTTCGAGCATCATTCTTGCAGAAGACACTCTCCAAAGTTCTCAAACTCGCTCTGCAAGACAGTAATACTTGGCCTGCTCAGGTTATCGCAGCCGCTACACTTCAAGTTCAATACACTTTAGACAGGTCAACAAATGTCGCGTTGTCACCCAACTTCGACTCAAAATTGAGCAAGAAAATGATGAATGCCCTCGAGGATGATGAACTTCTACCCGAGCTCAGCCTTGAAATCGTGCGTTCAACATGTCCATTCCTTCTGTATCATACCTGAGACCGACACAGTTTCGCCATCATCTACACTACGCCTCTGCAATGGATGCTTCTGTTTCGCAGGTGGTCGTTGAGAAATTTTTATTATATCTGGAGAGAAGTTTCACTCCATCAGATGTTGTCTGGTCAGGCCAACCACATCATTTAACCTTTGGCCAGCCTGGAAAAGCAGAATGCGCTCTTGCATTGCTGCACTTGATCCTCGAGCGGTGGCTGCCCACTGTCGAGTATGGTTCATTCTGTTTTAAAGGTGTTTTAATGTTGATTTTGGTTTTAGAATCCTGGCGACACCGGAGCAACTAACGCGGCTTCTAAAAGTAATTATGAGGGTCAAAATTCCTCTGGAAATCTGTAATCTTGAAGGGCAACTCCGGCCAGAGCATCTGCTTTTACGAACGCTTCATTCGGCTGAATTTTGGGAACTCCATATAATGCGAAGTTTGTTTTGTTTTCCAAAGAATCTCACCATGTCTTCTAATATTTCATAGACGTATTTCTAGCACATCTTGATGAAATCACTGCATTCCTCGACGAAGATTCTTCTGACAAGTTGGAATCCTCACAAATTTCCGACATCACTTCGGTATACCGACTTCTGCTCTTCTCTCCTCCCGAATATTTCACCAAAACGAGCCGAAGTGACCTCGTTCGAAGGGCATTGAAGGCTGATAGTCGTCTTAGCCACTTATCATCCAGCAGTGACGAGCTTTTGGCCAACTTCGAGGCCTTGTCAATCATTCGTGTCTTTTTGAAAAGGATAGCGTTGCATATCGGCTCAAATGAACAATCTGTAACAACCCGTTCTTGCTACTTTTGCTTCACTGATTGTTACGGCAGCCAGCAGACTTGGCCAATCTCATCCTGCGCTTGTTGGATCAAGAAAAATCAAATACTCCTTTTCCCGAGTTTTTGACGACTCCTACACTCGATTTGATAGATTTATATTTCTTGTGCGTCTTTCAAGGCCCTACGAAAGACGAACCTTTCATCTGAGCTTCCGCGGGGATGTTTTTAGATCTTGTTGCAAGACCCAAACAGAATTATTAACGAAAATCTTTGTGTCGTACTCGCACTGCAAGGTTTTCGAAAACCCAGCGTCCATCCGCGCACGATGTTTTATCCGCATGATTGACATTCTAGTATCGGAATTTGAACTAGCGAGGTTTGGCCATTTTTGTATACCGTTTTGGTTTGTATTGATATGTCCAAGGTTCACTGATGACATTCGAACAACCATACGAAAACTCCACGTTCATCAAGCAAAATATCTACTCCAATCGATTACCTCCAACCTTATTGACGATGCGACATCAAGCAGGATGATTGATGAAGCTGGCATTCTAATGGCCGGTTGGAGGTCCCTCCTCGCCCTTGGTCATTGGTTAGAACAGGAAGGTCTGTAACAGCCCCAATATCAACGCCCCAATATACTCAGAGAAGCCAGATTCCAACACGACATTTATCGGGCGGAGACTGGTTTCAAGAGTGCTTGCTCTGATCGGAGAGATTCCGTCTCGTTCTGGCAAACTAGATTCCATCTGCGTGGCGACATTTTCAATACTGCTGGAGGAATTCCATTTCTGTAGCGATGATCAAAAGCCATCACAAATAGATTTCGCGGTTGCCACCTACACTGTTTTCTGTCCGGTGATGCAGCAACTTGGTCAGCTCCGACTTTCATTGCTGATCATGCCCTCTGACACTATATTTAGGTCAACAACAAAGCGATAAATGCATTGGCAAGATCTGCAAGGTTTTGTCCCCCACAGACTTCTCGCACGTCCTTGGACTCGTCTCGAACTCCTTGTCGGCTGCTGAAAGTTCCCCAAATGTGCGCGCACAACTAGTGCATCTGGCCACAATGCTCTTGCGTGATCATCCACAAAGTACGTGTCTTCACGGCTATTGGGGACGCGATGGTGACGTGTCCCGAAGACACTCTGAAGTACACGCAAGCATTCGCAACGCAGTGCATTCACACCTTTTTGTCGCAAACGACTTTCACTTCGGGTCCTATCTTACTGCGGCAACAGGTTTTGGACTTTATTGCCCAGCATTGTTCTGATCGAGTACGTCGTTCAGTTGATCGTGTCCAATGTTTGCTTACCTTTCCCAGCCGACAGCGCTGCGACCTTTGGATATCGGCGGCATTTGGTCGCTGTTGTGCAAATTCCTGGCCCCATCAGACGTCCACGATGCTCACAGCTCAATTGAAACTTTCCACAAGATCATAGCGATCACCAGTTCTATCATCCGTCTCCGAAGAGATCTTGTTACGCCCACTCTGCCACATTTGGGGATGGTGTTGCGGCGGCTCTTGTTAACGACCAGGGCTTGCCGCCCATCTTTGGGGGCGAAGCAGACGAACTTGGTGATGGATACACAACCAAGGTGGATTAACAAGGCGCAGCCTCTTGGGCCTCAGGAAGGAAAAGCTTTGGCCCGTGTGCTCGAGACACTGAATACGAAAACCACCGTTCGGACTCATTCATCTCTTATTGAGGTGCAAAAAGCGGAATCACTTGCAAAGCCATTCTCGAAGCACGCCGCATATGTGTTGAAGGCGTATATAGAAGCCATGAATGACCCTTTGTGTGCATTGCCTTTGGAAATGAGGAAAGGACTTTACCCCGGATTATTTGCGTTGTGCAGTACGATGAATGACCATAGTCGGGATGCCATGATGGTTTCTGGGCTTGATGCTGGCGGTAAGGCGACGATGAAGTCACTGTGGAAGGAGTACGAAAGGCAAAGATATGTCGGGAAAGGTTAATTTTGTATTTTATTCCAATGATATAATCTCAGCCACTGGATCTACCTCTACCATGCTCCAACCTCTGCTTCGTAGCGTCGGCAACGTCTTGGTTGGCCGCCAACTCAGGTTATCAAAGGGAACGATGCGGGCATATGCCACTGTCTCATCTTCTATCATTGCTCAAACCCCACATCCATCGAAAGAGAACGACCCAGGGCCTCCCATGCTCGATCGCCATATTTTGGCTGCCCTTTCTAGAAGCCCTCCAACCACCACGCTGCCTGACCTCATCAAGCAATACATTGCGCTCTCTGGAACAGTGCTGGACGTCTCGCTGAAGTACCGGACTCGTCCTACGGCCGAGCTTTGCGACTGCGAGTAAGGAAGTCGTTACAGTTGCACATTGCGCAACGGACGGACGGGGAGAATTGTAAAATTACATTCTCTTCAGGCTTTTTGCGCTAGACGCCTCGGCCTCTCGAGAAGGAGAGGCTTTTATCCTAACCTGTGCACACACGTTAGCAGAGGCATGGTCAAGTTACATATAAGGCCTGTCCAAAAATCTTACTGGAATCATCTTTGATGGCAGATACGACAGTCTCCTCTTTTGCTTTCCGATACGTTACCTTTGAGGGAACCTTCATCAACTTTGACGGGGACATGTATCGACATTGGGTGTCATGATACACTTACTTTGCACCCAGTCTCTGAAGTCGTTCCAGCACTTCCTCGATCAGACCTTCTTCTTCTGTCCTGCAAGCTACCTCGGGGAGCTCTCAGCACACTTGATGTGTCCCCTTATCCCGCACACAAGGGTATGGCCATTCGGGCTTACTTTGTTACCCACCGAGAACCAACGGCCCGGTTGGAGCCCGTGGATCGGGGACACATGGGGAAAATGGGCGCAAGGTAAGGTTCCTGGATACCGTGATTTTGTAGGTCGTGAAACGGGGGTGAGTGGATTTGTATTTTAAGAGCTCTCTAGCGAGTCTAGCCGATAGAAAGATCTACCACAGCCTGGGACCTATGACGCGCTTTCTCACTGCCACTTCCAGGTGGGCCAATAATTGAGGAAGAAAGTGGCCCTGGGGCGGTGGTCGGGGTTATGTTGGGAACTCGGATGGAATAGTCGAGTAGAGGAGTGAGGGGATGGGGAGTTCCCTCCGAAGCTATGTATATTGTTTTACACAACTGCTCACATGTGCCAATTTCCATGTAAGTTAACATGTGACCAGCTTAAGCTTCGAGCTCGCTTTCCGGTATTTTGTAACATAGACAAGTAAACCATAAGGCTTGCTCTACCCCATTCGTCAACCCTTCACTCATTTGTTGCTCCATTCGGCTCCTTCTGCATACTCTCTGCAGGTTCCAAACGCTCTATCCAACTCCGATGGCGTCAGGCTCACAACTCGTTGAAACTGTTCTCTTTACCAACCCCAATCTTGCACGCGATAACGCCGGTGAGCCTTTTCATGGTTCCTTCTAGTATGCTTAGTGACCACATTCATGAAGACCCTACCAACTGGACATGGGATGATAATGACCGCCAAACATGGGAGAAACTTAAAAAACAGTCCTCTTTGCAACAGTTTGCAGATAAGTGGCGCGAATTTGAAGGCCTCGATGAGGACCTCTCTGAAACATTCATAAATGACATCGCTCTACCGGTAACTAATGACCATAGTCTCATGGTTCGGAAATGTTATCTGGTGGCCGAAAAGGTGACATGGGAACGTGCCCAAAGACAGCCTAAGACAGGAGTGATTCTCACAGGCCAACCCGGGATTGGTATGATTAATTAACCATATTTTTGTATGTCCTTGCTGAGACATTTGTAGGCAAAACAGTTTTTTTGTGGTACCTACTACTACGTCTTTTACGGATGAAACAAGTGGTATTGCTTCGTGCGAGCCATCAAGATATTCTCTTCTATCATGATGGCGTCTACGGTACCACGGCCAATACAAGAGCCCGTCATCTTCCCACCCCTTCTGATAATACCTTCATTTGGTCTCTATTCGACCTTCATCCATTCGAGGAATTGCCAGATCTCACACTTGACCCCCGATGTTTCCTCGTGCAATGTCCATCGCCAAACAAGGCCATTTATTCGTGGCGTAAGGCGCGGCGCCCCCTTTACACCGTGTTCCCGTTATGGACTGTTGAGGAGCTCAAACTTGCGTAAGATGTTACTTTCGATACCAAGATTAATCGTTTCTCAAGCATTTTCCAGTGCGAGGCATTCTCCCGACTTCAAAAAGTTCGAAACAAATTTAGAACAAGAGATACCAGTCGAGAAATGGAATGATGCACAGTTTTTGTCAACAATCCACAACCCTGGTCTCATTAAATTTCACAAGGAATTGTCCCCGGAAGTGCAGCCTGAATTGTCCCCGAAAGTGCAGCCTGAATTGTTCGAAGAGGTTTTCGGCATCGTATTGGATGGCCTTATTTCGCGCTTCGGACTCGTTCCCCGAGAAGTCTTTGACGCTATGTTTAATAATTTTCACGAAGTGGCGAAAGCCCACGACAGCGCACTGAATCTGTCCTTCGATGATTTGGAGAAGGCTGTGGACGACTTGAATCGTCCTGAACCATCCGCGGACGTGAGAGGCCCCTCGCATCGCCTCATCTCCATCAACAATGTCGGCACTTTTGAAGATTACCAGTTGGAAATTGACTTTTTATCACCAGCCATTGCTGAGAAGTTCTACAAGAGATGGCTGGATGCGTCACACGTCAAAGCAGGCTCAACAATCAAGCATTTCCTAGCCTTACCCGAAACAAGAGGCCTTGTAGGCTCACTTTTCGAGCCTTTTGCTCACCGTATTCTTGTCAATGCAGACGAAACCGATGGGACATGGGGCCTCAAAATGATGCACAGTCGCGATGACTCCAATGTGTTTACCCTCCTTGACCCAGAGTCATCTGAAACTATATCCGGTTTCCCGAAAATCAAGCGGAAACTAGTTTCCTTCCGCTCCAAGGACTTGCCACCTCTCTATGAAAACGTGTACTACATCCCAACCTTGACCAATCATCCCCTGTTCGATGCCTTCCTCCTGAGTTTTTCTCCCTCCGGCCTGACTCAACGCCTCTGGCTACTCCAGATGACGACTTCCAAGTTACATAGAGGGTCACATATGGGCTATGCTGTCATAAACGAAATTATTGCTCAAATCAATCAGCAACATGAACCTCGCCTGTCAGCCAAGGGGGAGGGGAAGCGGAGGGCAGATGAACCATCACCAGTCGAGGTAGACTTTGTCCTCGTCCGTCCCACTGGCGAGGAGGAACATAGATGGGTTCTTCCAGAGGGTTTGGACCAGTTGGAGGATGTCAACGTATATGTCTTGGAGTTGCCTCTGGAGCACGCCATTGATTCACCAACTACGAGATCAATGCAATCATCAAAGAAAGCCAAGTTGTCAACACCTGGTCGGAGAACGAAGGCATCAACATCTGGTCGGAAAACGAAGGCATCAACATCTGGTCAACAAACGATGGCGTCAACGTCTGGCCAAAGGAGGTCAACGAGGTTGAACAAACAATAATTACTTGGTGTAGTTGAAGGTTACCTTACTTCTTGTACTTTTTGTTAAAATCGACGAATGGTCACACTTCACCGGGAAGTACTCAGTCCACCCTCGTGACCACCCAGAACGGCCTATTTATCTCTACAACCTTGCCACTGCTGTTCATACTCGATTCCGACAGCTGGGAAGATGGAGGTTCTCGAACGGACAATCACACACTTCTGCGAGGCGCTCACGCCTTGCCCTCAGGTGACCCACATCGATCTCATTCTTTGACGGCCGTGCTATGGCTATCGTCGCGTCTCCCCGCTCGTGAGAGCTCGAGGTCGCTGGCTGCTCGTGAAGGCTTGAAGGATGGCAAGGGAAGTTGGGGACATTTCGTGGAATTAAGTCTTTGAATTGGACAGTGAAAGTAACGATGTTGAACCAAATAGCATGCGAGACCAGTGTTGTTCAACCACATGTGTTCAATCGAAAACCGGTTTTTCGTGTGTTGAGGAGAGGCGCTGTAGGCGATGCTTCAGACTCACCGTATCCTCGAAAGGTCTCTCGTCCCCGTCCCATGATACCTAAACATCAACCCAACTAGCAAAAGTATCAGTCACCTAATGCATGAGACGAAGGACCCGAAACACTCACAGATCGTCACCCTCAGCTCGATCTCTACGCGTCTGCTGCCGAAAAAATTCCTTTTCTTCCTAATCTCTTTGAGCAAATACAACGGTGTGTAATCATCTGTTCCATGAGGTTCACTGGCGCTTCGAAATAACCCTGTGGTGTTCTGTACCCACCACTTTCCTTCAATTCCACCTCCCGCCGTCACTCCGGGAGTATGAGGTAGAGAGCAGCGCAAAGACCAGTACTTCACTATCTAACCGATGCATCACACAATCGATCAGGGATGAATGGCAAACACAAGGGGAACTCACTTCCACTTGACAAGTACAAGCTATAAGCAGGACAGGAGAACAGTTCCGTGATGAGGACCATGTCTTGCAGAATCGGAAGCTTCGCCAAATGTTCAAAAAGCGTGCCTTGGTATGGAAAATACGCGGATAAGCCATGATCAGCACTGGCCTCTAAATGACACTTCGGCAACAACAACTTCACTGAATTTACCGTAAGCTCAGCTGGACCTTAGGAAGAAGGAATCACACGGCGAACTCATCACCATGTTTCACTTGGCAGACGCAGTGATGCAGACGTCCCCACGGGCAGCTGGCTTGGGAGGGTGGTCTTTCACAAGCTTGGCGAGATGTTCATCGTTGTAAGTATTGAACATCTGTAGCGCGGTAGTCAGAAAATCCACAAAATCCGATTTTGATCACTTGCCCGCAAGTGCTGCCAGCAAAGAGCAGAGAGAACGTCGAAAAAGTTATATGAGATTCTACCATGAAGTCTAAGAAACCTCAGGAAAGAGACGGGGAACAGTAGCTCACAAGGGAGTACCAGTTACTTAGATTTCCAGACAAGATTGAATTACTTGCCAGAATGGAGAATGACGCCTCACCTCCATCACATGAAATATGCAAGAAAAACTGCGAGGCGCCATCGCAAACGTCCTTGCCTCGACAACAACAAACAATTTTCTTCGGTCAGATCAACACGGGGTTTTTTAAGACTGTGGAGGGTCTTGAACAAGTACCGTATAAAGGGAGGCATTCCAAATGTTGGATTTGCTTTATGGTGACGGGGAATGGTCAGTTTCGAAGTGTAGCCAGACATGTGTGCGTCAAAAAGAGGCGAAATGTTCTGACACATGGACTTTTGTGAGAGACCTTGTCCTAAGGGTGTGTCGTTTAAGGGTGTGTCGTCTGAAGGGTTGAAGTCATCAGGAGAAGAGGGATTGGCAGTGAAGCAAGGAAGCACCGCAGTCAACAAATTTAAGGAGCTAGGGCGTCTTGCTCGAAGGGTCGTATCACAAGAATCAAGGAGGGTAGGTTGTTGAAGCGGCGTAGACATCGTTGGAGAGCTGGGAGGTGAAGGACGTCGGTGATTACTCTTGAACCAGATTGACCAACAGGGTCGACACAATGAGATTCTTGCTTGAGATAGGTGATGAAATTTTGGCTGACTTGTTTGAATGGCGGGCATGTTAAATTTTTCAAAAGGGGCGCGTTGAAATATTTCATTTGAGAACAAAGAGTCACGAGGTTGAGTCTACAGCAAAGGGTCTTTCATCGGTGGTTGACCTGTTTCGAAATGGTTATGTTTTTGGAAACCTAGGCCTAATGAAGCAATTGACGGTGAAGGGAGTCGATCAAGACACAAAATGAATCCTCCGAAGCGAAATTCTGGAGTTGCCGTATGACCACCAGCGAACTGGAATAGAGACACAACTAAAACAATAAGAGTGTAACGACAGGAGACTCGGCTGGAGCTGCGAACACTCTTCTTGAGCTCGTCTTAGTAAATACGTCCCAGGCGCTGCAACGTGAGGTGCTGGAGGCCCCGTTGACCTTCAGCGTAACGGGGGGGGGACCGGCGATTTTCCTTCGACTCCAGGCATGAGCAGCAATTGCTCGCACTTTTGACTAGAAGGTGCTGTAGCAGGGTAATCTGGCGATGTGGGTGACGAAGGAGAGAAGAGGGGAGAACGGAGCTCTGAACAGCGATTGAAAATTTTTACAATCAAGTCGGCGGAAGATGATGGCGGAGTCGCTGTGCGGAATGTGTGCCACGAGAAACAAAGAATCGATGAAGCGGCCAGCCATCATGATATCGTATGTGCTACCGATGTTTGTGGGCACAAAGGGTTGCAATGGTGGTAAGTTGAGGAGAGCAGCAAATTTAGCCATGGACGGAGTGGCTGTGGATGATGTTGAAAATGTGCATTGTATGGATTTCGAGATCACTGCCGTCCGGGGGAAAGACGTTCATTCGGGTGTGATGCAGAATGACTGGGGAGAAGATGGAGGAGGAAAGGGTGGCGATCTGAGCTACGACAGCCATAACGACTGTTCGCTGTAGAAAGGTTGACTTGCCAGCCATATTTGGCCGACTCTCGTCCCATCTTCCACCGAATCAAACCTGCCAACATTCTCATCAACCCTTAAATTCAAAAGCAAAAACTATCCACTTACCACTTGATCAAAACCAACAGGCGCCATTCCATAGTAGTTACACTGAACGCCCGACGTTTCATCCTCCCTATCCAGATGCACCAACGTCGCAGGCACCACCCCCTTCCATGGATCGACGCTCCGATAATCGCATAGACCCAGAGGCCAGTCGAAGGCGTGAGGTCGGTCACCATAGCTTTATCACTGGAGGGGGCTAGCGCGTCTGAAGCGGGGAAGCGTCAGACGTTACGTGTCGGCGCCATCTTGACAGCATTGGGACTGTAAATGCAACCCGCGCATAACAAGCCTAATTCCACCGCAAGATGCCTCCCACTGCCTATATGGCACGGGCAACTTCAAAAGAGACGATCAGAAAAGAGAGGAATGTTATATCTTACTACTTACTCATCTGTGACGCGGGGCCTAACAAAGTTCATCTCGGCGACAAAGGTCGCAAAGGACAACGGCCAGCAGCGACGGCGGAAGCATTTTTGGAGAGTGCTGGGAGCCTCGGCTTCATCAAACTTTCAAAGCCACGGGCAGCGATGGCGTTACCATCACCTTTCACAAAATAAAACACAAATTCAAGACGACGAACAGGACCAGCGAAAGAAGGAATGAAAACATACGCAACGTATTTAAGCGAGAACGTAGGAGGATACACTCGTGTCGTTGCTTAAGTACGACCTCAGAGCTTTGACTTGTTTGCCGCCCAGCGCCGTGGCTGCTGCACAGGACGAGCACACGTAGTTGAACGGCACGGAGGCAGCAAAGAGGAAGAGAATGGCGCTGAATGGCGATTATACACGTCTGTCCCAGTAGTGGATCTGGAGGCGTGATACAAGGGTGTACATAGAGGATGCTGCTGGAGACTTGTGGTATTCCTGGAAAACAAAAGATCAACGTTCAACGTTCAACACGTATACCCGTTATACCCTAGTCCTCCTCGATATTATGTGAAGTCGTACCTTTGTTCACGATAATATGAAGTTATACCCCGCAATGCATCAAAAAGCGATGCCTAATTGCAGCTAATTGCAGACTGAGTACTGAAATCTTGCGTCGATCGTGATCGAAGTGATTGAACAATCTTGGTGATGTCGAAGAGGGCGTTGAATCGACTGGGAGTGGAGAGGCGCACCATCCCTAAATGGTTGCGGCTGCTTAGTCAGTGCACAGCCACCTCGAAACTGGCAAATCGCGCTTGCATCCACTTCGAAACGAAAGTTTGAGGTATTTCAGGCATTCTACCCTGTAGAGCTGTGTATGAAACATGTAACATATAGTATATCAAAATCTAATCCAGAAATTGTTGTTGTCTGACTCATATAAGTTCTCTCCTGCAGTTTGATTGTTGGTGTCCATCCCAGGAAGTACCTGTCCTGCTATTTCCCTTGTATCCTCGAGCAAGAAACCTAGCGACAACCTTAATCAGCTCACAGACCCCCTTGGGCTTTGGCTTCATGTGCTCTTCAATGGCACTAGTGTTTGGAAGTCCGGTCTCGTGACTGGAAAAAGACCGTAACCAGACCGGACCAAGACCGCAAAAGACCGGACCTGCAGTTACGGTCTTTTATTTTTGAAATGTAAAGACCGCAAAAAAACCAGTTAACGTGAACCGGTCTTGACCGGTTTGGACCGGTCTTTTGTAGCCCCTTAAATACCCTTTAAAACGCACCCAAGAACGTACGATTTGGTAAAAAAACGAGAGAGATATGAATTAAAATGTAAATTACTTTTGGGAATAATAGATGTACCAGACTTATTTTATAGAAGCACCAATTCCTAACGGAATTTAACGTTCTTGGGCTCGTTTTGAAGCTATTAGAGATGTTAATAAATTTACCGATTCATAATTTTAAAATATTGGCCTAAAGACCAGTCATAAACCGGTTAAAACCGATGCAGACCGAAACCGGTCTATAGACCGCAAAAAACCGCGGTCTGCGGTCTTTTTGCGGTCCGGTCTGGTCTTTTGACTTCTGGGGAAAAGGCAGACCGGTTACGGTTACGGTTAACGCCCCTGGGCATCAAAAAACCGGACCGAACCGGACTTTCAAACACTAAATGGCACCCTCTCCATGTGACCTCCACAGAGTCTTTCCCATTGTCAACCTTCATGCTTTCAAATTTTGGGACATGTGAGGTAAGAAAGTAACCTCTTCTGTATGTATAGGAGGGTGCCGCAGGATATTCAGTGTTATGGGATGTGATTTTGCATAGTCAGTATGCTTTTGACGCGTTCTTGACGCGTATTATGTAATCCATTAATTGGTCTTGTAGCCAATCAGCAATTATTACAGCCTTTCTCTTTCCTCCCTCGCGTTTGCCTCAAAATAAGTGTGTAAAAATGATGATCTAGCATTGCTGGAGGGAGACTTTGGACTATTTTTTTAAAATGTGTTTTCTAAATGTCATTTTTCGATTAAATTCCTGGTCCCACGCCCGAATTTAAAAAAACGAGTCCGAAGACTCCCTGCGGAATTGATATTTGATTCGATTTGGCCATAAATCTGACCCAAAGAAGAGGCCATGCGCTAAAAAAGATGATTTCCGTGAAAATCAAAGAAATTGGCAGTAATACAACAAGTACAAACAACCTACAGCCCAAAGGGGCGATGCGCCTCTCCACTGGGAGAATATTCTCCTGAGAATAATCACCTGATGACCCGCAATTGGCCGGTTGTGGAAGTTATTGTTCAATACTAGTAAACAAACTCAGCAAAAACATAGTTCACCCTCTGTACCCCGAGGGAAGCAGCTTGAAACTATTAAAAATGTATTTTACGCAACTAAGCATAGTTTTAAGTCAATCTACATTAAAATGACGAGTGGCGGTGTCTTGAGGATCAGAAAAATGCGAAGAGAACCTCGATCAAGGTGTCACTTTCTGTGACAGACACGTCGCGTCGCTTCGCTTCCACTTCGAAAGAAATTTACGCTAAACCTTGGATATGAAGTCCACTGCCGAAGCTCTGCTCAAATTTCTGAGTCTTTACAAGTTTAGTTAGTCCCTATATCAGAAGCCATTGAAACACAAACTCATTGAAAATTTCTTATGAGGTGGGTTGTATTTAGATTTAAGCTGGTTATTGTTTGAGCCACTTGGCATGACATGCTTGAGGATTGAGAGCAGGTAGAATAAACCCCATGTCAGTGAACAACATTGTACTGCAGTACGTCACACCAAGAAGGTGGGGAGGAAAGAGTTTTTAATCTGCGGGTTGTCTGCGGGTGTTACAAACAGAGGAAGTTAATTCTAGGTACATAGTTGATTGTGGGCAGCAGTGCTCGATGGAGGCCATCGTCGAATTGGATATTCGTCGTCGATCGAGGTCAGGACTCAGCATCGTCAATCGAGGTCAGCACAAGGTCAGTGTCATCGATCGGGTTCAGTGGACGTGGTAGTGAGCATGCGCGTGATTCTCAGATTCTCGCGGCCCCAGCGGGTTCAACGTTCAACGTTCCGTTGGTGATCTACACTCTTTGTTCCCTTCAAATTACAGAACACTCGGGTATGTTGCTGGTGATTAACAATACCGGTGGAACAGAGATGTTTCTGTTATTTAATACCCACTTCTGAACAAATCACTGCGTATGTAGATACACAAACCTTCACGGATAGAACATAAATAGGAGCCCGTGGAAACGATGTTTCCGCCATCGTCTTTATTTCAAATTGAACTGCATATTTATTAGGCAGCTAGATTCCTGTCAGATTCTGGTTGCTGAACGGGCTCTAATTGTAATCTGAAGACTTCCGAGGCATCTGCAAATCTGACGAAGTACATGGTGAGAGTTTACATTGGTAATTCTTTCGGGAGGTTCAGGGAATGGGGCGTATATCATAACCATGCATGCTACTGATAAGCCGAATTTTGGAGGGAAGGATGTCATTAACGACGGCCAAGAATGCAGGAAAAATGGGGCCATAGACTGATGCTTACGACAACCATATTATTGATATTCGATTTCACGAGCCAGATTTGGAGCAACGACTGTATGAACGACGTTTGGATACTTCGTTGCCTATCTTGGAAGAGTAAAACAGAGACCGCTAAAGAAAACAGGTCAGTTAGACATGTGAAAACAGACACTAGGCAACACTCACATCCTTGGCCTTGCAAAGCCCAGCCTACATTATCGCCTCAAAAATGACAAAACTTCGCGTCTTCAGCAATTTCGGGTTTGCATGTTGTGCGGTTGTTCAGTTGACGGAAAATATTCAGGGATAAACATCAATGGGACTCTTGCTCGGAGGACACATGTCACCATCTATAAATACAAGGCTTAAAACTTAAAGCCTTGAAGGAAATTCGGGAGGGAGGACACTAGGAAGATGCATACAGATCCCTGTGTTGTCGTTTCACTGAAAAGAATGACAGTGTCCAGTCGAAGTCATTATTCAGCGCATGACGTACACCCCACAAATAACAGACTGAAGACGGAGATCGCCCATTGGTATGGCAAAGATAAGGCAAGGCAAAGCATCGAGCAAACCTGGAGGGCATTTGCCCTACGTCAAGCAAAGGCATCCACCCAGACAGCATGGAGCCGAGGTTCGCCATAGCCAACAGGATTCCCCCGTCTCTCAATCCCACAAAGCACTTCATCGAGCTCAAAGACCAGCGCGAGGTCTTCGGACGCCTAGTCCAATGTCGCATCGGACACGCGTGCACCAGAGAGTCTCGCAAGCAGTTCTTCCCAGACGAGAGCACTAACTGCGAGTGTGGAGAGGACCCACAAACCCGTGAACATATCATCAGAGAATGCACCAGCTACGACGAACAAAGGGCCAAGCTCACTGGACAGTGGATAGCGCGTTTTCATAGAAAAGACCGTCAGCCAATCGCAGAATTCCGAGACGCTCAAAGAGCTCATCACATCAAATTGCAGCTGATGGCTACTGACTTCCATATATAAATCATGCCGTGTTCAAAAAGAAAAAATGCCTCATCCCTATTTTCCTCTCCTCTTCTTTCTCTCCCTGGACCCATCCCGGCATATCGTCACCACACTGTTCACGACATCAAGTCTCCCCCACAGAACCCATTCTGGCTGATCTTACCTCTCGACGTTGTCGACCAGGCCGTTGTTTGTCTCTTGCTCATCGGCTCCCTGTGGTCGTCGTCTCATTGTGCGACCACCTCTACTTTCCCATCCTCTCCTCGCGCTCACAAGCTACGCCATTGGTTTGCAAAGCACCCCTAAGATACATGCACGGCTACGTGGTTTTTGGTGGTCATCTCATGTGCCTTTCTTAGCCGTCGTAATTCAAGTTGATTAGCCTCAAGTAATGTCTGCCAATGGCATACCTACCCCCCTCTCAACTCTCACTCCTTCCCCACCGCCCTCCTCTCGTCATCATGCATGACAAGCATCATCAGGTCGACTTGCCACTGTGGATCACGGTTCATTTGAGCTTACGTCTCTGACTGCCACCTTTAACATATCCCCGTCGCCATCACCGTTCCTTAGAGCATCGTTGCCTCCATCTTCTCACGCATTGGTCACAAGATCTGGAGTTCCCGAGTCAAAACCTGACTCGGGAACCTTGGCGCTGATTGGGCAACGCTGGACATCTAGAACGACGGTCAGGCGACGCACTGCTCTTTTTCATCTTCCCTGTGAATATGACGATGGCTACGCCTCATGGTGCTTTCTTTGAAATTTTAATCAATTGCTGTACCTTTGGATCGTGCGTCTCGGCTGTCTGGATTGAGCCGCTTGATTTTCCTGTGTTCTGTCGTCTTCATGAGGGATTCGGAACACACTAGTTTGCTCTATATCATCAACGTCTCCATGTCCTGCCTAAAAAGCATACGATTATGCTCGATAATCAATGGCTCTGGTTGGATATCAGGTCCCATACTGCAACCTGTCAAAGATTTACATTCGCCAAGCCAAAACGCATAACGAAGGATGAAAAAAAAACTTTTTCGTGCTTCGACGCCAAGCTGTTAGCAGGGCTCTTGCTTGTGGAGAGAACCACGTATAAAGGCTCAAATTTTGTCCTGCATTCTCTAGAGATTTCGGTCTTTCTCTGTCATCGGACACACCCTCAGCACCATGTCGTTCTTATCTTTGACAATCCTCCTTTGCTTCGCGAGTGTTGCTCGTGCTCATTTTCGTCTTTTGTTTCCCGAGCCTAGAGGAGTTTTCGTTGCTGATCAAGAACCAAATTACTGTGGTGCGTTAATATTTATATGAGGGCAAAGACGGGCCTAAAGTCGACGTCAGGTGGATACACTAATGCGGTTCCCAACCGAACCGTTTATCCGCTCTCCGGTGGCTTTTTTAGCATCAAATCTGGTCATCCTGGCTGGACAGGTCTGTTCTCTGGTAAACTTTCGACGTGGATGTGAAATTAACAAGGCGTTCGCTCAGTTGGTGTGATCATCTCAACAGTGCAGAATCCTACATCGTTTGAGAACTTCTCCTCGAACGGCGTTCAACAATTTGTTTCACCCTATGCCAAGGAGGCGTCTGCGGGTACTTTTTGTATGCCCCTCAACGTTTCCGCGTCAAATGCCACCGGAGTTAAAGATGGTGCGAACGTAACCATCCAGATCGTTTTTTCAGGTGGAGACGGAAATTTATATCAAGTGAGTCAATATGTTTATCTTTCAGGACTTGGCTAAACGTTGATTAGTGCGCCGATCTAACCTTGTCAAGCAATGCAACCGTTGGAAATGCTACTTGCGTAAATGAAACTGTGGCAACATCGTCGACGTCTGCAGTCCCAACAGCGTCACACACCGCTGGTGGGCTGGGCCGGGGCGACAAAATGTTCGGGTTGACTGCTCTTCTTCTTACAGTCGCAGGGCTTGCGTTGGCTACCTCGTAGATGTATACGGCCTTTGCATCTATCCTACCTCTGCTCAACCTGTCCATCTAAATTGCTTAACATGGTTCATTTCACTCTTTGATTTGTTTTTGGTGAGGACATGCTTGTTGATCAGACTCGATCGGGCAATTGATGGATGCATTCAAGCGCGTCAAACTTTCACCTTTGCGATATAAATAGAACAAAGATGGTAAAAAACTTTTTTAACTGCCTTCGCAACGTTGGTTTTGAGTAAATAAATATGGGCGGAAAACAGTGGAAATATTTCAAAGTTCCTCGACGCTCAGAATGTACTGTCAACCCAAGTTCTTTACCCTCGCGCTCCTTGCACTCGTCGCTGGGGTTAACGCCCATTTCCAACTCCAGTTCCCTTCACCGCGTGGCGCCTTCGTCGAGGATAACGAGCCCACATTCTGTGGTAACGTTCCCAATAACCCTATGCACTTCAGAGTGTATTGAAAAAGTTTTGTTACAGATGGCTACGCTAATCCTGCGGCAAACCGTACAGAATTTCCTTTAACCGGCGGTTTCATCACCCTTAACTCTGAGCATCCCTTATGGACCAGTAAGCATGTTAATATCGTTGATAACAACCCTGGCTTAATCGCTTCATTCAAGGTGGAATCCTGCTTTCAACGGCTTCGGATCCCACTTCGTTCAACAACTTTTCGCAAATCACCCCGTATGCCCAAGCACATGGAGAAGGTTTGTTTTGCTTACCTTTCGACCTGTCCGCGACAAACGCAACCGGCTTGCAAGATGGTCAAAACGTTACTATCCAAGTAAGTACCATGGCTTTTACCTTGGCACTTTTCTGATTCATGTCTAGTTTGTCTTTAATGGAGGTGACGGTAACTTGTATCAGGTAAGTAACAACTTACTCCCCTCAGGCTTTGATAGATTCAACCCTTTGAATGTGTAGTGTGCGGACTTGACTTTGTCAAAAAACTTCACAATTTCGTCGAGCATTACGTGTAGCAACGCCAGCGTCAGTGCGACGGCCACGTCAACTGGAGCTGCAGCGACGGGATCCAAGAGTGCGGCGTTAGGTACTGTTCCGGCCTTTGGCGTTGCTGGGATCGTCACCGCACTTTTCGGAATCTCTTTAGCTACTGTGATGTAAATAATCGTCGGGTTGTTAAAGAGCAGCACCATCAATAACCACAAACAACCACTTGAATGACTACCAACGCTGACGTAAAAAATATCACTCGGAGGTTCTTACGCAGCAAACGCTCAGTCACGAACTAACACGGTTTTGAAGCTTTTTTTTTTTTTTTTTTTTTTTATTATCTCGAGATTTACGTGCAACAAGTAGTCTAGTACTAAGACGCACGGGAAGCGTATGGCTTCCCTTTTAGATGTAATTATGTCGTGCGGGCTTTCCATTACGTGAATTTGGGTGTCCGATGTGTAGCTGTATTGTATAAGAGATGTGTAGGGTTGTGTGCAGGGGCCAGAGAACTGGAGGTCAGAGTCGAGTGCGTCGTGGCGACGCTAGGGGCATGGCGGGCGCTCTTGCGCTCGCGGGGGATTGGGTCTGGGTGTGGGCATCGTATGGGTGTTATGGTTCAGCGTCGGACTCATCGTCTTCTGAGTCCTCGTCTGGGGGTTCTGGTTCGTCCTGGAAGGATGGGGTTTCTTTTGGCATGTGCTTTTCTCCCGTGAATGTGAACGCGCCGGAGTCTCTTATGAAGATGGATAGGGCCGTGATGCCTTTGGGGGTTCCCAGTAGTTCTGGGAGTGCCAGTTCACGGTCGTGATCACGTAGCTTGGCCCGTTGGTCCTCGTACCGTTCGCAGTCTCTTATAATGTGCTCGCGCGTCTGTGGGTCCACTCCGCATTCGCAGTTTGTGGTTTTCTCTGGGAAGAATTGTCTGCGGAATTCTCCTGTATACGCGTGCCCGGTTCGACACTGTACCAAGCGGCCGAAGACTTCACGCTGGTCTTTGAGTTCGACGAAATGTTTGGATGGGTT